TAGGTACATTTCCTATTTTCCATATTTTATATCGGTTCTTGTAAAAGTAGAGAGAAATAGAATCCCTAAAGAAAGTATAAATCAGCACAATTGACTGAGTCTGTTCAATGACAATACTTGAAAATGGAAACTACTGCCCACGCCCCCTAGCACCGGCTTAAGCAGTATTCAACATAAAGTCAACAAAGATATTTTGCAAGTAAATTAAATACAAGTTACATAATGCTCAAAAACAAAAGCTTGCTTCTAGTCGGAAAATTATAACAATTGAAAGAGCAAAATAGATTCAGTTTTATGTAAACATAGGTTTCTATTTGATTTTAAAGGTTTTGATTGATGAAATTAGCGTGTGATAAATGAATATATACAAAAATTAGTGATTTGACAATAAGTTGGTTATTATAAATGTTATAATAAGTGTTGTTTTTATTTAAATACACAGGCATTTTGAATTAAATATATATAAACTCAATTTAATTTTAGACGAAAATGGAACTAAAGTGATAGCATAAAAATATTTAATTACAAGAGATAATAAAATCAAAAAAGTATTCACTTTATAATCAGTACGTATAAAGAAAGTTGTGTTGGTCTTATAATTAAATGTCACTTATAAATCATAAAAGCATTGCTTTACAAATACTGAAACTATATTATTTTTTTCTTTAGTAATAAACATAGTACATGTTATTTTAATTCTAATTTTAGGAAGATATTCGTGCACGAAGGATTATATTTAAACCTTACAGGATATTTTGATAGTTTTTCGCGGTGTATTCAATGTGCATTAATGCTCTGATGGTATTTAACAACTTCTATAAACAGTGTGTTTATATTCGTTATTAATGCATCCATAATCGACCTTTGTCGTTCTTGAAACTGTGATATCATGCTGAGACGACAGTTTTGTCTTCCACTGCATAAATAAACTATCTATGGTAGTCTTCCGTATGGGTTTATATAGTTATTGCACACGTTATAGTGTACGATATATGTGTTCCTGTTTAACTTATTGCGCATTCATGCCGAAACGCTGGTAGCAGTCACAAAGGTCAATGTAACTTTTTTATTACATTTATCCTTCTCTTGCACACCCTAGTTCACTTGAAATCAAGAACTCAATCTTTAAGTCTTTAGAAAATGAAAAAAAAAATCAACACAAACCGTTTAAATGCTTTTAAACACTGATCTTATCGTTATTATAAAAGATAATAACTGTTACAACATTGTTATCGTCTCATATGTAACAATGACCAAAACTTAATTATTGAATGTTGTTGTTGTTTAAATACAAAAGACTGTACAATATTTTTCGCGCAATGCAATATTTTCTTTTGTCTTCCCTGTTTAAGGATATATAGATAGGAAATGCTGAATGATGGGGGTAAAAAGTCATCATTTACATATAATTTTTGCTTGGTCTTTTGCGATGTTGAATTACAATTTCTTCATTTCTGAACATTGCTAAAGCGGTGCTAGGGGGTCAAGAGTGGTAAACAACCTGGGAACAGAAAACATCAAAACAAGTATAAATTGTTTATATATTCATATGCCTTGTTTTTAGAGGAATAATGTGTTAACTGTAATTTGGGATTATTTATTTACATTTTTGTTGAGGGATATATGTTTGCTTTGGTGATGAGAGGTACTTCTATATTTAAATTGCCTCTTGGGGAAAATAGTTTCCGGTGCGCTACAAAGTAACCTCGTAGATTTTTAATTTTAATTGATACGTAAAGAATAAAACATTGTGCAGTTATAATTGGTAGTATTTGAATAAGAGAAATTGTTGAAGTTAAAGTTAATCTTCGGATTAAAAAGGTAGTTATCATCAATACGACATTGTTCATGTATAGTCCAGCCCCGTTTATGCGAAGTGCCAGGGACTAAAAATTTACTTCGAATAATCGATTGGTTCGAATAATTTATATGCTACTTGTATATAATTATCTGTAGAATGTTTTTCATTTATGTTGGAGGTATATCATTCATTTTTACATGTACTATTATACAAGTAAATTGGCAGTTTCTAAAGTTCTGAATCTGAAATAAAGTATCTTTTTTCGACCTACCTAATATTCTCAGGACTTTTTTTATGTTGCACTGAGTTTAATACTTACATGTTTGTTGTGTTTACTTTAAGCAACATTTCTTACATAGTTGTCGTACTCATTTCTTTTTCCCCAGTTATTTAGTTTAATTTTTGTTTTGCATAATATCTGATACTGTTAAAGCCGTCATTCAATTGTGACTATTCTAAAGATATTCATTTTTAAATATTTATTGCACATTTTAATATGTTATTCGAGCTGTTCTTTTTTATTTTTATGAAGATTTAGAACTTTTCAAATTTCAAATTATTAATATATCACCATTCATTTGACTTTTTTTCTTCAGTTTATGCCTATGCATGTTGAATTAATTATGAAATGCTATAACAATTTTTGCTTCTTTAAATTTACTTTAAATGCTACATTAAAACCTTTATCCCTGATATTTCAGTTGATGTTTTTTGTTTCTTTTAAATTTATGTTTATAGAAAAATAATTACCAAGGAAATAAAGACATAAAAACGATGTTATATTATTAACTATAGTTAATTTAATTTTAAATGATGTTTTGATAATTTTGTAATAAATCTTGTAATCAGTTAATAATATCAACTAGGTTTTAATAGATTTAGTCACAATGAAACACGTTTGATAAGCTCGATATTTTTAAAATACTGTTTTGGAGGAGGAAACAAAAACGAAACAACTATTTTTTTACTATGCAGCTTTAATATAGAAGAACTGCAACTTTAAAAACTCTTTTTAGATAAAATCATGTATAGTTGCAGTAGAAGATAATGTATGTCACATATTGTTAATGATCAAAGTTTATTATGATGTAGCAGTCCTTTGCTGAGACGTGATACTTACCAAAATTGAGAGCCAAATTGGGAAAGAAAGAAATCAGTCAATGAAAAAAGAATTGTATAAGGATACTTTTTGTATGAACACTTCATTATTCCACTTGGTTACAAAATGTCTAAAAGTTATATCTCCATTGTATATATTAACATTTATGTCATGTATGTTATAAAGGAAACTAGGTCTTGGGTTTTGATTATCTGCCTGGCTAGAATTTGACATTTAGATGACCTAATTGCGTTTCGCCTGGGTTACTAGGCGAACTCTGCTTTTGTCCAGTTAAACAAAAAATTGTATAGCATATAAGGAAGTAATCATTTCGTTTCTCAGAAGGGACATATATATCAAAGAACATTCTTCGGTTATAAGTGGCACAAGAGTTATTGGTCCACGTTCACTACAAAATCTGTTTTATTCGGAAGCCTGGAAATTGGACACTATTGCGTTAAATACACGTATTTGCGATATCATAGTTTAAGTTACAAAATGTTGTATTGCGATTCTATCATTTATATCATTTCTCAGTATCGTTATCCTGCATTTATGATGATTTGTCTCTTAGCACGGAAGGCGTTTCGTTTTTAAAATATCAAAAGAATATAAAATGAAATAGTATTTGAAATACATGTAGTTACTTTAGCAACTGGAACATTTGGTCCTGCTAACAGATGCGATAATCTTAAAACAATTAAAATACAATCATTGCATTTATGCTTAACTTCTGCATTAGTGAAAGTACTTACGGACGCTGCATATATGCCCTAAATAAAAAAATACTCAGAATTATGAAACAATGTCAACTTAGAAATGATAAAACTAATTTTTAATACTTTAATATTTTAATTATAATTGACTGTTTAATGTTTCATTTTAAAAATAACTTAATTCTACTTTTATAATTCACAATAATGTATTACCATATGGAACTTCTATTTTAGAAATTACGTCGCACCCACATATTTGAATTAATCACTTGACAATGCATGTTGAAGTCGTTAAGTGTATACATCCCCCATCCTGTACAGAAATATCACTAATTTATGCATGAACAGTTATTTATTATTCATGATTTAATCAGCACCAACTGAAATGTGATTTTGTTAACTTGTTGCCCCTTGTTTTATTCTCTGCATATCGAACTTATGCATGCATTTACGCATATACAAATCAGCGTTGTGTTTACGTGTCGCCAATACAAACCAGTGTTGTGTTACGTGCTGCAAATACAAATCAGTGAAGTTTTTACGTGTCGCCAATACAAATCAGCGTTGTTTACGTGTCGCCAATACAAAACAGTGTTGTGTTAACGGTCGCCAATACAAAAAAGTGTTGTGTTTACGTGTCGCCAATACAAAACAGTGTTGTGTTAACGTGTCGCCAATACAAAAAAGTGTTGTGTTTACGTGTCGCCAATACAAGTCAGTGTTGTGTTTACGTGTCGCCAATACAAAAAAGTGTTGTGTTTACGTACCGTCAATACAAATCAGAACGAGCTGTCTTTAAGTGCCTCCGATACAAATCAATATATAAAAGGGTTCCTTATATTATTATATGATTTTATTCGCTAATACAAATCAAAGAGTATAAAAAAATTAATATCATTATCTTTCCCGTTTGTATATATTTCAACCTAACATTAAAGAGAAAACACATGGATATTAGTTAAATCTTTAAATCATGCATTACTTTATAACTCAACATTTATACTTATTAGCTTTTGTATTTGTTTTTTGTTGTCTTTTTTTTTCCTTTTTTTCATTTTGGTATATAAATAATACATGAAACTTGCAGAGTGTGCGCTTTCGTACGAAACTGCTACGTAATCATGCATTTATTTATGCGTTATGTGTTATGCGCTATATGTTAATGCTTCTGTTGTGGTATTCATGGTATTTATTTCTATATTATTCTTGTGTTTTATTATTTTTGTATGTATATATTATTTCAATGCAATCACTATAAAATTATCATGTAGAATACCATTTACAGTAATATATTCAGACATTTCAAGAGTGGGGTAGTGATCTTTATATATTGCACCTTTTCACATGATACATAAATTATCAAACTTTCTTTTTCTATTTCTAGATTTTTCTTCCTCCTTGAATCAAAAATAGACCGACTAGAAATAACAGTGTCACCGTGCGCATCGCCAATCATTTGGCAAGTTACATATAAACCAAGAAAGGAGGCTGGACAATACGGTAATTCTTTTTCTTTGTTTTTGCCACATTTCGTCCGGTAGACCTGTACCATTAGCGTGCAGTCTGACTGGTAAGTATATACACGACCGTGCAATTTGCATAGACTCTGTACTACAGGTTGCTTCAACGTATGATGAAAAATCTAATAATTCCATGTTAATTGAATCAAAAGGACAGTTCCAAAACAACAACACATCAAGTCTATTTTAGTGATTCAGCAGGGTTATTGTAAATTCTATGTAATACAATATGTTATTGTCTCTTGTATTTACATATTTCTAGTCAGACAATACAATGACGTAAATCAGACACAGCATTATATTACTCAGTATTCAAAGCTTATTATGTCCCGAATACGGGTTATATATACGTATTGGTAATGATGCCGTGAGTCATCGAGGTTATATTTCCATGTTTAGTAATGCAAATAGTCCCTGATGAGTAACATAAATAAGCCTGATAGACTTTATATCCTAGACTAGACACATTAATCGCCTTAACTTCAGCTCATATACAACATCAATCATTTTGTCTTAACATTGATTAATAGCATCCAATATCTCTAGAGACGGTATATAGCATTTTTATTTATCAAGGATGTTTCTTCACGTATTCGATAGAAGCTCAGCTTTCAGAGTGAATGTTCTTTGGGAATTATCAAAACTGTTAATAGAGCTTTTATATGTATAAAGATAAATAAATAAGCAATTTGGGAACTCTCTGAAAGATGTGGCCCACTTTGCTATATTTTTGGAAAACGATTTTATGCACTGTATCTTTCAGTGTACTTAAAGACGTTCTCTATCTCACTCAAACCTTGTAACTGAATATGAGCCGCGTCACGACAAAACCAGCATAATGGGTTTGCGACCAGCATGGATCCAGACCAGCCTTCGCATCCGCGCTGTCTGACCAGGATCCATGCTGTTCGCTATCAGTTTCTTTACTTGTTATAGGGTTTGTAAGCGAACAGCATGGGTCCTGATCAGACTGTGCGGATACGCAGGCTGGTCTGGATCCATGCTGGTCGCAAACGCATTATGTTGGTTTTGTCGTGACGCGGCTCATATTTTAAAAACTTGATTTGATACATATGCTCCAATGTAACTGTGAATATTTGATCACCATACCTTTAACAAGTGGAAATATTTCATAGCAAAACAAACAAAATTAAAAGTTCAAAGAAAGATTAATAAAGAAGACTGACATAACATGCAGAATAATTTCAAATACAGTTTATGAAGTGAAAATTTAAGTAAATAATAATTAAATGCTCTTAGGAATATAATAAACAAGCACATAATTGCACGAGTTTAGTGAATATGTTGTTTACATTATTGTTTCTATATATATCAGTAATGGCATGCAAGATTATCTTGCCCCATTTAGATTAAATCATGAGTATCATTACAGATAAAAGTTTCATGTATTTTTAGATCTTTCTCTTAAAATATTTTAATGAGTGTTGTGAGCAAATTACTTCCTCGTTACTGATTTGTAAGGAATGATGTTAAATATAACACTGTATCAACATAAACTATGGTAGATGCATCTTAAATTTAAAAACGCAGTCGTTCACACTTCGGGAATGAGTTGAAGTAGTCAAAATATATTATGATTTTAAGTTCATCGTGGGCATCGATAAAAAGTTTATTGTCCATGTCATCGCTGGATGTTTCGTTTTGTCTTTCATTATCCAGTTATGATCTGTGACGTATCAGGTTGACCAAACGTCTTGAAAATCCTCGCTCGTACTGTCAAAGAATAGCTGAAGAAAGGTTGATGTATTTCATTAAAAGAAATGAAACATTTGATATTTTTATCTAATGTAATGTGATGTGCATTAACACCAGACATTCATATACTTTGTACAAGTGGTTGTAGTAATCAGCATTGTGTCAAACGTGATAGCACTTTTTCGCTAGAATGTAATGAAGTAGACACATTGGTTTGATTACTTAAGCTATGCTGACCAGTCTTAGTACTGAGCATTCAACAACTATACTTTTAATACCATATTTATTATTTACGTTTTACATGACCTTACTGTGGGGTCTTACCGGCGACCAGCCAGACGCTGTGCTGGTAGGTCACAGTTGTAACCTATAAAACTCTATCAAATTATAATATTAATTCTAACTACTGGTACTATCAGTGATTAGAATATCAATCATAATTTGAATGTGGAAATCCATGCATTTTGTGATTTTTGGCAATATTTACTACAAGCGCGATCACAACTCAGGGAATAAAAAGTTCTTTATTAAAAGGAGACAATTACTGAAAATTCCGTCCGATCCTTCTGTATTCTCGGGATTATCACTAGAAGGTGATAAGGTATCAAAAAGATACTGCCAAAAATATTTTTCACAGATTTCGTCAGATTTGATTCAAACGTACTAGACAAATGCATTAGGAAAACAGAAATGCTTAACAGTTGCAGGCAGATACAAGGGGGGAATCTGCCAAATCTTATCTCAATGTTTTGCGATCCTAAACTGAAAAAGTTTTTCCCGAACAAATTTTTACTTGTACTGTAAACAATTTACAAATTGGAAAATTTAGTGGGTCTCGGGATGGCTGAGTTATTCATTTCTATCAGAAGATACTTGAGAAGTACAGTTTAAGAGATGATGTAGCTATAGACAGATCGTGAATGTATGTTCCAGAAAACACGCAAAATGTGAATGAATGGAATAGAATCCGAAATGAAAAGTTCTCTGTGGTGGATTTTCTTATGTTTCATATCAACAGGTTGGCAAGAACGCATGCTCTTACATTTCGCTCATTTTAAAGCTTTTATTACGAAGTACCATTTTTCATTTTATGCACAAAAATCAGACAAAGCTATGGTTTAAGTGAAGGAAATAAATGCAAGTTCGAACGAGAAATATAAAATCAACTAATTAAAGTAATTGGTAACAATCGCATAAAGTCTTTAACGGAATCATCGAGATACGAAAATAGCAATTCTTGCTAATTTATTTGATTCAACTAATGTGTTTTTGTGCAATCAAATGAGGTGGATATAGTACGAGTATGCGCAAAAAACATTGCGAGATAAAGTATTCATTAATGTTATGTGGAAGACAAAAAAAATGATGGTATTACTATTGGGCTTGTTTATTGTTTTAAAAGCTATGCATTGAAGGTAAATTTACGAAATGAACAATTCATACTAATTTCTTTAAAAAAACGAAAAGAAAAGAAATAATAATAAAGATAAAGAACTGAAAAAATACGATAAAATTTATCTTTATTATCATGCTGATAAATAAAAGAATGGCACTGATTTATATACCACTTTTTCAAAAGAATTCTGTACAGATTGTATGTTTTTAAATATCCAGGCGTCTATAAAAAAACAACTAAAATACATCTTCCTTTAATCTAACTTAAATAAATTTGTATAAACTAAACGGAATGTCATTTATATATAACTGCTTTTAAATTGAAATAAAAAATATACTATAAATTCATTATTTAAGGTAACTAAAGCAGAGTTAAAGTGAATGATATGCTCACTTTTTTCACTGTCAATTTATGTTGAATAAGTTTTATATTTCAAAAGATTGGGTATCATAATGGTGATTGACAAATAATTGATAATGAAAAATGTTTATGTTACAATATTAAAACTATCTAGAATTATAAAATGACTGCCCATACTTTTTTCCGATTCATTCTGAACAATATTCATATACATTTCCGTTGACCATGCTAATAATTGATTTTTTTTCATAGTACAATATAAAACAGAACACAAAAAGTCAAATTGTTTTATTTTCATATTAACTATTCAATGACCATTTGCACTTGGATGGGCGTAAGGTCACTTTAATTAAACAGAAACAAGCTTGTTTATTTTACATTTATTCAAAACTTAAAAGATATATACATGTATAATATATGTAACAAATGATATTAAGACTTTTATACTATTTCCTTTAGTAAATTGTATCGATAGAGGTAGTAATAGTTGATACCAAAACGTTAGAAAATCAACATAAACCATACTCACAAGCAATATGTCATTGACATGTCTGCAAAACCTGTTTTGTCGGAACCACTTTGTCTGTAAAACTAATCATTGTATCCAACATCAAATAGTGGTTGGTTTTAAGCTCCAGAACAATAAAGCTTTGTTTTGTTAATCATTTCAGAAATTGGCAATCGTGTGGAGAGCTCTGTGGTGGGTTTTCACCCCGTTATCAACACCAAGGATACACTATACACGCTGTCGGGTGATGTTGCCGAAACTTTACGGATAGACGCTCCTGATGAGGGTATATATACGGTAGACATAACATCAATCAAAACAGAGAGCTATGTTAAAGTGTTTGCCACCACTTCGCCAGACGTTGACAGGTTCCCAGAACTTCCGCAAGACAGCCATGTTAAAGAAGTAGAAAAATCTGCCAAAAGTTTCACAGTCGTCTGGAATCCAAGCCCTGATGAAAGGCATTTTGGAAACGATATTGAATACTGTGTAGCTGTAAACAGAAAAAGAAGTTACAAAACCCTTTGTTCTGTGTTATCTCATTTGCATGGTGATCCAAAACCGACTTTGCCCCCGAATTTCGGATTTGGATTTTCAACTGATGTGTATAGGAAAAAACATGTAAGACAAACAGCAAAACCAATTAAGCCAGCGAAGAAAGGCTCCATACATTATAAATGTGTGGGTAGTGACAAGAAATTCACATATGATAATATTGGGAATGGTAAGGGGTATTTTGTTGACGTTTATGTCAAAAATAACCAATCCGGCAAATCCAGACAGTATCATGGAGTGTTTGTTAAAACGAAACAAAAACGAAAAAAGTTTTCAAGGCTTAAAGAAGGAAAACTTACAAGTGTTAACTTTTCTCGTAAGAAGAAAAAGCATACATATTCCTTTAAAATAAAACGCTCGACAAAAGATGTTCATCTTGCGATTAGTACTTGTATTGGGACAACTTTAGTAGAAGTTATGGCTAAAAATGGCACTTTCCATAAATCAAGAATAAAATCTTCACAAGTGTTGTCATTTAAAGGCGTGCAGCCTGGAGTTTATACTTTAGCATTATCAAAATCCGTCTCTAAGAGACAAACAGTGTATATTTCAATGACCTCAAAGATTAAAGCGAAGAAAATGCCAGTATTGCCGGAGGATACGACAGTAAAAGTGTTTGACTACCTGTCCACTTGTAACAGTGTAACAGTGGCGTGGATGGGGACTGAAAAGAAACAAAAGTATTGTTTATATAAAAGTGAGCTGTCCTCATCACATGATAATTCTACTTCCATTTCAAAGAAACTTAATCAATGTGATGCTTTTGATAGGAATCAAAATGGCGCGCAGAAAATAACGTGCAAAAAGTTTAGGTATCGCAAAAAGGAGAAGTCGGTTTTAGCTATAACAGTGGCTGGCTTGAAACCAGACACAGAATATATATTCGATGTATTTGTAAATAAAGGAAATTATTTTTCATTTCCATACAATAGTGTACGGACGAAAACTAGAACGGATTGTTACCTTCCAACATGAGCTGGTAAATTGAATTATCGGGGAAGAAAGATATATTATTAGTACCGGCGGGATAGGTGATTAAGTTATTTTAGTGCCAAGAAAGTATTAATGGCGGCGTCTAAGCCGTTTTCACGTGTCTGGTTTATTGGAAATACACATATATTCTTCGTCTAGCGTACTGGTGAGAGAATCCGTATGGAACTGATGAAAAGTGTATTTTTATTAAAGAACAAAATTAAAGGAACGCGTTTTAGCACGAAAACAAACCTTTTAAAAGTACAACATGTGTTATTTTTAAAGTAGACGGCCGTCTTAAGTGAAACTTGGGGGAAAGAAACGATGACAATTTATGAATTGATCATGATATGTCAATCATTGTATAAAATCATTTCCATCAATTTCATGTTGACATACTATCAAAATAATGTGTAATCAAAAGAACAGTGTAATCTGTCAGTGAATATAAGATATTGTGTCACAGGCTTATACTTTGTGTAACGTTTGTTCAACTGATGCACCGTTAATGAAAATACATGAACCTAAATTTGGCTTCTTATTAAAGAATTGTTTACTCAGTATAAAAAAAAAACATGCATGTCTTAAAATTGAGATTTCATTAAAAATTTTACAGGTATAACAATTTGTTTATATTTAAGGATTTCAGCTCGAATCTACAATAATAGAAAAGTAAGTATATATATATATTGTATATAAAGGATAAGCTATTGGAAGGATCTATGATGGCAAAATTGATAGACATTATAAAGAGGATCAATCGTGAATTATGAATTTTTTTAACAACTTCATTATACTGCCGGACTGTTTTTTTCTTTCTTTTTAAAACGTGATAAATTAGTAAACATGTGTTTTTGTACATTCGTGGTTTAAGATACGGTGTAAGGGAGACAGAAACCAACATTATATAAATAAAAACAATTATTCATTTGTTAAGCTGTAATATTTTTTTAATGTTGACATTATTGTAATGTGTACCATGCAGTTCTATTTATTTCAGATTGCATTTAAATATATTTTTCCATGCTTGTAGACACAAACATTAAGCTTCTACTTATTATGCTCGAAATGTGAGTGAAATACACACTAAAATAAAAAGAAAATAATTTAATTAGAAATCCCGAGCCAATAACCGGGCATCAAACCTAGACCTGGATGATTAATGGTTTAAACAAAAAGTTTATTTACCAACAAAAATAGCTGTAAACGCTTAAAAATATAATTTTATTTTTACATAGGCAGATTGTTTATTAATTTATTCATCAGATGAATATATCAAAACAATTCAATTTTAACATTTACCCCGAGGAATATGTGATACAGATTTGCACAGCTTTTAACTCACAGTTTAGCTAAAGAAATTTAAATTATTAAAATACAAAAAAGGTGAATAACCACTACCCTCCAGCCAGAACCTGCAGACTTGTCTCCCTTTATACTGGAAGCCAAGACCAATCACTTCCGGTTTCAGCAGGTGAAGAGTTAAGTTAATTAAACAGCAAAATTTACCTTTAATATGATAAAATTGTATTTTATAACCATCTTACCAATTTATGGCGTACTTCTTGTACTTCTTGCAAATATAATTAAATACAGATAAAAATAATTTTTTGAAAACAAAAGAGATTCAATAATTTGTCCGAGTTTAGTTGTTACAGATGAAACATTGAGTTTACTCTTTGTGTAAACGAAATAAAACTTAAGTTGATATCTACAAAATTATATTATAGCCCCCGTTCCTATTTCATTTCTTAATTTTGTATTGGTTTGATATTTTTAGGCTTGTCCATCAAATTATGTAACATTCTCATTTCATATTGTAAGATTTGTTTATATTATGGTCAGTACACTTCAATTTTTATCAAAACTGGTATTTAAGTGAATTATTATAATTATTATGTAATTCCGTATAAATTATTTCATTGTTATATACATGTTACGTCTGAATGAATATGTTATAAAAAAATGTTGTAAATAAAATGAATAAAAGATAATGCGTTTTTCTACTTTTCATTCATCTTTGATTGTGTTCAGTAAGAACAATTAAATTCAATTTGCTGTACTGTTGAAAACTAGACAATGGATGTACATTTTAATGTCAGCAAAAAGTGCTAAACATTTTAATGTTCAACAAATATCAGAGAGATAATGACTGTAATTATTGTTAACAAAACCAAGACTGTTACTTATGTCAATAAGAGAGAAGCTACAGGTGTTGTCAACAAGACAGAAGCTATATTTTCTGTCAACAAGACAATAGCTATATTTTCTGTCAACAAGACAAGAGCTAGAGCTTCTGTCAACAAGGCAAGAGCTAGAGTTTCTGTCCGCAAGCAAAGATGTAGAGTTTCTGTCCGCAAGGCAAGAGCTAAAGTTTCTGTCAACAAGACAAGAGCTAGAGTTTCTGTCCACAAGACAAGAGCTAAAGTTTCTGTCAACAAAGACAAGAGATAGAGTTTCTGTCCACAAGGCAAGAGCTAGAGATTCTGTCCACAAAACAAGAGCTAGAGTTTATGTCCGCAAGACAAGAGCTAGAGTTTCTGTCAGCAAGGCAAGAGCTAGAGTTTCTGTCCGCAAGCCAAGAGCTAGAGTTTCTGTCAGCAAGACAAGAGCTAGAGTTTCTGACAGCAAGGCAAGAGCTAGATTTTCTGTCCGCAAGCCAAGAGCTAGAGTTTCTGTCAGCAAGGCAAGAGCTAGAGTTTCTGTCAGCAAGACAAGAGCTAGAGTTTCTGTCAGCAAGGCAAGAGCTACCGCAAGACAAGAGCTAGAGTGTCTGTCAGCAAGGCAAGAGCTAGAGTTTCTGTCCACAAGACAAGAGCTAGAGTTTCTGTCAGCAAGGCAAGAGCTAGAGAGTTTGTCACAAGACAAGAGCTAGAGTTTCTGTCCACAAGACAAGAGCTAGAGTTTCTGTCAGCAAGGCAAGAGCTAGAGATTTTGTCCACAATACAAGAGCTAGAGTTTCTGTCAGCAAGGCAAGAGCTAGAGATTCTGTCCACAAGACAAGAGCTAGAGTTTCTGTCCACAAGACAAGAGCTAGAGTTTTCTGTCAGCAAGGCAAGAGCTAGAGATTTTGTCCACAAGACAAGAGCTAGAGTTTTCTGTCCACAAGACAAGAGCTCGAGTTTCTGTCCGCAAGACAAGAGCTAGAGTTTCTGTCAGCAAGGCAAAAGCTAGAGTTTCTGTCCATAAGACAAGAGCTAGAGTTTTTGTTAACAAGACAAGAGCTAGAGTTTTTGTCAACAAGACAAGAGCTAGAGATTCTGTCCACAAGACAAGAGCTAGAGTTTCTGTCCGCAAGCCAAGAGGTAGAGTTTCTGTCAGCAAGGCAAGAGCTAGAGATTTTGTCCACAAGACAAGAGCTAGATTTCTGTCCGCGAGCCAAGAGCTAGAGTTTCTGTCCATAAGACAAGAGCTAGAGATTCTGTCCACAAGACAAGAGCTAGAGATTCTGTCCACAAGACAAGAGCTAGAGATTTTGTTCACAAGACAAGAGGTAGAGTTTCTGGAGCTAGATTTCTGTCCGCGAGCCAAGAGCTAGAGTTTCTGTCAGCAAGGCAAAAGCTAGAGTTTCTGTCCGCAAGACAAGAGCTAGAGTTTCTGACCACTGGACAAGAGCTAGAGTTTCTATCCGCAGGACAAAGCTAAATTAAATGTCAACAAGGGACGAGGTTTAGTCCATGTCAACAAAAAAAGCTATGTTTAATGTTCACAAGACAGGAGCGATAAACTATGTCATCAAGACATGAGTTATAGTTTATCTCAACAAGACATGAACCATAAATTATGTCAACATGACAGGAGCTATAGTATATGTCAAAAAAACAAGCGACATAGTTTATGTCAACAATATTGAAGTTATAGTGAATGTCAACAAGACAAGAGCTATGGTTAATGTCAATAGGACAGGAACAATAAATTATGTAATCAAGAAAGGGGCAATATTTTATGTCAACAAGACAAGAACCATAAATTATTTAATTACGTCAAGAACTATAGTTTACGTCAACGAGACAGGAGGCATAGTTTTTGTCAACAAGACAGGAGCTAATAAGAACTATGATTTTTTTAAATACGACAATAGCTTATGTCAACGAGACAAGATGCATAATTTATTAAGATAAGAGCCAATGTTAATGTAAACATGACAGAAGCTATAGTTTATGTCAACAAGACATAAGCTAAAGTTGATGTTAACAAGATAAGAGGTATAAACTATACCAACACGACAAGAGCCATAGGTAATGTCAATAAGACAGGAGCTAATGTTGATGCCAACGATACGGAAGCTTATGTTAATGCCAACAAGACAGGAATTTCGTTCATGTAATTAAGACAGGATGTATTATTTATGTCAACAGAAAGAACAAATTTATAATTAAATTAATGTCAACAAGACAGGGCTAGTACGAAATTAAAGCCAACAGGACATGGACTGCAATATATGTCAGAAGAAAGGTTTTAATGTTTGTGCACTATAATGCTATTGGGTCCGACGTGCTGTATACTACTACTTTTATACCGCAATTTTCTGTATCAAATTTGATTTTTTTTTCTAGAGTAAAGGAATTATACCGGCATTGCTTAAGAAAAAATTATTTCAAGTTAATTATAATAAAAAAAAAACTTTCATCTTGTTTGGTAAATTTTACTTCTGGGTAATATATATCTAAATGTATGTCAACAAGACGGGGACCAAGACAGGTACTGTAATTAATGCCAACATACTGGGATTGTATCTTATATCAACAATACAATGAATGTACAATTCAACTTTCATCTTATTGCCAGATTAAAATGTTACAACAATTAACAATTTTATAAAATAATTTTCAGAAGGTCAATTTTTAAAAAAAGTTCTAAAGTTCTAAGCATTAAGGGAAGTTACAAGAACATTTAATCACCGCCCATCACAAAAACATCTGTTAAATGGTCGGTCAATTCTTTAGAGAATTGTTTAACATTTAAGATTACGACAGAAATAATGATTATTTTGAAACATGTTCAGAACCTTTAATGAAGCACTTTTGTCTCATTCCAGCAGAAACATATAGCAATATCCTAGGAAAAAAGACAAAATGAGCCCTTAACGAGAAACAAACAAGAGAAAATGAATATAAAATCTTGAGATGGACCAGATGTAATAAAAAACCGGTCCCTCAAGGTCTTCGGCGCATTTCAAATATAAAATTGAAAATTGCTTGTAGTTCTTCGGATTCTGGCACGTTATTAATGGGATGATTATATTATAATGTCGGAATCAGATACAACTAATTGTCGATTTATATTTGAAAGATTAAATGCAAGCTAGGCGTGCATCCATAGATCCCTGATAAACAATAATTGACCCTGGCGACCATGAATTGGCGGTCATGAATTGGAGAGCATGACAGGCAAGAGACAGAAAGTACTGAATTATATGAAACTATATCCTACTAAAAACCCATGCTATCGAGTCCGTTCAAATTTTTTTTTAAAGTCAAATAAGCACTTCCTTAGGAAATTTGATTATTTGAAAATTGAAACAAAAAAGCAATACAAAATACATACGACAAAATATGAAGTAATATTAATAGACTTAAGGTTAGACAATGACTTAAAGGTGACCTCAAAACATCATAAATATCTTTGCAATTTACATTTGAAGACATGAATTGTATCGTCCCCTTAGAGCAGGGTACTTAAAATACGAAGAGGTTTTAAAAGCAGTTCATTAAAACGGAATGGACTCTAAATGTACAAAATAACTTGTTAATATGTTGTCAACAATTATTCTCAGTATATCGGTAACCTCGAGCGTGAGTGAGTGACCAGTCTTTACCACTTTGTTTGCTACACCAGGAACGTTTCCACATTCGTGAAAATTCACCATTCCGTATACTATTAGCTAACTCACTGCAAATTGACATCTTGCATCGAGAGTTTTTAAAAGAGGAAGTTAAACAAACCAAGGTTACTGTAATTGATGAGTTTCAAAATGAATGACCAAGACAGCTTATTACACATAAAGCCTATGTTTTTTGCAGCATTTCTTTGTTCTTACAAGACATACTGGCAAACGGTCTATGAAAAGTTACGTGGTCTTTTTCAAAATTTATTCTTATATAATCAAATCATTTCAACAGCAACGTTTAAAATTGACAAATGCGGTGTGTGAAACGTTATACAGTAAGGATGTAAACTATCAAATCTAGAAAATGCGCGTACTTGATTCGTGTTTGTTTGAACAGCAGAAGTTTCAAATTCCCTACTCTAATTGATGTCTGGTTAAGTCTAATAGGTTTTGTGACCAGGTTTGGTGCAGTAAAAAGTCGCTGATAAAACCTTACTTTTAAATGATGATTTTGTCCTCTATCAGTAAAATATTATCAGTGGACACGGCGGAAGAGATGCCAAATAGTGATACCTCACTAGTGCTGAAGTGGAAATATTGGGCAAGATTCAAATAAATGTATGGAACCCTTACTCTATACGATGACATGTAGTTCAATATCACAATCCATCATTTTAATTTATTCGATACTTTATCATTTAACTGTACCAGGCGACCATTAAATCTCCCAAAGAACGATATTTTTCGAGATATTAAACTTGTCTAAGGAAATGTTTTAGAACAATCACGATTACCCAAAAATAAGTATCGATTTTTTTTTTCCATAGCAATGAGTATTCGCACGTACGAGCAATGCAATGTTATAAATACAAAAAAAAAACAACAACACATGTTTCAGGTTATCAATCTGTTGATGTTTTGAAATACGTATGTAAGGTAGCAAATACTTTCGGAAAATAAGCTGCAGGATTGCATGGCCCTTCATTCTCCTTCTTTAGACTCTCATTGCCGCACATCGCATTGTTCAGCTCACATTCGTTTTCTGAAAACATATTAAATTGTAATCCTAGTAAAACAAAACCAAACCCCTCATCTAGTATTCTAGATATAAAGAAAAAAACTAAAAACATGTAAAAATACGACGTATAATATTTGTGAAAATAAGAATACAACACGTGGTGTTTGTAATATTAGCACTGTATTGTCAAGAAAAATGTGAAAATTATATGTATATAGGCGGGGGGGGGGCATGAAATCAGAAAGTGTTCAATGTTAAACTTATCGGATACATTATATAAAATAACACGATGTTCACCATGAATTGGCCAATTCACAAGGCCATGTTTTTTTATATACGTTACGTGTATTTTATATATTATTAAATAGAAATTGACTTACGATACGTCAGTCCGTCCGAACCGCACACCGGGTCACCAAAAGGGGGACACATGGGCGTTGTGCAAATTATCCCTCTAGAATCGACGCGATTTGGGCAGCGTCCATTGAATGCAAATTTTAGACGTGGGTTTCTGCATTGTGCCAGATTAAGTTCACATTCGTTATCTATATCAAAATTAAAGTAAAATTATGACGTGAGAAGATAAGTATATAAAGCGTCAAAAGCTCTTATATTATGTAATATGTAAGCAATGTACACTGTACTTATATGTTAGTAATGTTAGTAAATGTTTTGAAAATGGTATATCTTATTTTGAAACAATTATAGAGTTTAATTCTAAAGGCCCAGATTTGTTGTTGTGAAAGAGGTCACCTAAAGAAAGAAATGATGATTTCAGGTTCTGCATTTACACGTTCATGTCATTCTTTCAAGCATATAACTTTACCAGGGCGATGCTTTTTTATTTTCGTTATATCCATATCAAATAATTAAGTGATAGCATATGTTAATGTAACAACAAATTGTCACTGCTACCGTGTCATTTTGAGTTCAACAGATCTTCAATATTGATATTTTACGATACGTACTTTTGAACAGAAATAGCTAAAAAATAAGTTTTGTTCATACCATATGTTCGTCCGTCTGATCCACATATTGGTTCCACAATATTCTCGTCACAAAAAAGAGGACAATCATTTACAACCGTCAGAGCAGGGACTCGGTCAACTGGACCTGCACATACATCTGTGAAAAAAAGAGAAATTCTAGAGCTAGTGAGACAACAGAAAAAGGCATATTAACTCATAATCATGTGACCTAGTTCCGCACCCACCAAAACGAAATGTTCGTACCATATTGACACCCTGTGTGGTGTTCTGGAATGGTGTCAGGGAGACACAACGAAACAACGACTTGGCAGAAACCAACCATTTCATAAAAATATGAGCTAGAGCGCTTGTCAAATCTATTAAAGTTACCGTTTCATATCTTTTTTATATTTACCGAATTTTCGATCTCTCTACTAATAGACAGTTAGTCCGAACTTGGTCCATTTACCAACTTTTTCTTATATAGTAAGAGTATTTCTTTTTCTCCATAGAAAGAGTTTAATAAAATGTATTCATATTCATAACGTGATAAAAGCATTTAACATAAATAAGGAAAATAAGAATCCCTAAAGAAAGCCTAAAACGCCAAAACTGAAAATGTTGCAGACTCGTTTTGATTGAGCCTGTTCATAGACGGTACTGCCAAGTACAAACTATCGTCCACGCCTCATAGCACCAGCATTTAAACATGAAATGGTAAAATTTTGAATTTAGAAACATGCGCAGATGCGTTCATACGCCGGTTATCATGAAACCTTCAATGCGACACAGTGTCCATTCTATGATAAGCCGCGTCAAACTCCGCACACCGGTTACGCTACGGCCAGTAACTTATCCTGTAATTGGAGATCACTGCGTAGGAGATTGAAGCCGCGTATGATCCCCAAATAATAGAAAGCGTGTAAACAATGGACAGAACTAAACAAAACAGGATCAGATGTTATGAAGCTAGCGTATCACAGATAAGACGTCAAAAGACAAAGTTAAAAAGCAGGCAAAATGTCCTATGGGTGTTTCAACTTTATTTAAGCAAAAATAGTTAAAACTAAAAATACCACAAACACAACAATGATAGCAAAGCCACGTTTAATTGAAAAAAAAACATTGCACCTAAAATCTGTAGAAGAAATTTCAAACTTACAGCAAAATAAAAGTAGAAAACCAAGACTTCTAGCAATCATATTCAAGTGTTCAAGTCAATAATAACAATACACGAACCTTGTGAAGAATTTATACAATTTGTAAACATCGTAAGCAGGGACGTATCAATTGTGTTTTGCCATTCTTAAAATATGTTGTCATTTTTATTTATTTATATATTTTTTATTTCTTTATTTCTTTATTTATTTTGAAAAATCATTCATTTTGTAGTGTTTTGTGTCGCCTGTTTCCTCTTTCTTTCCTTCTTGCTGTCTTGTCTTTAATGAAGGTAGCTGATTTTCAAAGTGATTTTCCACATAAAATAATCTGGGGGAAGGCCACTTGAAACAATAGCTGACTACGACCATGGATAGAACAGAAATAGAACAAAGTATTGCCATGTTATTTGTAGGAGATAAGAATGAGTGCTTATCCTGGTTCAACTAAAATTAGATACACAATAAAATATGTATAAAATACAGTACTTGACTTCTGGAGCGGCAAGTGCTAAAAACATCTTAAATACAAGTACTTTTTAATGCACGACTCTAGACTTGTTTGTGTATACATTTTTTAAACGACTATGAGTTTTATATTTTACTATTAAATAATTTCATTTCATTTGTTTTCTTATGGTTTGTTGGTTTTTATTATGCAAAATATCAAGTCGGGTTGCAGACCTTCGTTTAATTTTAAGTTGAAGCAAAATTGTGATGCATTTGCTCAGATTTAATCTATTTATCTATTGATAATAACTTTCTGTATCGTGTGCGATGCCTACATATTTTATTTGCAATTATTTTTTTATTTTTTGTCAGGGAATATTACGTAAGTTATTGCTACGGCAGCTGATTCGTTTGTAACCGTACTTGGTTTTACTTCACACACTGCTCCTTCATAATGTTGGTCGCATGAGAGCCGACAAACATCCGGTTCATTGTTGAAAAATGCGGCCGATAAACATGTGCCATTTTTATGAAGTTCCCATTCAAAATTAAGGACTTTTTTTCTTAACTTTTTCAACGTCACTCATGTAAGAATCTAAAAATTCATGCTATTGGAATTTGTTTGAGGTTGAACCATTATTTCAGATAAGTTTTGATGACGTCTGTAATTGGCAAATTGTATGACCTTTACAGTAACACCGGCAAACATCTCACTAAAAGTACTCGATGACTCTTTAAATTTTGTTTCAATGTATGTACAGTATATAGAAGTAGTTCATGTAATATTTTATCAGTACATATATAGTAACGTGCTGTTTATTAGCAAAAAGATCAGGGAAGTTCTACGCAAGATTTTAGCTTACTATTTGATATAAATACTAACCAACATACAGCAATTTAAAAAAAAAATCAATGTCGAGTTTAGCCACAATTACCAACAGAATAAAAAGTTCCGGGTAAATTTCATCAACAACCGGGAACTTTTAATGGCATCATTTAGTAGCAACCACAACCCCATAACGGCCTCTGGCTCTTATGGGTAGGATGTATCTGTGGATAAAGCTCTAAGGATATTTGTACCGAACTTGAATGACTTACATTGAAAAGATTGTTCAAATCGTTCAAATCTAAGGGTTGTCGACGTTCCTGAACAAGTTCCACAAACTTTCAATCGGATTAAAATTCGTACTTTTGGCTGGCCAAGAAGCACACGTATGCGGTTCTCAGTCAGCATGGGTTGTGTTGACCTAGCTGCGTGGCAAGGAGCGGAGGAACTGGTCTAGTAACTTGGTCCCGTTGAGATTACCTTCATCTAGTCCAACTAATTAGACTTGTCAAAGAGACACCGAGATAATTTTGAACGGGCGCTGTCTTTTTCGGGTTGACAGTAAGAAAAAAAGTCTGTAAAATGTGTCAAACCGTTCACGCCGAATTAATTAGGCTAACCTTCATGTAAACAAGCGTTGTGTTGGAATGTATAGAGATACCTGCCCAGACCATGATCGAGGGACCACCTGAACGATCCGCTTGAATCACAGTTACGTTCCCCACGGCGTCCGGAAACACACGTGCACCCATCTACATTGTACTTCTCAGAACTTTATCCTCCTGTCATCGACGAATAAGAAAATCGCACAATCAACACTGGTGAACCTCATATGCCGTCTAGCCAATAAGAGGCTAATATGTTTGCGTTAAAGTAGTCACATGTAAGAGCCATTGCTATTTTCTCGTGCGAAAAGACCAAGATTACATATTGCGTTTCGCTTGAGTGGAAAATGAATATCAATTGAATCTTGTATCATGCCAAATGGCTCGAAACGTTCAATTTGATTTAATATAACATATTTTCCAAATTTGGTGCGATTTAGTTACTAGAGTGAGAGTGTGCGCTTTAGTTTTTAAAGGAACAATTAAGATGTTTCTGTTCTATTATTCACTATTGAATTTCATCTTAAGCTAGGGTGTCGGGTGAACCGCGTGCTACTAGCAAAAGTATTAATCATGACGACAACCGACACGTTGAGTTTAAGTTTTTGTGGTTTAAATGTCACTTCAGATTCTTTTCTCTTTTGCATTATCAATAATGGGATCCTTTTTTGCTCACAAAAATCCAGTCAAAAAAGGATCCCAGTACGGTATATAGACATTTTTGTCACAGTCTCAATATATATGTTATTTCAACATGTAGGATTTTATTTAATACTACTTTATATATATATATATATGAATCATGTATACTTTGCCTTTAATTAAAATATAACATGTGATCGACGAAACCACTTTCGCACCTCTTCAAAAATTAAGTTCGCCGAACCGGTAGTTCGACGAAACCACCATAATTCTCGTAAATAAAGTACTATTTCTACTTCTTCTTCTTCCAATATACTGGCCACCTTCAACTAACTGAAGTTTACTGCCAGGTCTACTGTACAGGTTATAAGTAGATGAGTGTAATATACTACAATAATATACTTTGTCTTAGTAAATTCTTAAATCATTTCTTTTCCTTCAAGTTCTTATTATCATTTTCTAGACTACAGGTTCATTTAATTTAGTACCGTGTATTCATTTTTTGTTGGGGGTTTCCCGTGCTTAAAATAGATTTTATCACGTGACTTACGGGAATTTCCATCCATTTTGACAAAGTTTTCATTTACGAAAATGTATCAGTTTCACTTTCATTCGTAAGAAAAAGGTAATATTTTGTAGTCTGGGCTTATTTATCATGTGTTTTAAAGACATATATAACAATAAAGCCAGGAAATGCGTTGTAAGTCACTTAAAACACACTTACTTCAGATTACTACGTAATCGGACATCAAATATTCGGACACGAAGTTTAACAGTTTAAAAACACAAATTATATGCGATATAATATCGCTGTTTAAGTTTAATAATTAAGCAATTTAGTGATTCCTCTGTCACCTATTGTTCCATTGTCAATACATGATATTCGGTATGATTACTGAGCTTTAAATAGTCAATTTAGTAAAATGAAATGATACCTTAATAAGGTTCCTTGGGAAACGGACAAAAGCCCTCCCGGACAAAAGCCCTCCCGTCAAAAAATGACAAGGCGGACAAAAGCCCTCCAGTGAAATTGACAGGGCGGACAAAAGCCCTCCCATGAAAATACCAGGCGGACAAAAGCCCTCCCATGAAAATGACTGCGAGGACAAAAGCCCTCCCGTCAAATTAACAAGGTGGACAAAAGCCCTCCATACATGTGATATCCCGGCGAGATTTTTAAAAATCCCGATATTTCGACACTGATCCTGATTCCCGATATTACAGCTTGAATTCCCGATTTTTAAAAAAAAATCAACATAAAATATATCAAACACAGCACCTGTTCCTAAAATTTTATGTAAACCGTGCCTCCGGGCATTGATTGTTATCTGTCCATATCCTAAATTATAGCGGATTAAATGTTGTGTCGCTAATTGACGGAAAGGTGTCGTAATAAACAGTTCCATCACCCAAAGTTAAACTTAACACGTGTTGTGTGTCCGTCAATTGACCTCTTTTATAATTTGGCAGAAGGTATTACACGCTACGTCATCAAAACGACCCTGTAAATTTACATGCATGAATTCGGCTCAACCTTTGATTAGTGCCGCACTGATAAAGATTAAAGGTGAGCAGAATCATTTAAAGTGGATCGTTCAAAAACCTGTTTGAGATGCGGCAAAACCATGTCTAATTAACCTATTTTCATTGAGTGGGTAATTTTTTTGTTTTGTTTAGGAATTACACAATCATCGAGGCAAGAATGTGGATTTAATTAACTGAATGATTTTTGCATTTATTTTGAGTCTTCTACTTACGTTATGTTATTTAACTGTCAGTCTTATGCTCATGAATAGTTGTTGCACGTTTTCAAATTTTTGTTTGTTTGTTTGTTTCATTTTACGCCTTTTTCCTACAGTATTTCAGTCATATAGGCGGGTAGTTTCAAGTAGCTTGTGTTTTAAATTATTAGCCAATTATTGTATGACTGAAAAGACAGATATAATAATTTAAACTGAAAATAATGAAATGTGAAAATGTGACTGTTTTAGAAATAGCCTGTTTTAGAAATAGCCTGTATGACTACACTTATTTATTTATCTATTTATTTATTTTTTGGTGAATAAATTAATATTGATTAACAAAAAAATCATAAAAAATATAATCATTTATTGGTTTTAGGGTAATATAGATTCTTTGAACCAAATGTGCCAAATACGCATTGAAATTAGAGTCAATAAAAAATCCAGTTTTGAGCCTCAAAATCCAGCTGAAAATCCAGATTTGGTCCATTTCATTTGTCACATGTATGGCCCTCCCGTAACAAAATTAAAAATGTATGTTGAATACTTGTGATTTTTTCAATGCACTCAACATAATGAAATTGGTACATACATGTACATTTCTTGTTGTTTTCAATTGGCCTAAGTATATGTATGAGCTAGAACCACCTTTTATTCTGCACATACCTTCCTGAAATGTTTAACGATTTAACTTTTTTACACGAATGTCGTTAAAAACAAAGTCACTTTTAAAAGTAATTGACTCATTTCAAGGCACGTTATAAATGTCTTTAACTTTTAAGTTAATTTTAACTTATTTTCATCATTTATTACTCTATTAATCTTAACTTCAGATAGGAGTAATCCTTCATATTTACATGAATAAATATGCACTTACAGATTTTAGCACTAATTATTCAGATGCCTCTCAGGAATGTTCTCAAGCTCATACAAACACCCTTATGGCAATGGAAAACAAAAATATTCTTGATTACAATGTGAATATGTTGAGTGCATTGAAAAGAAAATATAAACTATTCAACATACATATATGTATTTGCTGCGGGAGGGCTTTTGTCCGCCCTATTATTTTCAAGGGAGGGCTTTTGTCCGCCAAGTCATTTTTACGGGAGGGTTTTTGTCCGCCCTGTCAGTTTCATTTTCATGGGAGGGCTTTTGTCCGCCTTGTCATTTTCACAGGAGGGCTTTTGTCCGCCTTGTAACTTTTTGACGGGAGGGCTTTTGTCTGGGAGGGCTTTTGTCCTACACTCATGTTCCTTGTTACTTTTGGCAAAACACTAGACAGAGTGAAATGCTGATACAAGAATCATGTAGTATTTCAGCCACTGCAGGGATCATTCTTGGTGAAGATTTACTGACTTTCTGCATATAAATCATTTAAATTGGTTGAATGTTAGAAATCTTGCACCACTTCAAAATTAAGAAGGCAACGATCTGAGATATGGCATCATATGCATCGTTTACGTCATTGATAAGAGATCTGTTCTTAAACACATTGATAAGTTTCGGACAAAGAATCTGGATTAATCTACATGTAGATTATACAAGATAATGGTTACTAATACTTTTATTCACAAATTCTCTCAATGCAAATGATGTTCCTGGAGCAAAACTTACGTAAAGCATGATTGGAAGCATTCTTATGTACAACAACGATGATGGTTATATTGTAGGGTTTTAAAAACATCTGGAAACAAAGATGATCTGGTGTAAAACAAATTACCTTCGGGACAAGACTTTCCCTGCAAGTCAATTTTAGAAAAATGCCGGCACTTGGCAATTTGTTTTTGTTTTACTTCAGTATTTTGTTTCAAAATTTGAAATGGTAAGATGATATTGTATGGTTTAACTTTTAAGTCTATACCATTGGAAATTTTGTTTCTATGTAAAATACGAAGATTGGAGATGTCATGAATCTATCCACCAAGTCCTACTAGCATTAGATTAATATCTTACAATAAGCAATATTTTACCTCAATGAATTTTTTTCACAGTATTTTACAGCCGATTAAAGGCTGTTTCCCCTAGCCCAAAATATGTATTTTTCCCCCTAAAAATGCTAATGTCCCGTGCTCTTCCTTACCAGAACCATGACTTATAAATTAAAAGTCATTTGTATTTTTATTTCCCTTGGATATGTCTCACACAAAATATTTGTGGTTAAAATCATCAGCAATTATATTTAAATGTCACTTTTAAAAGGACAGTGTTAAGTTGTCCCTTTCCTTTTCACACTAAATTCTATTTCCAACTTAATTTCTTCTTACAATTGTGTAAAATTTCTTAAAATATTGCATTTAAACAATGTTAATATTCGCTGATTAACAACATGTATTTTGTGTACATAATTGCTTGTCCAAAAGTCAGCACAGGTGATGGAGTGGTGTTTGGATAAAATCTATTTTTAGAATAGTGTTATGCTATTGGAGTGTCATGGTTTGGTTTTAGTAATACACAATACCACATCTGCAAGTGTGTTTTAATACTTTTAAGTCTGTGCTTAACTAGTTTTTACAATTTGTTCTTAAGCCAATCAGAGCATGAGGTTTTTCCATTAATCAGAGGTTCATGTAAAGTTTTGTGTAATCGGCATAATTATAGTTTATTTATTGTACATGCAACAATCACAACATGTCCAACCAGCATTTATTTAGGTATTGCTTTTACTTCATAGATTAATTGATATTTGAAGAATAATAGTTGGGAACATTTGTACACACTTTGCATCTAGTTGTTTTCCTTAAAAAAAATAAATTAATGCTACTCAGATTCATTGCTGTTTATTATTTCAACAATAAATATGCTTAACTTTAATACTGATATAAATCGTTTAGTTTATACAAATTTATTTTAGTTCGATTGTGTTGGAAGCTATGTATTAGCTTAATGAAACACTCCTTGAACCAACCAGTACTATGCAACGAATGTAAAGTTTCTTGCTCATGGAAATAAGTTGGCTTGCCCCTTTTTTAATTCCAAAACATCCTGTGGCTTCCTGTAGTGGTAAATATATAGCATAATATATCAGAATAAAAGGGACGATGATCAACTGAGAATGTGTTATAGACTCATAGCCACAGTTTTACTCAAGGCCTTTTTCTATTTACATGCAATTAAACATGCAACATACAAAGCAGAGACTAATGTTCTTACAAATCAACAAATATATCTTATCTTGAAATGCACAAAATATTCTACATTACTGTGGTAATCCACATAACTTTTCAAACACTAATATGGAATAGTCATACATGTATCAATGTGTCATATTGATGTAATATTGTAGTAATTGGACTACTTGCAGGTCATCCTGGTGCAGGAATAGTTAAGGATGTCTCAGGTTATAAAGAAAGGGCCATGGAGTGAGGAGAGGATGCTGGGATCAGGTGGATTTGGGGCTGTCACACTGTGGAAAAATGAGGTATATACAGCACATACAGAATTGAGTTTAATATTATTCTTTAATAAAACTATTTTTCAACACTGCACAAGGAACTTAAATCATATAATATATACTGACATATATTCACATATTGATTTTTGTTTTTCAAAAGCATTGTGGTGAATATAAAAAATTAAATTTTTCTTAGTGTTTTGAAAAGTAGTATTTATGTTGTTCTCAGTTCTATTATGTCAAAGAGCCCTCATTTGTTAATGGACTTTGGATTGGCTATTTTAAAATTGATATGTATCATTTTTTACATATTTGTAAATTTAATGTTGCAATTAATTTGTTTGATTTAGTCTTTGATATGTTATTTGAAGATGAAATATACCCTTTTGGTTGGTATTAATTTTCATAGTCTATTAGTTGAGATCCATAACTCTGACATTGATTTTGACTGAATAATGACCCTTTGCAAACTTGATTTTGAATCCAACATCAGTCAAGAAAACAACTGAGGGTAAATTTAAAACTTAATACCTGTCTTACATTAATATTAAAAATTATTGAAGGTATTTACTTGAAATCCAATTCATGTCTTTGAAATTATTATGGAAAGTAAGTGTCCAAGATTCATTAAGGACTTGTGAACTTTTAAATTTCTTTTTCAATTTCCAAGACTCATTAAACATGTTAATATATATTTCAAATGAAATATTCCTATTTGTTAATTCTGACATTATTCAAGCTCTTGTTGTACTACAAAGCACTGAGAATAGTCAAGCATACTGTCCTACTGACACCTCTACAGCCAAGAAGCAAAGTTTACATTTGTTTTCTTGCGTTCATTAATCATGTATTATATAGGAGACTGATGAGAAGATAGCTTTGAAGCGATGTCGTTTACAGAATGAGATGACAGAGAAGCATAAACAGAGGTGGATTTTAGAAATTCAGATTATGCAGAAGTTACAACATGAGAATGTCATCTCTGCCATGGATGTACCAACCATTCTTGATGTTATGCCAAATGAATTACCGTTACTGGCCATGGAATACTGCTCTGGGGGAGATTTAAGGAGGGTATGTGTCGTAAATTTTGTATTACTTTAAAAAGTTGTAAGATATTTATGAGGATAACAAGTACAAGCTAGTAATTGTTCAATCTTTAGAAATTAATTTTCTTTGAATTTGAACTAATCATACCTCACCTTCTAGTTTAGACATTGACTTGGTATTACAGATAGTATTATCAACTAAATGGCTGACATACAAAAGCTTAAATAATTTATTGAAAGAGTCAAACAGATTTGGCAATGTTAGTAATAAATTGTCTTTATCCTATACCAGAGATCTGCCGAGGACGCGATTTTGCGCCATTGGCGCTAAAAAAATGAGAATGGCGCAGGAAAATCGGCAGCAAAGGGCCATGGGCGCATCTAAAATTTGTGCCAGACTTATAAGAAAACACAACTGTCTGCTGGGTTATTCAGTCATCCAGTCAAAGCTGGTACCAACAGCAACATGTTACCCATGCTCCTGTAATTACGCATATTCTTGAGTTTATCCATTCCCCTATAGCTTTTGTCCATGTTATCTACTTACCGCATTTCTTCTCATAATCCCTTTCCCACACAGATACTCATTTCTACTACCGTAAATTTAATCCGATAAAACAAACAAACAAATTATACAACTACTTAATATTTAAAATGATTATCGGTAACTGAAAAAAAAAGTGTTGCTATTTTAAGAAATGCTGTAATTTACAGTATAATATGACAGGTGTTCAACTTGATCAACCCTAAGCTTAGGTCACTAAAGTTCACGTAAGTTTCGGCTGATGAAGTGTACATAAAAAAAAGTTGTATATTTCGTCATCAGAATGTTTGACAGGGTGATTAACCAATCAGAGAAACATTGTGCATGACTTTTTTCATTATCAAAAGGTCTGTCAGCAAATGTCTTTGATGTATGCTGTCTACACAGAGGCATACAAGGGGCAATAAAATTCGTCAATATACAGTGGTAAGGGACATTTGGTGCAAAGTAGGAACAATTAAATGGATAATGCACAATATAAGACATTACAAGTAAGAACCAGCAATTATGTGAATAAATTTGCATATCAAATTTTTGAGCAGCCATTTAAAAAATATTTTCATTTTTGCCTGCAATTAATATTAGTTAGAAAGTTACCATGTAGGCATAATTTTTAGCTCGACTATTCGCAGAATAATCGAGCTAATGCAGTCACCCATTTGTCGGCGTCGGCGTCCCTGTGGTTAAGTTTTTGTATGTAAGCTGGTATCTCCATAACTACTGAAGGGAATGGATTGAAACTTCACACACTTGTTCTCTGTGATTATCTAAGATGATTGGCACTAGTCCCATAACTCTGAATTGTTTTATTTCATAATTATGCCCCTTTTTCGACTTAGAAAATCTTGGTTAAGTTTTTGTATGTAAGCTGGTATCTCCATAACTACTGAAGGGAATGGATTGAAACTTCACACACTTGTTCTCTGTGATTATCTAAGATGATTGGCACAAGTCCCATAACTCTGATTTGCTTTTTTTCATAATTATGCCCCTTTTTCGACTTAGAAATTCTTGGTTAAGTTTTTGTATGTAAGCTGGTATCTCCATAACTACTGAAGGGAATGGATTGAAACTTCACACACTTGTTCTCTGTGATTATCTAAGATGATTGGCACAAGTCCCATAACTCTGGTTTGCTTTTTTTCATAATTATGCCCCTTTTTCGACTTAGAAATTCTTAGTTAAGTTTGTGTATTTAAGCTGTTATCTCCATAACTACAGAAGGGAATTGATTGAAACTTCACACACTTGTTCTCTGTGTTTATCTAAGACGATTGGCACAAGTACCATAACTCTGATTTGCTTTTTTACATAATTATGCCCCTTTTTCGACTTAGAAATTCTTGGTTAAGTTTTTGCGTGTAAGCTGGTATCTCCATAACTACTGAAGGGAATGGATTGAAACTTCCCACACTTGTTCTCTGTGATTATCTAAGATAATTGGCACAAGTCCCATAACTCTGATTTGCTTTTTTACATAATTATGCCCCTTTTTTGACTTAGAAAGTCTTGGTTAAGTTTTTGCATGTAAGCTGGTATCTCCATAACTACTGAAGGTAATGGATTGAAACTTCACACACACTTGTTCTCTCTGATTATCTTAGATGATTGGCACAAGTCCCATAACTCGGATTTGCTTTTTAACATAATTATGCCCCTTTTTCGACTTAGAAATTTTTGGTTAAGTTTTTGCGTGTAAGCTGGTATCTCCATAACTACTGAAGGGAATGGATTGAAACTTCACACACTTGGTCTCTGTGATTATCTAAGGTGATTGGTACAAGTCCCATAACTCTGAATTGTTTTATTTCATAATTATGCCCCTTTTTCGACTTAGAAAATCTTGGTTAAGTTTTTGTATGTAAGCTTGTATCTCCATAACTACTGAAGGGAATGTATTGAAACTTGAAGAGTTTGTACCTTTTCGGACAATTTTATGTATTCATATAGGTAAGCATTATTATACTCAATGAAACACCCTTGTGACAAATTTTCGAATAGTCGAGCTTTACTGTCCTCCGACAGTTCTTGTTAATTATTGGTAAAGTACTGAATTATAAGTGAACCACTTGTCATAAAATATGATTTGAGTTTTATTACGGGGGAAATTCAATTATCTACAAACTTTTTAACAGTTATTTTGGTCAATGTTTACTTATTTTCCCAAGGCCCATACTTTGGTAAAAATGGCCCATCATTTTCAGACCAAGTGGGCCCTGGGCCCAGTACTTTCAAATTCTTGGCAGATCTCTGCTATACCATGGTGCAGCAGTGTAATAAAGCCATTTAATAAAAACAATATCATGCTAGTGTAAAACTGTTTGACGTGACATCATTATTTTGACATTATATACAAGTATAGCATTAGAAGCGCGCTTATATTATCGTTACACTACAGGTGCGTCAATGAAAAATGATACTCTTTCTGTAAACTGTTGTTATTTAGAATATGTGATAAACAGAAAATTATATATGTGTAGATTCAATACTACATCATGGAAATGTTAGGCAGATATGTTAGCCTTGAAAAATGTTTTTATACGGTCAGAATGAAACATCATATGTGTGTTTTGATGAAATATATATTTCCAGTGAAGCCATGTCTTATAAATACTTTGACTTTGATACATTTTTCCTTCACCTTATTTTCATTGAAGTCCACAAATCTGTCCTGCTAAAAGTGTACGGTATGTAATTTCATCTTATTTCTTCAATTGGGATGTCATTTTATGTCTGGAGTAAATCACAGAGAGAAAACTTTGGTCTCTCTCCACCAAAGCAGGAAAAATCCTTTAATGTGTAGTCACGTAATAGTGATATAATGTACCATATCTTATTTCTTAAAAGAAATGAACAAAAAAGAAAAATGTTTTATTGCAGATATTAAATCAGCCACAGAATTGTTGTGGATTGAAGGAGTTTGCAATACGCTCACTGATACATGACGTCTCTGCGGGGTTAGAATATCTACATGGAAAAAAGATCATACATAGAGACTTAAAACCAGAAAATATTGTCCTTAATACCGTGGAAGAGAGGGTATATAACAATGCTGAACAGTTCTTATTTTATAGTTTTTATGAAAATGATAGATAACATTATACCATATTCAAGTAAAATGACAAATTCAAGTGATTTTTGTTTTGGTACAATGTAATACTTATGTATGAATATTTGTAAGATAAAAGTCCAGACTGGTATAATGTCAAAGCTTTACATATTTTCATCTACAAAACAAAGAATAATAAAAATAGCTGAGATACCCAACAGTTTCTGTTCCAATTTTTTTCTTTTAATATGTTATAAATAATTTATAACTACATGTATATGACTGAATAAAGGAATGCCAATCAAATTGCTGTAAGATATATATACCAGTATATATATAAGTTGGATATATGTAACATTTGTTAGCACTTTAAAGTGATAGATCTGTAAGAATTATTTTGTTGGTGATTTTTATAGGTTGTGTATAAGATAATTGATCTTGGTTATGCCAAAGAATTGGATCAGGGCAGTGTATGTACATCATTTGTGGGAACATTGCAATATCTTGTAAGTATTTAACTAAGTTTTGATACACATGTTATACTAAAATGATTCTTGGAGATCTTTGATGTAATGGCTGCCATCATAGAGTTATCTTTTTTAGCTCACCTGTCACAAAATGACATGGTGAGCTTTTGTGATCGCTTTTCGTCTGGCGTCAATTGTCCGTCTGTAAACTTTTACTTTAAACAACATCTCCTCATAAACTGCTAAGCCAATTTCATCCAAACTTCACAGGAATGTACTTTGGTAGTCATCTTTAAAATTTGTTCAAAGAATTTAATTCCATGCAGAACTCTGGTTGCCATGGCAACCAAAAGAAAAAACTTAAAAAATCTCCTTTTAAAAAAACGAAAGAGGTAGAGCTTAAATATTTGGCATGGAACATCATCTAGTCAGTTTTTACAAAGTTTGTTCAAATAAAAGCCCTGGGGTCAAAATTGGCCCCACCCCAGGGGGTTATTGATTTTCCTTATTTGTATACAGTAAAAACTTAAAAAATCTTCTTTTAAAAAAACGCATATAGCTAGTGCTTAGATATTAAGCATGAAATATCTTCTTGTGAGTGTCTACCAAGTTTGTTCAAATAAAAGCCCTGGGGTCAAAATTGGCCCCACCTCAGGGGGTCATTGTTTATCCCTTTATGTATATAGTAAAATAAAAACTTAAAAAAATCTTCTTTCAAAAAAAACCCCTAAGTTATGGCATGTATGCCTAAGAGCTAGAGCTAAGATATTATTTAGCATGAAAAATTTTCTAATGGGTGTCTACCAAGTTTGTTCAAATAAGGGCCCTGGGATTACAATTGGCCCTGCCCCAGGGTCATTGATTTTCCTTAAATGTGTATAGTAAAAACTTAAAAAATCTTCTTTTAAAAAAACCCAAAGAGCTAGAGTTGAGATACTAAGCCTGAAATATCTTCTACTGAGTGTCTACCAAGTTTGTTCAAATAAAAGCCCTGGGGTCAAAATTGGAATTGACCCGCCTCGGGGGCCTATATACGGGTGAACAATTTTAGGGCCATCACTTGTTTTGTAATTTCAATTAATTATGTGTATTTTCTTATTGCTGACTCATAATGTTCATTTGTTAAGATTTATTTGTAATGTTTTTAACAAAGTAAAGCGAGACAAGAACCCAGATGAAATTAAATTTTACCTCTCTTTCTAATGCCAACTCGATACGGTTACATACCTTATTACCGGATTGTACATAAAAATCGTACCAAGACTATGATGTGTTTAAACAAGATTATCGAATATAAAATTCTTGAAAATCTCTATTAAGGTTTAAATATATGTGTAAGACTTGTTACATTTAAATCTACTATAGTTTCAACTGTAACTTATTTGAACCTCTGTTGAGTTTGCTTTCTTGAACTAATACCAGTATCATATCAAGAAATTTTTGATCTACATATATAACACAATTTATTATAGGCTCCTGAGCTGTTTGCCAGTCAGAAGTATACATGCACAGTAGATTACTGGTCATTTGGAACTGTAGTGTTTGAGTGTATAACAGGTTACCGTCCATTCCTTCCTAACAGCCCGCCCGTCCAATGGTTTGTACAGTTCTTTAAGAATATTTTGATGATTTTTGCTACTTTTACTTTAATCACTATCAAATTGTATTTGTCATTTTATGTTAAATATACTTTTTTCATTCATTTAGCCATTAAACAGAATTCTATATTGATTTTTAGTTCAAATTAACCAGCAGTTTTCTGTCTTAAGCAATCTCATGGTGATACCATAGTCTGTTTGCCCTACATAGATTTTAATGTATACAATATTTACATGATACACTGCTATACTGCTTATATTACAAGCATACTTGAAGAAACCAGCAATATTGTAATAGTTTTTAGCTTACCTGAGCACACAAAGCTCAAATGTGAGCTTTCGTGATGGCAGATGTCCGAAATGTCTTTAAACATCTCCATTTTAACTAGCTGATTTTGACTGAACTTCTCAAGAATGATTCATAGGTTTCCCCATGGAAAAGATATATAAATGGTTCCATTCTTATGTATAAGTTGATCACAACTCACAAGAGCTAAATTAGACTTTATAATGAAATCTTTGAAAATTTCTCCTCACAAACACTATGCCAAGAGCATGGATATTTGGCTCTTGGCATCACCTTGTGGTCCTCTACCAAAGTTATATACACATTGTCCCTCAGGTCAAAATATGGTCCCTTAGTTTAATTAGACTTATACTGAAAAATGCGTTAAAGTCTTCTTGTTTAATACTGAAATGCCTAGATGTTTGGCAAATAGCATTGCCTAGTAGTGGCACATAGCATTGCCTAGTAGACCTTTCCAAAAGTGACAAAATTAATTATCCTGTGGTCAAAAATTGCCCCATCCTTGTGGTAACTTAGTTTTTACACAGACTTTTACAGTAAATTTATCTGAAAGTCTCATTACTCCTGCTCCAATTGTTATAGTACTATCTCCCTCATGAACTACAAACTATCCTTTAGTTAATAATTTTTTTTTACTTTTACTTAATTAGTTCTTGAGGAATACTTTCAAACTTTTTCTTCGCCTCCCAACCCTATATGTGATAAAGTCAAGTACATTGTACCAAAAGGTTAATTTAAACTAAAAAATTATTGTTTTTAGGCATAAAGAAGTGTGCAAGAAATCTCCAGAAGATATTTGTGCAAAAATAGATGATCATGGAGAAGTAAAGTTTTATAAAACAGTACCAACAACAAATAGATTAAGCAGGTAATAGTACATAATCTATATCACTAGTGCACACCAGGACAACATTTATGCTCTTAACCAATGGTTCATTGATATATCAGTATGTCAAGGATGTACCATTATGTTGATTGTACACCAGTATGTCAGTGATATACCAATAGGACAGTGTTATATACCAGTATTTTAATGTGATATACCAGTTTGTCAGATTGATATACCAGTATAATGAAGTGATATACCTTTATGTTTGTCTGATATACAAGTAAGTTTCCTGTGATATACCAGTATGTTGAAGTAATATACCAGTATGCCAGTGTGAAAAACCAGTATGTTGAAGTAATATACCAGTATGCCAGTGTGAAAAACCAGTATGTTGAAGTAATATACCAGTATGCCAGTGTGAAAAAACCAGTATGTTGAAGTAATATACCAGTATGTCGGTGTGATGTACCCAGTATGTTGAAGTAATATACCAGTATGCCAGTGTGAAAAACCAGTATGTTGAAGTAATATACCAGTATGTCAGTGTGATATACCAGCATGTCGGTATGATGTACCAGTATGTTGAAGTAATATACCAGTATGTTGAAGTAATATACCAGTATGCCAGTGTGAAAAACCAGTATGTTGAAGTAATATACCAGTATGCCAGTGTGAAAAACCAGTATGTTGAAGTAATATACCAGTATGTCGGTGTGATGTACCAGTATGTTGAAGTAATATACCAGTATGCCAGTGTGAAAAACCAGTATGTTGAAGTAATATACCAGTATGTCAGTGTGATATACCAGCATGTCGGTATGATGTACCAGTATGTTGAAGTAATATACCAGTATGTTGAAGTAATATACCAGTATGCCAGTGTGAAAAACCAGTATGTTGAAGTAATATACCAGTATGCCAGTGTAAAAAACCAGTATGTTGAAGTAATTTACCAGTATGTTGAAGTAATATACTAGTATGCCAGTGTGAAAAACCAGTATGTTGAAGTAATATACCAGTATGCCAGTGTGAAAAACCAGTATGTTGAAGTAATATACCAGTATGTCAGTGTAAAAAACCAGTATGTTGAAGTAATATACCAGTATGACGGTATGATGTACCAGTATGTTGAAGTAATATACCAGTATGTCAGTGTAAAAAACCAGTATGTTGAAGTAATATACCAGTATGCCAGTGTGAAAAACCAGTATGTTGAAGTAATATACCAGTATGTCAGTGTAAAAAACCAGTATGTTGAAGTAATATACCAGTATGTTGAAGTAATATACTAGTATGTTGAAGTAATATACCAGTATGTTGAAGTAATATACTAGTATGTTGAAGTAATATACCAGTATGTTGAAGTAATATACTAGTATGTTGAAGTAATATACTAGTATGTTGAAGTAATATACTAGTATGTTGAAGTAATATACCAGTATGTTGATGTAATATATCATAATGTTGAAATATTATACAAGTATGTCAGTGTTATATACCAGAATTTTATGTAGATGACATTTGTTTAGAAACCATTTCGTTAAATATGTATTTTATAGCACAGGATAACCTTTTCAGAGTATTTGTTTCATGATTTTGAACTTTTCTGCCCTATATCTAGATCTATGCAAACATACCTTGAACAGTGGCTGCGGAACATGTTACGATGGGATCCCAAGGCTAGAGGGGGCGGGCTTGTGAAGGCAGGGAGACCAGCAGTATTTCAAATGCTAGATAATATTCTTCAAATGAAGGTAAACATCACAATAAGTTTAATCTGTTTTAACTGTAGTCTACCAGCAGTTATATTGACTTGTGTATGTCACCAGTATAACATGCTTATCTCAGCAATCTGACTTTTATCTGGGTAATCTGACCTGATTGTACACTGTTGCCTGCTTAGTTCAAACATTTAAGGGAAACCATCACCTGGTGGTTGATTTAATCATATTTTATTGCTAATATATACATGTTAATATAACAGAGACAACAGGTTTTTGAAATAATGAATAGCAAATGGGTTGGGCCCAAGTTCTTTCAACATTAGCGATTTGCCCTCCACTCTAAGTAGTTAAGGTGTATGCCTCTCAGCTTAGCTCTAAGAATGGTCAGAAAATACTGTGAGCTTCTTATACATTAAAGGTGGTTTAAACTTATTACAACAATATGATATTGAAATCCCATAAATTCACAATAAACTAAGCCAACTTCAGTTAAGGACTAGTTCATTACACAAACTCAGGGTGGTCAAAGCTAGAGTGTTGGTTGACTAAGATCTTATGATAAATGATACAGATGTTTGATTTGTGTTCTGAATGTAGCTTTTTGTGCTAGATGGAAATAAATGATCTGAAAAGTTTCAAAATTTGAGACCATATCAAATAAAAAGTCAGTCTCTAATTATAATTGGAATTTCATTGATAAAAAATGTTTTCAAATTGGAAAATATTTCATCAAGTTACATAATAAATAGTTACCTGAACAATAAATTAATAATAGATTATTACAACTAAAAGTTCAGACCAGTGCTTGACTTTATGGCTATATACTTTGTATGTTTTACCATATACATGTACATGTACATAATTCTGCATAGTTTTGAATTTGAAATTTATTGAAATGAATTTGAATCTTGTAAAGATCTAAGCTGTATAGTATTTATTGTATAAAGCTATCAATGTAAATGTTAAGAAGACATGTTAATTCATTCATTCAAACATTTGTTATGTTTTGTTGTAGATTATATACATACTAAATGTAGCTTCGAATGAGTTGTTAACCTACCCTGTGATAGACCAACACGACATGTCCGACCTACATAAACGTATAGAGGAGGAAACAAAGATTCCTGTACCAGAACAAGATATTATACTCGCTAACGGGGTCACTCCTGAGAAGGAAAAACCGGCCTCGCAATGCTGGCTCGAACCTGTAAGTTCTGTTTGAAATTTCACATTATGAGTTGTATACTTGTACTGAGTGGTTACAGTGTACGAAGTGTAGTTGTACTATATATCTCTCGTAATGGGATTGTATGATCAAATGATTATAATGTGCAGATTTTTGCATATATAGCAACAATAGTCAATTTAATCATTGTTAAACAATCTGTTATTGATAAAAAAAGAAGTGATAACCTTGTTTATTCCTTGTTTAACTTTACATCAAAGCATAATTTGAATATTTCTTGACTAGGATTATGCTTTTGAACTATATTACCCTTAAGGGCCTTGGTAAATGAGTAGAAAGCGTGACTGATAGAGAGAATTACTTGCCCTTAAATGCTATTAGTTTAAAAACTCTAAATGGACTTTGATAACTTCTGACAAAAAAATATCCAGCAGGCTTATAAGAGGATGGTAGTTCTGCTCAGGTGCAATTTTCTTCCTTCTGGCAGTATTAACTTTGGCAGTTATTGACAAGTTTTGTTTTAACACGGCATATTGATCTCTTCTCTCTTCCAATTAGATGTTCTTCATCAATGTTGTAAATGCTTGACAAAATATAACCTTGAATTCCAAGTTTGCTGAGATATCAGAATTATAACTATATGAGCCGCTTCACGACAAAACCAACTTAATGCGTTTGCGACCAGCATGGATCCAGACCAGTTTGCACATCCTCGCAGTCTGATCAGGATCCATGCTGTTTACTTATAAACCCTACTACAAGTAGAGAAACTGATAGCGAACAGCATGGATCCTGATCAGACTGCGCGGATGCACAGGCTGGTCTGGATCCATGCTGGTCGCAAACACATTATGTTGGTTTTGTTGTGACGCGGCTCAATTATACTTGTATTTTCAGACTGAGGAGGGAAGTTATGTATATTTATTTCAACACGGTAGCAGAGATTTTGAGGCAGGGCTAACCAAGAATAAACTATTACCTGCGGCAGTACAGACCATTGTCAAAGAACCTCAAGCTATGATACCATTTAATGTAAGACTTTCAAACAAATGCAGGGTGTTTTTTTTTGTTTTTGTTTTTATTTTTTAGGTGTTATATATGAAACTGTAAAATGTAATACTATTTTTGTGAAATAACAAAGATATCTTTTTTAGCATTAGTGATTTATATGTCTAACTAACTGATTTGTTTTTGAGATTAATTTAAAACTTTAAAGTGGATTTGTGTACAATGGGCACATTTTCAATACGTATTTCAAATATTGATAAAAACAATAGAAATGTTTCATTTTGATATTCTTATAAAATGTTGTTTGAAAAAAAAATAAGGATAAAGTTTTTAGTGATTTACAATGAACATTTGTTTGATGGACAATAATATTTTGTTCTAGAACATTTTATTATCTGCTATATAAATATATGTAATAGCAGGTCATATATCTTGCACTTGCCAACAACTTGAATTTTTCATGGTTTGTTGTTGTGTCTGCTAAATACTATCAACTTATTGTCCCCCACCTTTTCGAAGATAAAAGGGGGATATAGTAATAGGCTCCGTCCGTCTGTCTGAGCAAACATTTGGGTTTAGGGGCTATATAACAGTAAAGAGAACAAAAGAGAACAATAAGTTCATTCCGTGATTAAAGGGTTTATGGGCTAGTAGCCCTTAAGAAAACAAAGAAAATAACAAAGAAAATAGCCCCCAAAGCCAAAATGTTGGAACATCTGTCCGTCCATCTGTCTGTCCATCTGTCCGTACAAGGTTAACCTAGAACGGCAAGTTGGATTTTTCTTAAGTTCTACCTGTACCAATGGCTTCATAATTTACACACTTACTAATCCATACAAAGTATATGATCTGGGCAAGTTACATAACTATGGCTTCCATTTGCACCAAGTTATGGCCCTTTTCAGCACTTAGAAAATGAATAATGGTTAACCTAAAACGGCAAGTTGATATATCTAAGTTCTATCTATACTAATGGCTTTATAATTTCCACACTTACTTATCAATACAAAGTACATGATATTGCCAAGTTATATAACTGTGTCATCCATATTTCCCAGTTATTTCCCTTTTTTCACTTTGAAAATAGGGCCTTGTCTGGTTATCCTATTTCGGCAAGTTGGATTCATCTGAAATGTCTCCTAATTGCTTAATTTCTTTAATGATATCTTTCATATTTAGAAGGTTGATACCTTTGATGGTGTGGAGTAAGCGGTCTCTAGGGTCAAGGTCAAGGTCACTGGTTTAAAAAATAAATATAAACATTTTTGCTCATACCGGCTTTATTTTTTAGTTGATGTCTTAGTTTAATACAAACATGCCAAGGGAGGTCCTCCTCCTTTGGGTGTAGTAAGGGGTCATTTGGGTCAAGGTCAATGTTACCAATGTCAAGGTCACCAATGTTAAAAATAGATTTTTACAGGTCTATTAACCTTATTCTATAGACAGATGTTATTTATAATTGATAGAAACATAAAATTTGATGGAGTTAGTGGTCAGTTGGGTCAAGGTCACCAGTGCTAAAAATAGATTTTTACACATTTGCTCATACAGCCTTTATTAAGTGACATATATATTTTATATTTGGTAGGAAGATAACTTGCATGGTATTCAGCCTTTTGATAGGGGTAGGGATCAGTGGGTCAAGGTCACTTGTGCTAAAAATAGATTTTTTACACTTTTGCCCATACAGCTTTTATTTATCAACAGATGTATTTCATATTTGGTAGGAAGATAACTTGCATGGTATTCTTCCTTTGGTTGGAGTAAAGGGTCAGTTGGGTCAAGGTCACCAGTGCTAAAAATAGATTTTTACACTTTTGCCCATACCGCCTTTATTTATTGACAAAATATTTCATATTTAGTAGGAAGATAACTTACATGGTATTCTTCCTTTTGATAGAGGTCACCAGTGCTCAAAATAGATTTTTACACTTTTGCCCATACAACCTTTATTTAATGACAGATGTATTTCATATTTGGTAGGAAGATAACTTGCATGATGTTGAATATTTTTCAACTTCACAAGTCAGAGCAATGACTTGGCAACTTATATTTTTCACAATTACAAAATGCCATGACTTTGTCAAGCTATATAACTTGTGTTTACAATTTTTTGACAATTTTTCTGTCCATAACTGAGTGAATGGTTAAACATTTTTTGAAATATTGTTACTGACAAGAATATGAGCCGGGGGCATTTTTGTTTAACAAACATGTTCCTGTTTACCTCTCTATCAATTTAACCTTATTTTGATATATGTTTAAAATTCTAATATTCTTTTCAGGATCAAAAGAAATGCTGGGCAGAGTCAGTATTCTACTGTGAGGATCAGTATTTAGAATTTAAAAGAATTGTCCTTAGTCAAAGAGCTGCAATGTAAGTTAGAATCATTTAGTATATATCCAAAGCTGCATGAAAGATTACAAAAATGTTCAAAAATTCAAATGGAAGTGTTACCAATCCCCAATCAAATGTACCTTTTGAATGTGTAATGATGTACATGTTCTTTTGTATTTGACAAAATTAAATGTTTTTATCGCTATAATTCTGCCCTGTAACTGGCAGAGCAAATGCCATTTATGCATATTTTACAGTAGATCTTAGAATTAACATATAGCATATGAAAACATAATTGAGCCGCGTCAGGACAAAACCAACATCGTGACGCGGCTCATATAATGGTTTTAGAGTGGTTAGATTCATATCACTAGAAGAAAAAGTGCTGAATGTGAAATTATTTGTCATAAAGAAAATGAAATGTAAACAAAGTAGTATTTTGACTTCCATGCAAAATAGAAACTCACCATAACTGTACTAATTGCCAAAGAGAAACAGATGCAAAAGATTAAGATTATTGGTCAATGATTAACTTTTTTTGGAAATTATAAAAGTACACCAAAAATAAAAAAGCTTTTAAGAGATACAAATAATAACCATTTCTATGGCAAATTGTGAGTGTAGAAACGAAATTTATTGATAAAATTGTTATGATCTTGTATAATAATCTTATAAACTAGCATGTAATTTAAAAATTGTCTTGATATGTTTCAGATTAAGTTTAATTAGAATAGATTCAATATTTGTGAAGGCAAAGAACAAGATGACTTACGAAGTTGATCAAATGAAAACAAAGTGTAAATTCTTCTTAGAAAGGTATGTCAGCACTTGGTGCTTTTCTGTTACTTAAATCAATAGTTTGCTAAATTGTAATGAAGACCTGAAGTTTATTTGTACCACTCCTGATATTGATTAATTCAGAATTTATTTTAGTTTGATTGTATAGGAAGCTTATATCTTATACACACACTCTAGAATTCATTCCTCGAACCAACCAGTACTAAGCAACAAGTGAAAAGTTTCTTGCTTAAGGAAACAAAGTTCCCCTGTATGGGATTGAACCCACGCAGAAAAGCGATCCTAGATTACTAGTCTGACATGTCAACCACTTCACCATGCTTCAAATCTAGAGTTTATTTCCTGAAACTAACCAGTACTTATGTCATGAGGTACATATGTATGGCTCAAATCCACAGTTCTTGGGTTGTTTGGCAAACACATGAACTATATGGCCATATCTCCCATTAACTATAAAAAAATTAAGCCATTTTCATTCACTAATCAACATGTCAATATTTCAATTATGTAAAAGGGTTTTAGGCAGATTTTAGCTATTAACAGTTGTCAATAATGTTTGGTTTTAAAAAAAAGATATAGACATTTACATTTGTTTGTTTACAGCTTAGAGCATGACAAGATGTTTTACAATGAGCAGGCCAGCAATGGTGGAGTCAGTATGTATCTTTAAACTACCTTTATTGACTTTGAAATTTGAATTTTTCATGTACAGTAAAACTTCGTTAATGAGGCCACTGAAGGGACTTTGCAAATCTGGTGTTAATAGCTGGTTGGTCTAATTAATGAGTTTGTTACCATCAAGAATCTGGGCCGGGGGCATTTGCCAAACAACTTTTTATGGTCTCAATTTAAAAACACGAATATTAAATGCTATATAATATGCTGAAAAAAATAAGTAAGAAATAGGATTCGTTAACATTGTATTTGACTTTTATATTTAGTAATAGTAATATTGAAAATGATTCCTACACTACTTAAAGAGGAGAATGTATGTGTGTGTGGTGTATAATGTGTATTTACAAACTGTATTTCTTTATCAAAGGTTCAGACGCTATGTTTTCAAAATGGTTAAAGATGCAGAAAGAAGTCCAGACATTTTTACAGATAGTAAGTATAGTATGTGGGTTGTCCAAATATACTGTGACAAGATTGTTTAAAAGCTAAGTGAAAGAGGTATGCATCTGATATTTTGATATGTTATAAAACCATGTTATTGAAACACTTTCACAAATTAAAATCGAAAAATATCAACAAACAACAAAAGTATGCCGTAAATACCATGGCAACTATCTGAAACCGACGCACGTCAAACGTCAAAGACGGAGTTAAATCTACATAAGTCTCGTTTCTCAAATACTCTCAATGGCTTTCAACTCAATAATGGTGCAACTTTATCCATAAATCGTCAATTACAAACTTGTATCATGTGGTTGTTAATGTCTGTAGAATGTTTGGATGGCATACATTAATTTTTGTTATACGCGAACCTCGGGTCTCGGAGCACCTGCTTTTAGCTGTAGGAAATAGGCGACAGGGATCGGTTTTCCTATCCGTGCTTTCCTTATTTCGGCTTTTTGTAATGCAGAACTCTTGTTCCGTTCATGCCTTTAGTAAACAAATGCTCAGGATATGTTGCTAAACTGTTCTATTTGGCATATTTGTTGGAAATCGTAATATGTGTCATCTCCAAATAGTCATGAAACCTGAGTGACCTATTCATTGGCCGCAAATTCTTCGAACGTCGCCATTTTAACCTTCCTATTTTCTATTAGATATTCTAATTTATCTGTAACTTGTTCGTTTATTAAGTTATCTAACTAAAATTTTCTGAGGTGATGTAAACATAGCAGCAGAGGAAGTCAACATGATATTGTGCAGACACATCATCAGATATTTGAAATATACATAATTAAGTTTAGCCTATTCATAACAAAATGCAAATTATTTGATATGTGCTGGCAAATCAAACCAATGTCGTTAATACTGAAAATTTCTAAGTAGCTAGAGTAAATATTTTGTAAATGATTTGTTGTAATGTTAAATAATAAACTTAACTGTTATAGGTGTGAATTATTATCTATTAACGTTAAAAATGAACTGTCTATAAAATTTCTCACAGACTTTTGGGACAACCCTCGCACTTTTCAACTAGCAAAATTATCAAACCTTTCTGTTCTATGATTGTACAAAATATTGTAGATAACATTAAACTATCTCTTAATATTGTAATACTTAACATACTGAATTTGTGTAATACATTTGCCATGTCTATAATTTGTTACAATGTGTTCAAAGTTTAAGGGATTTCAGTAACAAATACAAAAATTGAGGAGTTACTTAAAGTAAAGCACCTGGTCAGGTTATACAGAAGTGAAAGCTAACCTAGCTCTTTACCGGTTGGCAAAGGCTTATCACTTTCGGATACAACAGGTAAATGGTTAACTGACATTTTTTTTTTTTCGCAGGAAGAAAGAGTGTCAGAGTTAGAAAGTCAAGCAGTTGCCTTACAAACCAAAATAGTAGAACTACAGAAAAGTCCATTTGCTAGAACGAAGCAGGATGATACACTGGAGATACTGTATGTATAGATCTTGATTGTTACTTTATGTTCCAGTATATTTGATTAGATATATTAAATCAGTAACACTGACAGTGTTGATAAAATATCTATGCCACTAATGTGCAGTCAAGCCTGGATTCTAATTTTATGCCACTGAATGGCGGCATATAGTACTTGCACTGTCCATCTTTCTGTTTGTCTTGTAATCTTGTCCGCGCTTCATCTCCAAAACTGCTGGGGGGGATTTCAGTGAAACTTCACAGGATTGTTTGTCACCATGCCTAGTTATGCATAGTATCTTGTTTTGGGCTAATTCAGTTTTCCCATTGAAATAAAATCATTGTCCTATCAGTAAAATATTTTGAAAAGTAATCAGCCTAACTTTGTGAATCTTTGTAGGGACATTGCCAGTAGATCAGCCTTATTTTTGTAATAAGCCCAAAGGTGAAAGACACAGTGACACTTTAATAGATATCATTGTCTTATCAATAATTTGAAAAGGAATAAGTTTAAGTTTATTTAACATGGTCTGAACATTGCCAATGGCAACAACTGACCCCTATTAATTTTAGGTCAATAGGTCAAGGTAATAGTCTGTTTATAATTCTTTTTGAATCAATAAATTGAGAACTGACTATTCAAGTTTCATATACTTAATAGGAAGATTAAATTTTCTGATGTAGCTTAGTTTGAATATTACCTTTTAAAGGCTTTTACATTTACTTTTAGATCAAAGCAAGCAAGAAGTGTTTATCAAGAATTCAGACAAACTGCCAGAGGTAAATAAATAAATTTTTCTTTAAATAACCACTCTGTTTTGCATGTACAACATCGACAATGCTTGTTTATGTCAGATGTAAATAATTAATTGCTAAAAAATACACTGACCATACAAACAATGATTGCAATTGTTCTCTATTTCTTTGACCACATAAACAATGGTTGTAACTGCTACAAGATTTAATACATGAACCACATAAACAATGGTTCTAACTGTTATAAGATACATAACATCACAAAAATTGATTTTCTGTATTTCACATGTATCATTAAAGTAAATACATCTGTAATGTATGTTGATGCTCACATTTTCTTAATGCCTTTAAAGCAGGGATATTGCCTGTCTCAATCTCTCCAAATAAATGTTTAATATCACACCATCTTGTGTTATACTTAAATTGTTGACACATGCTGTTGTAATAGAATAGAAACGTTGCCTTGTCTTACCTTTTTCGTGTTAATTTTATATTTTTTATACATGTATATATATATATATATAATCAAACCATATACATGTAGCATGATAGTTAAAAGCTAAAATGTTTTACACTAATACTTGTAGAGAACAGAGATGCTGTGAAGGACCAGAAACCAATGGTTACTGTTGTTGTGAAGGTTGTGTTGTGGAGAGACAAGAAATTACCAGATTTATATGCTCATATAGGGTAACTATTATGTTGTTATTTTCCCTATATTAAACCACTTGCCCCTTACCGTTGTGGTTGTAAATAATGCAAGGGACTTGAGATATTTTCAGATGGCAAAGCTATCCAGATAGCTTACAGAATGTTTGCAATTCTGTGCAGCCTGACCAGGCTCTATACTATTGGCTGACAGAGATCAAAATTTAATCTTGCTTTCCGGAAAATAAAAAATTAAACATACATGTTTATGAGTAAATTATACAGTAAATATTTGAGTTAATTATGAGGTAAACATATGTGTAAATTATGAGATCAACATGGGGGGTAAATTACAGGTAAACATGTGGGTAAATTACAAGGTAAACATATGAGTGTATTACTTGCTAAACATTTGAGTAAATTAAGAGATAAATATATGAGTGAATAATATGTTCAGCATATTAGTAAATTTTACTGTAAACATGTGAGTGCATTATGAGGTCAACATATGAGTAAATCAAAGTTAAACATGTGGGTTAATTACCCATGGTAAGTATATGAGTAAATTACGAGGTAAATGTGAAAAAAAAATATTATGAGGTAAACATATGAGTAAATCAGAGGTAAACCAAAAAAAAAAATAGAGTAAATATTAAGGTTAACATGTGAGTTATTTATGAGGTAAACATGTGAGTACGTCTTGAGGTAAACATGTGATTAAAATTGAGGTAAACATGTGCAAGAATTGTTACATTTCAGGAAAATTGGTGCTTGTAAAGCTGATGTACATATGTTATTACCTCAAGTAGAGGAATGTATACAACATATACAAGCTAACTCGAAGAAATTGTTAGAATATCAAAAACAACGACAAACTGCAATATGGAAACTCCTTGAGATCACTGTAAGATTTGTTTACATATAGGCTATAACTTATGTTATAGGTTTTCATATAAATACATTTTAACATGGCCTTAAAAGACATACTCTTAGAATTGATGCAACATCTTGCTTTTCAGAAACAGTTGCACAAAGAAAGATAACGTTTGAAAAATAACTGGTTTTTATCGTCGAGTTACTTGCCTTAGGCATTGAAGTGAATGGTTGTGGGAACCACCAAGTTTTCTATGGTGTCTTCATTTAGTGATTATTCTTAATAAAAGTTTTACTTACTGTATTTCAACATTGTCATTCTTACTTATTCAGTTTGTTAAGTGGATTTGTGTGTTACATCAATCTGTTTTATTGAATGCAGATAAAATATTGTTATAAAATTAATGTTACTCAGAGATTTCTATTTTGAGTGTAACCATGATATTACATGCCAAGATCAAAAGATATTCTTTATCAATAGAAACTCCCTTTTCATTATTTCATCTTCAAGGTCCAACAAGTTAAGAAATCTCAACCAGACTCACCACAGGGTCCTACAGACTCTATGGATGTGTCACGTATGGTTGCCCCACCAGTGTTGCCGAGTCCGGAGTTGTCAACCAGTACTCACAGTAATATGAGCACACCGAGTATGTTACAGTCTATAATGAGCATGTCAGCTAGTGTAGAGTCTCTGAAAGCCTTAGATGACTGCAGGGCTACCTCTAAAATGTAAGTTATAAATTTGTTATTGTCTTTTTATTTTATGACCTTTACAACTGTCCATCAAGAGGGTATGATTAAATATTTTAATGTCTTGCGAGTCATTGCAATGTTGTAGTAGAAATTTACTAGCTAGCTTATAGTGGTTTGTTGGTTCGACTCACTTGTGGGTGCATGCTAAACATAATATATCTAATTGGCGCTTGAGTTATTTGTTCATCAGTATAATTGGAAAATCACCATCATACTGTGTGTTGGTTTAACTACAAAATCCAACAAAATAAATAAAACCGGTGAATGCCTGATAAATGAAGTACTGAATTAATCATCTGTCAACTGGATTTTGGATGTCACCATACTCTGTTGTTAATTTTGATCTCTTCCGGCAGAATTCTGCAAGGTAATAAAGCTCTTTAGCTACTTTTTGTATGGACTGTCAGCAGTGCTGAGTGTTTTGTGGCTAGAATAATACTAGGAGGAGCATCTACTGTTGAGGGTGATGCCTTATTTTGCTGATGTCATTTCTGAATCTTTTAAATGAAATTCTCCTTTATAAAGTTAAGAAAAATCAAATTGAAATGATGACTGTATTAATTAAATACCTTTAATGCTAATTATAATAGATTATTTGAATTTGTTGTATGAATTTTATACCTTGTCAGGTTTGAAGAGACTTTAGGAAACCTTTTGGATGAGCAGGAGAGTTTTACAACAATGATAAGTGACCTTCAAGTATCTACAACAGCAAGTTCAGTAAACACATGACGTCTGCAGCATTACATTTCCTTAACACATCCCTTGCATTGAAACAAAATAGTTCTAACATAGAATGATTCCTGGCCTATGTGGAACAATACAATTAGATGAAGAATTTGTTATGAAGAATCAAAGACAGACAAGGAGCAATACAGTTTGTCATTTACTTTACAGAAATCTGTGAAAATGTCTTAAAACATGTATATTAGCTATAAATGCAATATTTACCTATATAGTATCTTACAGGAGTAATCGTTATATTAAACAATGGCTTACTTTAAACTTATAATATTCCTGGATTAAGGGGCGTCCGTGGCCGAGTGGTTAAGGTCGTTGACTTCAAACCACTTGCCCCTCACCTCTGTGGGTTCGAATCTCGACAGGGACTTTGGATTCTTTCATGTGAGGAAGCTATGCAGCTAGCTTACGGAACATCGGTGGTTCTACTCAGGTACCTGTTCGTGCCTGAAATAATGCACGGAAGGGCACCTGAGGTCTTCCTCCACCAGTAAAGCTGGAACGTCGCGATATGACCTATACTGTGTCGATGTGACGTAAAACCCAAAACAAACAAACAAAATTCCCGGATTAAATTTAAATTATTTTTTATGAAATGTGAAGAAAATGTAATTTTTTTTTTGTGACACGATTTAATTGTAATGCCAGAAAATGTAAAAAATCCAACATTTGCAATTTGAGAGGCAATGAAACATGTGTAATGGAAAGAAATATTTAATGGTTATATTACGGTTAAATTACAGTAAATGCAAGTGATGTTATGTGATCATGTAGATACTTGGATACTTGTATAATATATTGTACAGTACATTTTTTTTTAATTGCCTTTCTTTTTCAATATCTTTCCATTATTTTTATGATAAACTCATTTTCCTGTACATTTCAGTTTGCTTACTTTATATTTAAAAATATCTTTGAAAAATGCTCTTAAATTGGGTAAAAAATGGCTGCCACATTCACAGACATATTGTTTATATTATTCATTTAAAATCATTTAAATCTTAGTCTTACATTGTAGTAGTAGATATATGTATACCTATTAAGTTATGTAGTCACTAAGAAATATTATTGAACTCGTATAGACATTTCCATTATTATCTGTTTAAGATTTATTTTTTTCATGTCTAATATTACATTTAGTATTTCTATAACAATCATAAAAGGCTTCCTATGGTGTCAAAAATTGTGTCTCCAAATTTTTTTTTTTTTTTTTAGTTCAAGGGATCAGTGTATATGTGTGAGTGAAGATATTTAGAAGGTTTTATTATACATTATCTAAATGCCTATAGCTTGTTAAGTTTACCTTTACCTTATGAATGCATGATATACATAATGGCGGCTAAAATTTATTATAATAAAATTATTTAGTTTCCAATCATTAACTGGAAAATAGGTTTTTTTTCGTCTTAGATTGATAATTTCTACATACAAATACTTATTGTAAAACAAGATTTTGTAACTTTAATCATTATCTAGTCCTTTTCTGGAACCAACCATTGCCTTATATGGTTGTTACTTGAACATGGGGTTGAATCCTCTATCCCAGTATGAATAGGCATTCACAAGATTTACTAAGCCACCTCTTGTATTGTTACACATACAATGTTTGCCAGGGTAACCTGTAATCTTAATGGATGGAAGAAATCAAAAATGGATAGCACTTAATTTCATTTCATTTTAAATTGCTACTTACCTGATGAAAACGCTAAAAATAACCTGTTACTTGTTTGTTGGTTTAAACATATTTATTTAAGCTCGATTGCGAAACAAGTTCTTGCAACTTATATTAATCACTTTCGAGTCCGCTTCCTGGAACCAACCAGTACTGGTGTCATATGAAGAAACATGGTCGTAACCCGAGTAGGGCTCGAACCCATGATCTCTGGGTTGAGAGGCAGACACCTTAACCACTAGGCCACCGCTCCCCTTATATACTTGTTTGTTCTAAAAGAGATCCCCAGTCCTATATAAGGTCCATATGTTAACTTCAGTAAGTTTCTTGGGCTCTTATAGTCACCTCCCTTGACTTTCCTCAGTTGACCTATATTAATTTCAACATTACGATTGTTCTATTTGCCAGGTGATGTTAATTAATGCTCATTTTTTGTTACTGTATAAATGTTCTAAAATGTTACAGCAGTGTGTGAAAATTATGCAAAATTTCCAATACTGATTTCCATGTGCATTATTGTATATTGTTGTAAATATATGTTTTTCAACCATTCCCTGTTTATGTATTGGACTATATTTTATTGGACTGTATTTTATTGGACTATATTTTATTGGACTATATTTATACTTTGTGTTTTATCTCTGCTTGTTCTGTGTTTAATGTAGGTCTTATGATTTCATCTCATTGTTGTTGTTTTTTAATATTATTTTTAGCTGGATTATTTGAAGAAAAAGGAGAACAAATATTCTTACTCTGGCGTCAGTGTCACTCTTAATTGAAGGTTTTGCCTGCAAGACTATTAATTAAAGAGAAAATCGGTTGAAACTTTACACACTTACTTGAGAGCATAATAGGTTACTGACCAAGGCCCATTACTCAGACATTGATTTTAACAGAATTATGGCCCTTTTTAAAAAATCCTTTAAAAAAATTATCCAGGCTCTTTTTTACTATCAAGATGTTTTACAGACAGCTATTGTAACTAATTGTAGGTAGGTCATCTTTTGTCTGTATTTATACTTTAAAGCATTGCTAATATGTTCATATATTTAAGAAATAATATATCCCAAACTGTGATTTTATCGCTCAATAACATCACTGTTTGGAGTTTGGATGCGAGGAATTATATCACGAAGGCGTAGCCCGAGTGATATAATGATGCCCATCCGAATGACAAACAGTGATGTTATCCAGTGATAAAATCACCGATTTGGATATATTATTTCGATTCTAACACGAAAGAAACAAATAAATGTTGCCGCACCTGCTATTAAGCAAAATTGCACCTGATTAGTTTCCGTACTTATTGTCAGCGCGTCGGATTTTATAGTGGTTACGACACATGTATAATGATTACGTCACATGTCTAAATATAGAACGTCAAACAGTGACTCCATTGCATAATCACACACACTTTCGGTTCTTCTATGTTCAATAGGGAAAAATGCGGGTCGTGTTAGAATGTGTGATAGTACATACTCCTAAATCTATTAATGAAGCGCTGAAAGTCCTGTTTATAATTTATGGAGGTAACTTGTTGAGTCACTAGTATAGGGTATGGAGCCTATGTGGCAAAATGGTTAAGATCAGTGATTTTGAAAAAAAAAACAAAAAACAGTGGGATTTAATCCTTCTAGGTAATCTGAATGCTTTCTTATGATGAAACTATCAACATAGTTTACTGTGGAGTGCCAGTGCTTCTACATGGGTGATCACCCATGACAGACCCCCCCCCCCCCCCCAAAAAAAAAAAAAAATAAAAAAATAAAAAAAAAAATAGAAAAATTATTAACTTAGATAGATATAATGATACCTGTAAGGGGATAAATATTATTGAAAACATAGAATATATCTCTGAAGTAATCCGTCTAATAACTTGTAATATATTGGCCTTCTTTATCACATCGATTTAAATTTAGCAAATTCATGTTTAATTTATTCTTGAACTAACATAAAACACTTTGAGTCCTGGAACTTGGGGGTAATAATGGTAACTGGCTATAAAAACATAAGTTATTGTTTGAATAGGGCTTGTGTGGTAGACACTTTCACTATTTTCTTATTATTTAATTTATTATTTATAATACATGTACAATTTTTTAATACTACATGTATTTGTTTCTGGATTTGTTGATACTTATTTCATCTTTATAAGATGAGGAATATGTTGTGTAATTATGCTAAATTTGTACACACTTTTTTATTAGCTCACCTGTCACAAAGTGACAGGGTGAGCTTTTGTGATCGCTTTTCGTCCGGCGTCCGTCCGGCGTCCGTCTGTAAACTTTTGCTTTAAATGACATCTCCTCATAAACCACTGAGCCAATTTCATCCAAACTTCACAGGAATGTTCCTTTGGTGGTCACCTTTAAAAATTGTTCAAAGAATTTAATTCCATGCAGAACTCTGGTTGCCATGGCAACCGAAAGAAAAATCTTTAAATATCTTCTTTTAAACAACCCTAAGAGCTAGAGCTTAGATATTTGACATGAAACATCTTCTAATGAGTGTCTACCAAGTTTGTTCAAATAAAAGCCCTGGGGTCAAAATTGGCCCCGCCCCAGGGGGTCATTGATTTTCCCTATATGCATATAGTAACAAGGAACATCGCAATGCGATGCAACCAGGTTTTCAGCAAAATATTTCACAGAAGCTTTGTCATGAAGGGGCATTTGTTTTTAATTGAACTTTTAGGAGGAATTATGGCTTTTTTAATATTCCTCAAACAAAAATGATTGAGAAATTTTATGTTGTCTATTCGCCTTTTTTTCCCAAATATTTTAGAAAGGTAAACAGTACTTTATTTTTGCTTAATTTTTGCATTTTTGCGTCTCTTGTCATTTTCTTTTGTCAACAATATTGGCGTGTGGTGTTTTGTGCGATATCAAGAAAAGTATGTTCACAATTTTAAAAAAATACTTGAATGATGTCTTGGAAAAAACATGGGAATTTAGTGAGCGCCAGGGCACTTGATGACAAAGCTTCTGTGAAAGTTTAGTCAAAATCCATTGAGAAATGTAGGAGAAGTTGCGCACTGTAGAAATTGTTCACTATATATTCTGTATAAAAAATAAGTAAAAAATATACAAAGGGCCATAATTCGGTCAAATATTATCCAATCACAAAACCCCGACAATATGTGCCAGGCACTTGATAACAAAGCTTCTAAGAAAGTTTGGTCAAAATCCGTTGAGAAATGTAGGAGGAGTTGAGCACAGAAGAAATTGTTCTCTAAATATTCTGTATAAGGAAAAAATATACAAAGGGCCATAATTCGGTCAAATATTATCCAATCACAAAACCCCGACAATATGTGCCAGGCACTTGATAACAAAGCTTCTAAGAAAGTATGGGTCAAAATCCGTTGAGAAATGTAGGAGGAGTTGCGCACAGAAGAAATTGTTCACTATATATTCTATATAAGGGAAAAAAACAAAGGGCCATAATTAGGTCAAATATATACCAATTGCAAAACCCTGGCAATATGTGACAGGGCACTTGATGACAAAGCTTTTGAGAAAGTTTGGTCAAAATCCGTTGAGAAATGTAGGAGGAGTTGCGCACAGAAGAAATTGTTCACTATATATTTTATATAAGGAAAAAGAACAAAGGGCCATAATTAGGTCAAATATTATCTAATCGCAAAACCCCGACAATATGCGCCAGGGCACTTGATGACAAAGCTGGTCAAAATCCGTTGAGAAATGTAGGAGGAGTTGCGCACAGAAGAAATTGTTCACTGTATATTTTATATAAGGAAAAAAAACAAAGGGCCATAATTAGGTCAAATATTATCTAATCGCAAAACCCCGACAATATGCGCCAGGGCACTTGATGACAAAGCTTCTGTGAAAGTTTGGTCAAAATCCATTGCCCGTCCGCCCATCCGCCCGCCCGCCCGCCGACATACCTCAATCTAATAACCAGTTTTTTCCTTCGGAAAACCTGGTTAAAAACTTAAAAAATCTTCTTTTAAAGAACCGTAAGAGCTAGAGCTTAGATATTAGGGATGAAACATCTTCTAGTGAGTGTCTACCAAGTTTGTTCAAATAAAAGCCCTGGGGTCAAAACTGGCCCCGCCCCGGGGGGTCATTGATTTTCCCTATATGCATATAGTAAAAACTTAAAAAATCTTCTTTTAAAGAACTGTAAGAGCTAGAGCTTAGATATTTGGCATGAAACATCTTCTAGTGAATGTCTACCAAGTTTGTTCAAATAAAAGCCCTGGGGTCAAAATTGGCCCCGCCCCAGGGGGTCATTGATTTTCCCTATATGCATATAGTAAAAACTTAAAAAATCTTCTTTTAAAGAACCCAAAGAGCTAGAGCTTAGATATTTAGCATGAAACATCTTCTAATGAGTGTCTACCAAGTTTGTTCAAATAAAAGCCCTGGGGTCAAAATTGGCCCTGCCCCAGGGGGTCATAGATTTTCCCTATATGCATATAGTAAAAGCTTAAAAAATCTTTTTTTGTAGAACCCAAAGAGCTAGAGCTAAGATATTTGGCATGAAACATCTTCTAGTGAGTGTCTACCAAGTTTGTTCAAATAAAAGCCCTGGGGTCAAAATTGGCCCCGCCCCGGGGGGTCATTGATTTTCCCTATATGCATATAGTAAAAACTTAAAAAATCTTCTTTTAAAGAACTGTAAGAGCTAGAGCTTAGATATTTGGCATGAAACATCTTCTAGTGAATGTCTACCAAGTTTGTTCAAATAAAAGCCCTGGGGTCAAAATTGGCCCCGCCCCAGGGGGTCATTGATTTTCCCTATATGCATATAGTAAAAACTTAAAAAATCTTCTTTTAAAGAACTGTAAGAGCTAGAGCTTAGATATTTGGCATGAAACATCTTCTAGTGAATGTCTACCAAGTTTGTTCAAATAAAAGCCCTGGGGTCAAAATTGGCCCCGCCCCAGGGGGTCATTGATTTTCCCTATATGCATATAGTAAAAACTTAAAAAATCTTCTTTTAAAGAACTCAAAGAGCTAGAGCTAAGATATTTAGCATAATGAACATGTTCTAATGGGTGTCTACCAAGTATGTTCAAATAAAAGCCCTGGGGTCAAAACTGGCCCCGCCCGGGGGAGTCATTGATTTTCCTTATATGTGTATAGCAAAAACTTAAAAATCTTCTTTGAAAAAACCCAAATAGCTAGAGTTTAGATATTAAGCATGAAACATCTTTAAGTAAATATCTACAAAGTTTGTTCAAATAAAAGCCGGGGGGTCAAAACTGGCCCTGCCCCAGGGGTGTCATTGTTTTTAACTATATGTGTAAAGTAAAAACTTAAAAATCTTCTTCTTTTAAAAAACCCAATGAGCTAGAACTTAGATGTTTAGCATGAAACATCTTCTAATGGGTGTCTACCAAGTCTGTTCAAGTAAACAAATAAAAGCCCTTGGGTAAAAATTGGCCGGGGGGGGGCTATATACAGGTGAGCGACCTCAGGGCCATCATGGCCCTCTTGTTGTTGTTATAATGCCTTGTATTAAATGATAATATTGTAGTTAAACTACATGATATAGTGTTGTTAAACCTTTTTTAATACATTTTAAGCTGTCAATTAAAGATAATTGTTTATCAAGGATAAATGTTATTTGAGAATAAATGCTAGTAAAGGAAACTGTGTATAACTATGAAAAATGTTAATTAACTGTTAGTTGAGGATAACTAATCATTGAGTATAACTGTTCTTTGAGGTTAAACTGTTCATCGAGGATAACTGTTCACAGAGGATAACTGTTCACCGAGGATAACTTATCATTGAGTAAAACTGTTCCTTGAGGATAAAAGGAGGATAATTATAGTTTAGTTTCATTACAATTGGTTAAATATTGTAAACAAATTCTTTTGTGTCAGTGAGGGGACATTCAACCTTTCAGGCACAAAGAGTACATATGTAAAATACTGTAGAATTTTCATATTTTTATACCAGAATGTTGTTTTATGTTAAGTATTTTAAAACTGTGATATACATTTGTGTATGGTAGAATCAGGATGTGTGTGATTCCATGAAATGAGCCGCGTCACGACAAAACCAACATAATGGGTTTGCGACCAGCAAGGATCAAGACCAGCCTGATGCGCGCTGTCTGATCAGGATCCATGCTGTTCGCTATCAGTTTTTCTACTTGTTATAGGGTTTTTAAGCAAACAGCATGGATCCTGATCAGACTGCGCGGATGTGCAGGCTGGTCTGGATCCATGCTGGTCGCAAACTCATTATGTTGGTTTTGTCATGGCGCGGCTCAAATAAAGTTTAAACATTATTGAACAGATATAAAGGATTGGTTTGTAGCTAGGTTTATTAATGTAAGTAAACTAGACTATTCTATAACATATACATCATCACCTTAGTGCAGTAACAGGTTAACTCCTATTAAATTATATAAGAAGTTAACCGTTACTGCACTAAGGTGATGACATGTAGGCTTCAAAATACATGTATTTAGTAATTTCTGTACTTGTGATCTGCTCATATGATGTGAGTCAGATAAACAGTTAAGCATGCCGTTTTTACATTTTAACTACTTTTCACATTCTTCCCAAGTTTATTTTGCACTTCTTTATTAAACCATTAATGAAGGAATTTAAGTAAGGTTTGATTGATGATGTAGGACTGGAGAAACAAGTTTTGTATTTTTCTATTTGTTTAAAATACAATCCACTCCGGATACAACAAGATCGTCGCGACTTTGCATGGTACCTTGTTATAACTGGATCCTGTTATTACTAGGGCAGAACAAATTGAGAAATCTGACACGGTCATGCTTCATTTATTTCTTCTTTTCATTTCACATACTACCTTCATTTTGAAGAGCACATTAAGGGAGGTAATTATGTGCCAACAGTGTCACCTCATTCAAATTGGTGAAAAGTATGCATGGTGTGGCAAATATGTGTATGTTATAACAGATATTTTGCTATAAATGAAATAAAAATGAAAGGAAAAGGCCAGGACACAGTTGAATGTATGTTATAAGCGGTTCCTTGTTAAAATCAATCTTGTTTAAAGTGGAGTAGACTGTATATCACATACATTATGTACAGATATAAACATTTATTTATTGTATTCTTCTAATGTATTATAATTGTGTTCAATTAAAACTGTGAAGGAATAGATTATAAAGTATTAAATACAACTATTGTTGATGTGCTTGATTTTTTCCCTAATTGTATCTTTGTTATTCCAGATTCATCTAAAATGTACTTTACAGCCCAAGGTTTAATAGATCAGGAGGGTATATTGTTTTTGGTCAATCTGCTTGTCACAAAACTTAACTTTGACCATAATACATTATATAAATATCACATCCCTACAATGGTGATAATACATCATGTTAACTTAAGAAAAGTAGATCTACAGCATTTAAAACAGGCAAAGTTGCACAAAGTATAGAAATATTTATTATTGAACAACTTAGTGTGCTAAAACTTCATTTTATCAGCCAAATGTAAACAGTTTATTTCTTGGATAAAAAAATAATAGTTACAATTAAAGTGACTTATGTTGGTTCATCTACTGGTGAGCCCAATGTATACATTAACATCTTATATAACAATAAATTTACAGCTTATATAGAGACATATAAAAGACATATAGGCATATCTTGACTATCTCATAACTTTACTCATACTTTACAATAGCTAATGATTGACAATCCACTGTTAAAAGGAGATGAATAGTTAATGTATTAGTGTGGTCATCTTTATAAAACATATACAGTTACAGGAAAAGATACCATGAAATATCAGCAATGACAGTTATTGCTTACAGATTTGTTTTTATAATGAAAAGGTCTTTATGAATATTCTGAATAGAGGTCAAGCAACATGATAGTTTGGCATTATCTATTAATAGAACTGAACAAATTTAATAAAACGATGCCCTTTAAAGGGAGTTAATAAGAAACAAACATACTTGTGGTTTAGAACATTTATTTTCCCCAATATTATATAAGCATTTACACAACATAAATCACACATACATCACTGAAGTTGCCATCAAAAACATTTAACATTTTCTTATATTTGAAACATTTTACAACACATTGTCACTGTAAGTTGTGTTCCATTCAATATTGCAACATTTAGTGTTCAATTTTGTAGCATTAGAAAGATGAAATAATTAAATAAAGAAATATCATCTCTTTAAATAACCCATGTTAGGTTCTTTTTCTGTGAAATGTTTAGTAATGTATTTGGCAAGCATAGACTGAAAAGCACGAGAGTAAAGTGATTTTGGAAAATAAAGAAAATTTGAATATTAAGGTTTTAAAATTTCAAAAACAGTGATAATTTGAGTTGAAAATGATTTTTTTTCTGTGTCTGCATTTAAAGTCAAAAATACTTTCAAGCTGTATTTGTAAATAAATTCCTTGATACACATACTCAAACACAACCAGACTCTTACTCTAGGAGAACCCAAAACCTAGCTTGATAGCTTTCTCACATAATATATGTGTTGGAATTCCAACAAAAACTGTGGTTAAGGGCATATAATTTGGTCAGCTAGAATAACAACAAGTCTACCACTAATGCAACTTAAAAAATATTCAACTAACAATACATTTACATAGTTAAAGACTATATGAGATTTTTTGTTGTTAATTTTGCAAATGAAATAAGTACACTCGTTTGCTCCTGAAGAAAAAATCTATTTTAATGATCATCTATTTTTATTTATAAACAAGCAAAATTTAAACCCTTCCAGCAGAAAGCTACCACCATGGTATAAATTTATGTTTTACTATAACTACTATTATAATGTAATATATAGCCAATTAATGCATTACATATCTACAAATAAATAAGGCAGCACTAATGTTAAAAATCATGATATTGCACTTGTAATGTAAAACATTCTAAAGACTTGTGATCATATACATGTATCACTGCATACTGTCAGCATCTTATCCCGGTCAGTTTTCACAATACATAAAGCACATTTTTCATATTCAAACTTGTTTCCAGAGTGAATGAAAATTCCTTCACATGTGTCGTGTTCCTTTTAAATCTGCAAAAAAAAATCAAGAAAACATAAACTAAATACCTAACAAACAAATTTAACAATTCTGTATAGACATCAATTTGTTGAGGGAATACTAATGTGACAATAAAGCACAAAAATTATCTTTATTCTTTTTGCCATGAAATGGTAAACTTTTCAAAATCCATTGGAACAAACAAGACCTATAGATTAGAAGTGACTAGCTTTGTTAGTTTCTGAGAAATAAACCTTACAAAAACGTTAAGTTATGTCAAAAGCTCAACTTTTTCTTTGAAAAGTTGTGCTAAAACTCAATAATCCACAGCGGTCAATAATCTTAACCACTTAAACTTTACATATAATTATGAGAATTTATATGTATAGATAAAAACATGAATCTACAACAATTTTCTCTCAGACATCAGAAATTGTTTCATTATCATTATTAACTTTTCATTCACAAAAAAGCGAACAGAATTATATTTGGAAGAAATAAAAAGTTTTTTTTATCCTAAAAGACAGTGCATGTATCTATAATCATATAGTATAGTAAAAATACTATAGAGGAAGTACTCATTTTACATGATTTTTTTTTTTTTAAAAAGCACCCAAAGTGTCAAAATACATTGTAGTTTTGTTCAAAACAATTGATAATCTTACCTGAATGAAAATTCCTATTTACTGTTAGTTACTTCCCTTTGCCTTTACCAGTTGGTTTAAAATGTTGATAGTAACTTACTGTAAAGTCGACCATTAAATCTTGTGTGCACTCGGGCAGCTCACTAGTAAATGTTCCTGAAATATATACATGTACAATTTTTCAATGTTTTCTACACGTTTAACTAACACAATCAAATATATATGTGATTTGCTAATGTATGCAAGAAGGAAAAATGAAATTTCAATCAATTTTACTTTTTTCTTAAGTTTTACAAACAAATTCCCATGGATCAGGGTAGAAGGCTCAATCCATGCACTTTTACATAAAATTTTACTTCCTGTTGGCCTGCTTACCTGTGTTTTAGGGATAAAATTTAAAGGGGAAAAAAAACAACATAATTAAGTTTGCTTGTTAAAAATGGGAATAGTTTCAAGAAAGTTTTTACAGGTACCCAGCAAGTGACTTTAACATCTACATGTATTTTAAGCACATTGCTGAAAGTTGTCATGCTTAATAATTATAACAGAGCCGCGCCATGACAAAACCAACAAAGTGCGTTTGCGACCAGCATGGATCCTGATCAGACTGAGTGGATGCACAGGCTGGTCTGGATCCATGCTGGTCGCAAACACACAATGTTGATTTTGTCATGACATGGCTTAATTATAATATTACATACATGTACATATTGACAGACAATACAGATTAATAATACATATACTGACCTGGTGAGCCAGAAAATACAGTAAATGGTGGTACTACAGTTTCTGGAGGTAAAACTGTATTATCTGCTATTGCACAACAATCCTTCAATACACATCTTCTACCCTGGAATAATAGTTCAAATAATGTTAAATAACATTCAGGTGTGATGTACAAAACATGGAGTCATATTGAGACAAGTTTACTAATCTGTCTAGTGTATAAGGTATATTCCTGCTGCAATAATTACTGTTTGCCATCAAACAAATAAATACTTTCAAAATGCTTGTATAAAATATGACTAATTTCCTTAAAACCAAATGATGCATGCATAAAATCATTGCCAAATGGATAAAACCATACTTATTATAGTAAAATAATATTTTGTTCTGGAACATTTTATTCTGTTTACATTTAATATCCATGTGAACAAAGAAATTCTATGATACACCTTTTTCAATAATTGACCATAAGATTATTAGAACCTTTAAAATTTTATTGTCAATAAATTTTATAAAAATATTTCATATGATATAGCTTTATACTCTTTAAAACAAATTATGAAATATTAACAAAATCAAAATGTGATACTTATAACCACTTATAACATTTCACTTTCACAACCTAGCTAAATTATGTGACATTGAACTTGAAGGAAATTATCTCTATAAATGTGAAACAGCAAAGAGGTAGCAAAAAACACATACATTACACTTCAAGACTTGAATGGATAAATGCCTTTCATATGTGCCAGTTACATCGTAAGATCAGTCAATCAACATGTGAAAATTTCACAGAAAAAGATATCACTAAAAATTGTCTCGTGTTAATTCTTAAGTATACAGTGGTCTCTGTGGTTAAGGTTGCATACTATAAATCCCTTGCCTCTCACTGCTGTGGGTTTGAACCTTCAGAGAACTTTGGAATTTATGCGTAGGAACTATCCCTGCTTAAGGACATTGTTGGTCAATCGAGTGCTATTGTCAATGGCCTGAAATAATGCATGAGGGTCGTCAAGCGTCTTCCAACACATATGACCTCATATGTTGGTGTGAAATAAACAAATGTGAGTCACAGAGTCAGGATACATCATATATGATCTATACTTACAATAACACAGTTTTTGCCAATATGAACTTGTGATCCAACTTGTGCAGCATTCACTATAGAACCTTCATCTATAAACACATGGTCCCCAATATGAAGAGGGAAAAATGCAACTCTGGAAAACAAAATAATGCATCAATAAAGCAGCAGGATCATTCATATTTAAAGTTGCAAGAGATGTTTTGCAGCAATGTAGTAACTAGATTTTTGTACAATAAAGTAATGATATTAATATTCACTGAACATTTTATCTCAGACATATGATTTACTACTATAAGTGCCTATGTCCTGGCAGAATTTTTTTTTAACTAAACAGAATATTAGATAAGCTACAAACATATCAATTTGTTATTGAAACATATTCGAATTATGCATACAAAAGTTCTGCTCTATGTGGTGTAAGAGATAATGCATTTAAACACAAATTAACACATGTGGTGTAAGAGATAATGCATTTAAACACAAATTAACACAATGTTTCATGACCAATATGCCAAAGAATCAATTTTTAGATGTATTTTTTCAAGGATGTTCATGTACATGTATTTAATGTCATCCAGCTAGGTGAATTTCCAATGAGTTTCCAAACATGGTCTTACCCTTTACTAAATTTTTTAAACGGTGGTCTTATCACTGCTTTTCTACTGATAACACAGTGTCGTCCAATCCTAACATTGGCCAGATCTCCTCTTATAACACAGTCAGTCATGATTATACTCTGAAAATAATCATAACATGTTAAAGTGACATTACCCTTATTTTTTCTTTGTTAACATGAGCTGAAGTGACGTGACAATATATTTCAGAAGATTGACAGGAATAATCTTGATAGACCAGGAGATGAGTTGATAAGTAGTTGGAAACTGTTTATAATATATCAACAGAGAATTTAAAGAGTCAGCCAACAGTATAGAGCCAGGTCAGACTGCAAAGGCTTATCACTTAATTGATACTAAATTGTCATTATATACTATATTACATTAACACGCTGTAAATAGTCAAATTATATTTTCAACCACTAACTGGGATACTAGTGTTTTTTAAGTCAGCATTAAATAAATTAAATCTGTCTGGCATGGCACACTAACAAACACTAAGCTATAAATTAATTATAAATCCGTTAAGATATTTTAGAATTAATATATCACAAACTGTGATTTTATCGCTTAATAAAATCACTGTTTGGAGTTGAATGCAGAGAATTATACGACAATGATGCGCATCCGAACGACAAACTGATTTTATCAAGCGATAAAATCACAGATTTGGATATATTATTTCGATTCTAACACGACATTAATAAATAAATGCTGCCATATCTGATAGCTAAACTGCGCCAGATTTGTTTCCATACTTATTTCAGCGTGTCACGCTTTTTAGTGGGTATGTCACATGTATATAATGATTATGTCACATGTCTAAATATAGAATGTCAAGAGTGATTTTTTTGGCTCTTCTATACTGTTAAACACTTATTATTTGCGAGAGATTTATTTTCGCTAATATTCGCGAGTGTTCTAAGACGCGAATTCATATTTCTCGCGAATATTTCACTTTGTCTATACACTTGTCCAAAAATGAACACTATCCGAAAATGCGTACACATGGATATATATCTGCGGGAAAGTATCGAAACCAGTTCTAGTTACATCATGTAGCTATGCAAGTGTCGCAGCATATACATATCGTACAGATTACTAGTATGAAATATTTACTTGAACAATTTGGTATTATTGAGGAATTGGAAAAAAAATTTCTTCACTGCATATTACCTGTGTCAAGGAAGGTAACTGTGACTTGCACTAGAATTAAGTATAAACAAATTAATGCGTCTCACAAAATTTTAATGGTATTTCTACATATTGTTCTAATTAATGTGAAAATCTGTCCAACTTAATGGATTAATTAAATTTCCAACACAATTTATCAAGGTCAAGTCTATTGAACAATACCGGCCTGCACCCACCCACGCTTGATCATCTCATTCTCATCTCATTGGTACAAATACTTTAGCACCTGCGAGTTGTTTGTAACATTTCTATTTATTGTATCCTATTGTATTGTACTACAGTTTAAGCCGGAGGGTAAACATAATCGTTTACTACAGGTTAGGCAAATAACAGTACCATTTAATTGATTTTCGTCTGCTTGCCTTTGAATGGCTAATCAGTGAAACTTTAACACTTTGACAAACACAGTGAACACATATCAAATAATTATCAAACTTTATTGACATATTTTAAGACAGACGGTTTCACTTAACAAGAAGATTAGCAAGCTATCAGAAAAATCAATACAGATAAAATGCATTCGTCGCACAATAAACAACGCAAAGTTAGTGAACGGGCAGGACAGAAAATATCTGAATGACATCGGGTTTCCGTTTTCACATTTTTCGGGAAGACGCGAATTTATGTTGACGCGAAATAATTATTTTGGACATTTTGCCTCAAATTCGCGAAATAAGGTTCTTGCGAAAAATAAGTGTTTTACAGTATTCAATAGCGAAAAATACGGATTGTGTTAGAATGTTTCTTTATGCCCTTACAGTTGTAAGGCTATTTCTTTTTAAAATCAATCCAAGTTATCATACATACCTTGCCACTTATCACTATGTTCTGACTTCCACATAGTACTGATGAACGACTTACTTTATTCCCAGAAGCCTGAAATTTGAATGAATGCAACAGGCCTAGACATTAACTTTTGAATCAGGTTGTCCTGTCGGGCAAGAAGTTTTTAAAACTACTTGCCCTGACCTAAGACTTACTTGTCCTGACCTAAAAATGGTAAAAATGTATAAATCAGAAAAACAAACAAGCTCATACATTAATACTTCTTGTATTAGGTAATGTTAACATAAGGCAATAAACTGGACATATTGTTTATGAAATTGATTGTTAGTTAGACACAAATATTTTTTGTATTTAGTAGTTTTTCTAAAACATCGGTTCATCTGTTTATTCAATGTGAATATACTACGGTCATGTACATTTGTTGATATAGGAAACGGAAGGAAAAATATGTTCACATTATTGATAATGATTCATGGTGTATTTTTGTTTTAAAGATGTTTATAAATGAAAAGATGTTATTTCTATTCATTTTGTACATGCATTTTGTCAATGATGCTTTTTATTTTCACTTGCCCTGTCGGACAAGTGCTTTTCAAAATAACTTGCCCGGACCAAACTTTTAGTTGTCCCGGGCAGTCGGACAACCGTTAATGTCGAGCCCTGTGCAATGTAATATAACTTGAACAACAACATCATATTTTGTATCTAGTTAAAGTAAAGTAGTCTTGCATTTATGATAATCTTGAAATCATAACTTGACATAAAATAAAATTATGTCAGTCCCTACAGTTTATCAGGCATAATGCTTGGTGAAACAATGTTGAGCCTCTATTTAGGACTATAAAGAATTTGTCCCCCATTTGAAATAATTGCTTAAGTTACTTACTCACTTAACAGTTTTACTATCTCATTTCCAGGCAGTACTGGAATTCCTATTTTCAGAAACAATTTTCCAAATATCAATACAAAATAAAAAATATTTTGTTAATCTATCTGATGCAAAAGTACACAGTATAAGTCATGGTCTTATCATGCTCTAATCAAGCGTGCATCTTCAAGGTAACTTATTTCCTGTTTGATAGTAAAGTCGCAAAATGGAAAGTATTACCACTAAGAAAACTCATCTCATAATAAGCAATAGAATAAATTCAATAATCTCTTTGACTTAGGCCTTTTGGATCGAAAAAAAGCTATTTTTCACAAAATGAATTGGCCCAGGACCCTTCACAATTTGGTGAACAATGCCCTTAGTTCCCTTTAACAAGAGGGCCATGCTGGCCCTGAGGTCGCTCACCTGTATTTAGGCCCCCGGAGCGGGGCTAGTTTAAACCCCAGGGATTTATTAGAAAAAACTTGGAAGAAACTCATTAGAAGATGTTTCATGATGTTAAGTTTTTACTACACACATATAATGAAAAACAATGACCCCCCCCCCCCCCTTGGCAGGGCCAATTTTAACCCAATGGCTTTTATTTGAACAAACTTAGTAGACACCCACAAAAAGATGTTTCCTGCAATCTAACCTCTAGCTCATTGGCATTTTAAAAGAAGATTTTTTAAGTTTTTACTATACACATATAGTTAAAAACAATGACACCTCTGGGGCGGGGCCAGTTTTAGCCCCAGGGCTTTTATTTGAACAAACATTGTAGACACTTACTAGAAGATGTTTCATGCTTAATATCTAAACTCTAGCTATTTGGGTTTTTTCAAAGAAGATTTTTAAGTTTTTGCCATACACATATAAGGAAAATTAATGACCCCCAGTGCGGGGCCAATTTTGACCCCAGGGCTTTTATTTGAACAAACTTTGTAGACACTCACTAGAAGATGTTTCATGCTTATATCTAAACTCTAGCTATTTGGGTTTTTTCAAAGAAGATTTTTTAAGTTTTTGCTATACACATATAAGGAAAATCAATGACCCCCGGGGCCGGGCCAAATTTATGCATTGTTCAATGACAAAATAGAAATTGATTTTACAGAGAAAGTATGTTATTAAAATTAATGGTATCATGTAAAAATATTATAATATTTCACGATGTTATTTGCAAATATTTGATGTTTAATTTGGTGCATTTTCAAAATGGCGCCGATTATCGGCATATATTCTGAACAAACAATCTATGTTTTTTAACAAAGATGGCTTTAAACATCATTTCCTGAAATATTTATCCTTTTTTCAAAAGTTTTAAGATTTTTAAATAACATCATGTCCTTAAAATTTTCATTTTTGCTCTTGTATTTAATATTCGCCCTTTTCTTGAACACTTACATAATTTGCTTATAGCAAACTATACCGATTTATACAGAGACATGTTAAATTGTAGCGAGAAGGGTTTACATAGGGTGTTTCCAGACCATTCTATTTGAAAGACCCTGAGAAGTGTGACAAACTTATAATTTGAAAGCTAGAGATCTGAAATGTTACCACAGTACAGCTAGGTTCTTCTCCTAACTTACAAACTACTTTGTTTAGTTTTGATTATATTGACACTAAAATCTGAGGCCCGTCAAGGAGAGTAACAAAATTACCTAAATTGCCTACACTACAGTACCATGTGTCCGGACAGATATACATTTGATGGCATTTATTTATTTCAGAGATAAAAGCTTGCATGTTTTAAATTTTATTATTTTGACTGTAACATGATATGCAATATTTCACAACATATGCTGATGTTTTGGATATTCTATTGTTCACTCTCAGGGCTCATCCTGGGGGGAAATTTTAGGGAGAAGTGACTTCCTCGCGAAAATTAGGGAGAAGGGAAACAACCCAATGTGTATGCATTAACATGCATGGCTATACATCCTTTAATTATAATATAAACACAATTAACATCACTTATAATATTTCTCCAGTTTATTAATTAATAGCAGATTAATTAATAGTAGTATTAATTAAAAGTAGATTAATTAGTAGTAGATCTGGCAATGGCATCTAAATGTTTTTGAGCTGCAAATATGAATATAAAAAATTATTTTTGATAATTCTTTTGATCAGCTATTTATAAGCTTTCTCTAAATATGTGTTTATATATTTTCATGTACATTTGTTGATAATAATGTGTAAGAAAAGATGTGATGATAAAATCAATTTCATATTTTTTCTTTCCTCACATTAGAAGATGAAGTCACCTTGGATATTGATTAATAAAATCTGTTCTATTCTGTTCTGGTAACAGAAATTTCTTTGAAAGTCCTGAATGTTGTAATGTCAGATTTATATGCATATAATTATGCTTATAAAACAATTTTCAAACATCAAAGAATATGTAAAATATGTATTGCAAACATTTGTGCACATTATATTTGATCACTAAAATTACATACATTCATTTCTTATTGAAAAATTTGACTGAGAAATTGTAGAAAATTACTTTCTAATTACCTCCCTTTATTTTCATGAAATGTTAAATTCGGTAATATCTTTATAAATAATGCTTTTTAAAATTTACAATATTGATAAATCTTAATCTGAGCGTCATATTTACGACATTAAAACAAATTTCTTAAATTTTCGCGTAGGTGTATCAGAATCAGTAACTTTCTTTTACTGCTAGGTTTGGGCATTTCGCCCGGTAGCCATGACGTGAGCGACAACAATTTAACAGTAAAATTTTTATGTGAACAGACTGAAATCATTCAAAAATATGAGTACGTTTTTAATCCGGTCGCTGATCATTAATGAAATTGATTATTTTTAATTGACTAACAGTTTTGTGATAGCCATGAAAAATCCATTGCACATCGCCTTTACTCGAGTTAAAAACCCACCATCGAAGTGCATCGTGTATATCAATTAGGGAAGATTGCACGTGTTTTGATAATCGGGGAAAAAACAATGTATAATTAACGCCAAATCCCGTATTAAACTCGCAAAACTATCACACAATTATACCGTTTCGGGCCGATGCTCTCATTATTTACTGTTTAGAGTAGGCGGTCTATCGCTTCGCTTACAGGTAGAAGGGTAGTATAAAGCGACGCTCTGATTGGATAATGATAATTAGCGGTCGTCATATGGGCGGATACAATCTCTGCTCTTTACATCGCTAAGTAATTACTATTTGGGAATTAAGATTTTATCGGCGATGTTGACTTCTCTTTGATCAATCGGAAGAGCGAAATTGGAATATACACGGCGAAGTTTTCGCCTGAATCGCCCTTCCGGATGAGCCCTGCACTCTGCAAACTATTATAGCTATTGAAAGAGGTCAGGTATTGCACTCTTGATGTCCAAATTTTCAAAGTCAACATACTTCTATCTATCTATCTCTGGATACTGCCAACCCCTCTTACGAGTGTTAAAGGCAGGAATTTAGTGCACGTCGGATTGTTAGTAAAAGGTGAAGAGAAAAGCTAAAAAGAAAAGTCCAAACATTGACATGCTTGGAAGGTGAGACTGAAAATGTATTCTAGTCATGGTTAAAATGTTAATAGTGAAACAAGATGATAAGAGATAAAATAGTTTAAAAACACTGGGAGTAAGACTAGTACTGCAAACCCACCACTGCCTGTTTGAACTGACTCAGGTTGGGCAGGGTGGCAATGTCACTAGGAAGTTTATTCCATAGTATAATATGCTATGAGGGAAGAAAGAGTACTAATGGTAGTCGGAGGATACCTGTATTTGACGTAGGGATAAGGGATGCATATGTCTGGTTAATCTATGTGGGTTTGAACATAAGTTGGGAGATTAATTGCAACTAGGTTATGGTATATCTTATAAAACATTATCAGTCTACAGTCCAGTCTGCGATGTTCAAGGGATCGCCAGCCCAGTTCTTCCTGCATGGCTGTGACACTAGAGTGAGGGGAGTAATCCCTTTTAACCCATCTTATTGCACGTCTCTGGATCATCTCAACTTTGTCAATATTGGTTTTAGTATAAGGAGACCAAATAGATGAGGCATATTCAACCTGTGGGCGGACCAGGGACTTGTATGCTAGTTCTTTTACTTTCTCATTTTTAGTGATGACATTTCTTTTAATAAAACCAAGGGATCTGTTTGCATTGGAAGTTATTCGAGATATATGTGTATTAAATTTAAGGTCAGCAGATAGATCTAGTCCGAGATATTTAGCATTTGTAACAGACTCTAGGATTTGGCCATGGAGCATATATTTGTGTTTAATTATGGTCTTATTTTTGGTGATATGGATGACTTGGCATTTTGAAGGGTTAAACTCCATGTCCCACTGCTTCTCCCACAGAACCATATTGTCTAGATCATGTTGGAGAGTTGGGGGGTCTGAGGAGGAATTGATGGTTAGGTATACAGCAGTGTCGTCTGCAAATAATCTGACTTGGGATTTGAGGACAGAAGATGGTAACTTGTTGATATATAGAAGGAAACAGAGGGGCCCTAGGACTGAGCCTTGGGGCACTCCAGAGGTAACTGGGACTTCAGATGAGCAGTCACTATCCACAACTACTGTCTGTCTACGGCCAATAAGGAATGACTGTATCCAGTTTAGAATTTGAGGACAAACACCATGTTCTTGCAGGGTATCTAAGAGTTTAAGATGGTTTACTTTATCGAAAGCTTTGGAGAAGTCAAGAAGTATAAGATCTGTTTGTTTGCCATTTGAAAGGTTGTTCACAAAGTAATCAGTAAGTTCAATGAGTTGTGTCTCACATGATCGTCTTTCTCTGAATCCATGCTGAAGATCAAAGAGTATGTTTGTGGGTGGTAAAGTGAGAGGATAGTTGAGAGGCAACTATATGTTCGAGTGTTTTTACAGAGGATGCATGTAAGGGAAATTGGGCGATAGTTTGCTGGATCACTTGTATCACCTTTTTTGTAGACAGGGCATACGTTTGCACGGGTCCAGTCATTGGGAATATTACCGGTGGTCAGGGATTTTTGGAAAAGAACTGCAACGATGTCAGCAATCTCTTCTCTCAGCTCCTTCAGGACAATTGGTCTAATGTTGTCAGGGCCGGCAGCTTTGTTGGCATTGAGGTTGGCGAGGAGCTTTAGTACACCTGCCCTACCGATGATGATGTCATTCATTTGTGGGTACTGACAATACTTTCTGGGATCCATGAGTCTCAGTTTTTGTATACATTGATCTTTAAGTGTGAGTGGTATAATTGGTGAGAAAACTGATTGAAATTGTTTGTTAAGAATGTTTGCTTTTTCAGTGTTATTAATTTTGAGAGAACCTGACTTTTGATCTTTTAATGGAGACACACTTTGTGAATCTTGTTTAGAGTTTTTTATAAGTGAGTATAGTTTTTTGGTACAAACTTTACTTTGTGTATTAGTTTCATCATCATCATCTGCAAGGTTCAGGATGTTTTCTAAATTCTAAGTAAGATTCATATGATTGTTTAATTCTAGCTTTTATTTATTACTTGAAATAGACAATAAAATATTACTGTTTACACAAGTTGAAATAAATTTTATTACTAAATTATAGAAAAAATGTGCATTTATTGTTGACTAAAAAGTGACTGATAGATTGAAAACTATTGAACAAAGTAAGAAATCTAAATCAGGCATTTTTTGGGTTGTCAGGGTTTGGTGGTTGTCAGGTTTTGGTGGTCAACCAGTAAATACATATTTTGTAAAACAATATATTTATATATGAATTATGTTTAAAAGCTCACTTAAAAGTTTGAGGCATTACCTGTGCTTGACCAATACTTCTTTTTCTGTATCTGTGAGGGTATGTCGTAGTAACCAAAGTCTGGCTTTAACACGACGGTTTATTTTGGTGTACAATTTATGCATTAAAGTGAAAAACTTCAGTTTGTTTGTGCTATTTGTACCTGACCTGTAACCTCTACACCATGTACAAGTATCTTCAGGATAATTCAGTAGAAGTTTTGCAGACTATATTAAACTAAAATACACTTCCGGTGACTCTTCAATCTTTTCATGCTAGGGAAAGAAGAACTGAGATATGGACTTCATATCCCAGGCAGTACCTGAGGATTTTGTATAATCTTTAAAAATAAGATGTGCTAACTCACTGTTTCTATGTATTCTGGATTGTTGTAAAATGTATCAACAAGTTCCATCTTGGAGAAAAGTTGCTTACTGACCAATCAAAACTTGATTATTATAAGTTCAAACGAATAATTCTACTTTCGTGGTTTTAATTTTGCCGAAAAAATTTCCGCCTTTCTTTCATAGTTTGATGAAATACTGCTCTTTAATGGGTATACAATTTTATTTTGATAACCACAAATGATCGACCAATCAGTTTTTATGTTTTCCAATTTTACAGGAAGTGATGTTTGGCGAGCTTGATTAATATCATTTTCTTAATTCTCTCCCCTTTTTAAGATTCCAAATTTAATCGAACAAAGATTAATCCTATTGAAGCTGATGTTATTTACATCTACATCATACTGCTAAACAATCAATTCTGATTATGACTAGCAGGCGCATTGTCAGGGAACTGTTCATACAAGAGATTATTTATATGCAAACTTAAAAAGTTAAAAGAATAAAAGTTCTACAAGACAATTAATTTAAAAGACATAGCGTTCATAGAATTCATATAAATCTGGGACATACGATTATTGTATATCCCAGTATAAATATAATTATATAAATTATATAATTATACAATATATATAATTATGATGTTTAATTCTAGTTAGCGAAACTATGCCATTTACTGTGTCTGTTTGTTTTGTTTTTCTTTAAGTTCTTCATTGTTACTCTAATACAAATCAAGATTTAGTTTCTTTTACGTCTTTATTTGATCTTTGCATGATCTCATTATTATTATTGTGATTGACATGTCATTTAACATGACCCTTGATTGGAAATAAAAGTTATTCTATTCTATTCAAGCGTGCGATTTAGAATTTATAGAATGGGTCAAGCCTCTCAGACTGGGGCTAGACTGAACAGTTAGAGGAAGGCTATTCCAAAGACGTATGCTCCTAGGAAAGAAAGAATTTTGATGGTATTGTGTCCAAGAGTTGGGTATCAGGTGATTAAGATTTCTTGTTTGAGTGAGGTGTTGGTGGTCAACAAAAACAGTGTTGCATCATCTAGAACCTATTCACAAGAAGTTGTATTTATAAGTATTTTGAAAGACGCTTAAATTTCCCTAGATCTATATTCTGTTTTTATCCAACTTTTTCTTCCACTCTTACAAAATATACCATGTCATTTTCACCTGAATTGAAGGAAAAAGGGTACTTTCTCTTCATGTGAAAATTGTGCCCTTTTTCATATTTGACCTTTGGCTTGCTAGACCGGAGACAGCTAATATAGGTTTAAGAACAACCAGTGTACACTCAGGATCTAGGCTGGCTTAAAAATGGTGTTAATGATATGATTCGAATCAATTTTCACAATTTAATATACGATTTTAAAATACGATCGTGTAGAATTTATACAATTGTGTAGAACTTATAACGCCTTGAGAAATCCTTAACTTTTCGGGTATAAATTAACAAAACAAATAATAATAATAAAAATTAAAAAAAAATAATGCAATAAAATAATTTTATAAATAATCATTTAATTAGTATTTGATAACAGTTTCATTTAAGAATTAGGGAAGTTTTTTTTCTATGTGTGTGAGAGAAGTCCATCGCCTTAAATGGCTTCCTGTCAACCTGTCCAAACTTAGAAATAACTAAAGTCAATGAACATGATGAAGCCAGGTTTATTACGACTGGGTACCTTTGTTGCTGTACTTGTTATATAAAGTCTAACGCAGCTAACAAAATGTTTGCTTCATTTTGTCACCAGACCTTTGCAGTAAACACCCCAGTTACAAAGAGCCATCGGTGATTGGTCGGTAGTTTTTTAGCCAAATTATGGAGTGAACCGATGACAACGTATTTAACATCGATATCACCTATTGGTCACCTGTTTTCCTATTGGCGAAATATAAGTTTTATCGGTAAAAAAATATCGATTGGGGGTTTTAAGGCCCAGTTACACAGACGGTCGGTCCCCAATCGGTCATTTAATTTTAAATTTACTCGCTGTTATGATCGGTTGTCATGCGTGATTTTATTTCTGGTTTTCTGTGTAAACGGCCATCGGTGACAGAAAGCAAACTCAAACGGGAATGGGTCGATGATGAAATGCTGAAATACTTTTGTTTTTTTATCGTTTGTAAATCGGAGCTAAATCGGGCGTAACGCTGTTTAATCGTTGTTTGATAGCTAGTCATCAGTGGTTAAACACTTTCCGTCAGATATGGCCGGTGATTCATATTTGGTTATCTTTGTCCGATCGGCGATATCGGTGATTAAAAGCTTGCATATCTCGTGATATAGGTTGCCGTCGGTTATTTTTAAAATATTTTCACCGATCGAGAATTTTAAACGTGTTTAAAAATCCCAATCGGTAATTTTTCACCGATGAAACTTATCTTTCCCCAATAGCAGTTGATAGGTGGAAAACAGGTGACCAATAGGTGATATCGGTGATAAATACGTTGTCATCGGTTCACTCCATAATTTGGCTAAAATAACTACCGATCAATCACCGATGGCTCTGTGTAACTGGGGTGTTAAACATGTTTAAAACTCTCGATCGGTGAAAATATTTAACAAATAAGCGACATCAACCTATATAACGAGATATGCAAGCTCTTTTAATCACCGATATCGCCGATAACACCGATTAATCAGCGTTACGTCCGATTTAGCTCCGATTTACAAACGATAAAACCGATATGTAGTATTTCAGCATTTTTATCACCGATTCAACCCCGTTTTAGTTTGCTTTCTATCACCGATGGCCGTTTACACAGAAAACCAGAAATAAAATCACGCATGAAAGCGAGTAAATTTAAATTAAAAGACCGATTGGGGACCGACCGTCTGTGTAACTGGCCTTTTTAGTTTAAAAACTTTTGAAAAAGCTTATAAGGCATATTAACTCCCAAGGTAAAATCAATATTTATTTAAGAGCGACAATGATTTGTCATAAATCTTTATCCATTTAAGGAGGTCAGAAGTTTTAATTCCATAAAAGGTGGTCACACAATGTTTACCGAATGTAAACGGTTCATTTATATTTTTAAATAGAGCTCTTGATAATGCAAAATACGGAATAGTATTATCGCCATTAAAAGTTTGTTTCTTATTACACACAGCAATGCAAATGTTTTTATTTAAAAACTATCAGGTTTAAAATCATGTAAAATTAAATTAAATCTATAAACTTTAATAGGATAAAACTAATGATTATGAGTAATCAGCGATGTGTTCCGAATGACTAACTCATCGCGTTTGAATGAAAGTCCATCGCGAGTTTAAAAACCAAAAATCACGCAGCAAAGAAATAGAAATCTACATGTATGTAATTACATTACCGTTAGCGATAACCCTTCAGTTATATCGAATAGATTTTATGTTAACAAACTACATGTACTTCTAACGAATGTTATCAAAACAAACCCCGAAAATAAAGCGTTTCAATCCCACCATTCCCCCCCAAAAAATATTTTCAGATTAATGACATTTTTTTCCGGGAGATGGCCTTTATCTGCTGCTATAAATCACGTGTGCTATATTTTGAACTTTTAATACTTGCACATAACTTGAAGTGTGTTTAACTTAGATATTACTATATATTGGCGGAGAGGCATAATCCTGTGACATTTTAGTTTTAAACTGTTAAATTCAAAATATGGCACATTTTGTAAAAGGACTAACTATATTCCTGATTCTGATAAATCAATATCAATCTGCAGAAGTTCCAAGCGTTGCTTCGAAACTAGGATCGATAACTGGAGAAACGAAAAGTGTAACATTTCAAGGGAATAAGTATCAAGTTGATAGATACCTCGGAATTCCATACGCTAAACCACCGACTGGAGATTTAAGATTTCAACCTCCCCAGCCATTCGGTCCATTTTCCGAGACATATAATGCTGTCGACTTTGGAGCCTCGTGTCCACAACCAATCTATCCTTTTATGCCGGTGGAGAAAAAGACTGACGAAGATTGTTTATTCCTGAATATTTATGTTCCACGCCAGAAACCAGATGAACCTTCCGGTCACGCGGTAATGTTCTTTATACATGGCGGTGGATTTTCAATTGGATCAGGGGTTATTTATGATGGGGCAGTATTGTCGTCTGTAGGTAACGTAATCATAGTGACAATAAACTATAGACTAGGGCTTCTCGGGTTCCTTGACATAGGCAATGAAAAGGCGTCCGGAAATTTCGGGTTACTTGATCAACACTTGGCTCTTCAGTGGGTTAATGAAAATATTGATGCGTTTGGAGGTGACAAAGACAGGGTAACGATATTTGGGGAGTCAGCCGGTTCAATGAGTGTTGCCATGCAGATGTTGTATCCGTCCAATAAAGGACTGTTTAGAAATGGTATAACACAGAGTGGCGCCCTAAGTCTCCCATTTCCTGGCCTTTATGTTGAAAATAACATTGATGCTGCCAAATATTATGCTAAAAATATGAGCTGCACTGTAGACACGCTTGCTGATGTGATCAACTGCCTCAAAGAAGCATCACATGAAAATATAATACGCATTGTTCAAGATGCAATGGATTCTGGTGGTATGGATGCTGCTTATAGTGTCAGCACAGCCCCAACAATTGATGGCAAGTTTATCAGACACAGTCCTGAAGAGATGCTTCAGAAAGCGGAGACTGAAACTTGTGAGGAATTGAAATTCTTCCGATCAATTAGGCTGATGAACGGTGTGAATGGTAATGAAGGCGCATCGGCTTTATTAATGCTTGGAGATGCTGAAAATTTGGATGACTTAGAAATAACTCGCGAACAAATGAACACAGAACATATTCCTGGTACTTTAGCATTTCTTTATGGTAACAAAACAGTATCGGACGTGGTGAACCAACTTATGATTTCAGAATACACGGACTGGGAAAATCCGGATGATCCGAAAAGACTCCGCGAGCAGATGATTAATCTTTACGGGGATATTTATTTTAATGCTCCATGTGTAGAAATGAGCAGAGTTCACGCTAATGAGACAGATGTTGAAAGTTATGTCTACAATTTTCTTCCTAGGCTTGACAAGCCGTTGCTTCCATTACCTAAGTGGGTTAAATATGCGAACCATGGAGATGAATTAGGACCTGTATTCGGCTATAACTTTGATCCCCAGGTCCTTTTCAACATATCTGAGTACACGCCACCAGAATGGGAGCTTGACCTTTCAAACAGAATAATGAAATATTGGACAAACTTTGCTAAAACCGGGTAAGCCATCAATGTTATAACAATTAATTTATTACCGATGCTCTAATACTCATAAATATCTGATATTCATAAATTATAGTAAGATGTTAAGTATGATTACTCAATATCTATTGATATAACCATTCACACGAGTCACTTTGTACATATTTGTCCAATGCTCGTACAAAATACCTAATATTTAAAAATATTTGCTCATATTGCATTATTTTTTTAATTTATTGATGTCACTGCAAATCACCCAACTTAAAGTGATGTACAGTATAGTAAATTTTATAGTACGCTCATGGTACTTGCGAAACTCATACGACAACGGGAACCAGACTAAATTTTATAGTACGCCGGAAACCAGACTAAATAATACAGATCAAAATTTAGCACACGCGTGTATGTATGGTGCCATACGAGTACCATCTACATACTAGTAATCGGGAGTTATATTGCTTAAAACACTTAACTTTAAGAGAGGGGGAGCGGTGGCCTAGTGGTTAAGGTGTCTGCCTCTCAACCGGAGGATCATGGGTTCGAGCACAAATCGAGTCACGACCATGTTTCTTCATATGACACCAGTACTGGTTTGTTCCAGGAAGCAGACCGGAAAATAATTAATATAAGTTGCGAGAACTTGTTTCGCAATCGAGCTGAAATAAATATGTTTAAACCAACTTTAAGAGAGATTTTTGTAGGTTCAAGGATTTTAAGAAATTGAAAAGAAAATAGATTACTACTAATAGATCATTCACACTTTTATCAAATGCACATACAAAATACCTAATATTTAAAAATATCTGCTCACATTAGTCAGCAACTTTAAGTGATGTACAGTGAGTGTACAAGAAATGTGTGACTGGCACAAGAACCTTCATGGAAGTGATATACGTGCAACTTGAGCATATTCATATCTCCATCTCTATAGTAAAAGTCAAAGATAGAATAATCACTATTAGTTTTAGTGGTTGTTTTTTAATCAAAGCATCATTCCGGGGACAATGGTTTTGTTAAACAAAGTAACCGTCTGATTATTTTATAAAAATGTTGTTTTTTTGTTTGTTTAAAACTTAACGCATTAATCGATAATTGGTGATTTGTAATCACTTTGTTTCCAAATCGGACACCCGCTATCGCCTTCTTTTTATATAACTTTTTAAATGTTGCTTGCCTTTTTTTGTTTGTTTTAAAGAAGAAAAACACGTAACCATACGCTGGTACGCACCGGACTGTTATAAATGTAACTTCTGTTAAGTAATTCGAAAAACTAATTTGTTAAGCTGTCAAGTTAACATTTTAACAAATGATGGCCAATTTTATGGGAAGAATTTGTTAACTTACTAGTTTGAAACTCACTTAATGTATTTTGATCATTTCAGGGATCCTAATAAACCAGATTCGAAACTATTAGCGTGGCCAAAGTATGAACTCGATTCTCAGTCGTACATCAAGTTTAACAGAGAAGATTCCATTGATCAATACTTCTCTGCGAGACCAACGGAATTCTGGAAAAAGATTGTACCAGCTGTTATAGATGCTACTGAGCATGCTCAGACTGTAACAGAACAATTTGGAAAGAAAGAAGAACAAACATGTGATAAAGACGGAAATTGTGGATGAATGCAATTGTTTCAACTTTTATATTCAATGAACAACTTCTGACATATTTACCATTTTATTAAGTGAACAAAATTAAAACGTGATGCTGTATATATTAACATTCTTTTTTGCTTAAAAGTAAACTGAACTGAATTAATATCGTACATTATTTGTCTTTGTAATATGCAGCACTGACAATAAAAATACTCAGTAAAATTGCAAATTTTGTGTTGAAAAAAAATAAAAATAAAATATCACATACTTTGATAATCTGTATTAACTCCTAGACACTTCGTTATATGCTACTGAACAAGCCTTACGTGGTCCAGTTTATGTCAAGTTATCATTCAACATTTGCAAAAGAAATAAGAGCTGTCACCAGAAAGTGAGAAGCGTTGACATAAATTACCTTAGATATGTTCTTGAATATGAGCCGGAACAAAAAGAAATCAAGACGGATTTAATCTTGTTGGAGATGAAGCGTGGACGGACGGACAGTGCGATTACTATATGCCGCCCTTTGGCATTGTATTTTCGAAACCAAAATGACAATATAAATGCATTTTTGGTTCATTTTAAACAAAGAGTTTTGGATTGCTTTAAACAAAAATGGCATGCAGATTTAAACAGTATAATGTTTTAAATACTTTATATTCATCTAAAAACAGATTTTAAGTTTGAAAATTATTTAAATACGATCAAATCTAAATATCTAAGGAGTTATATTACACGTTTAAGAATTTCTTCGCATAATCTTATAATTCAAACAGGTAGATATGAGGAATAGAATAGATAGTCAGGAAAGATAATGCGAATTGTGTCAATGCTCTGAGATTGAAGACGAGTATCATTTTATTCTTATATGCATGCAGTGTTTACCATGATTTAAGAATTCCATTAATTATCATTTTTATCACAGAACTGATATGTAACAATTCATAGAAATGCTTAAGTCAAACAACAAATCAGTTCTAAACAATCTTAGCAAATTTATTTATTTAGCCAATATGAAAAGAAATGATTTATTGAATTCAGACTAGAATCCTAGACTTTAAAACTATAACAATGTTGATTGTATTCACTGTTAGACAGCAGTAGTGAAAATTTGCTGTTATTCAATATCTTATTCATACTTATTAGAGCTTATTCTCCATATTGTATAAACTGAAACATTAGTTATTCTCTTTCATTTGAATACCAACCGTGACAAAATATTTATATATATTTCTAGTTGATGAATAACGAGATACATGTAAATGTATAAGTTGAATAAAATTTTCTTCTTTCTTCTTCTCCATTAGAAAGTATGCATATGTTCAGAGTCCATGATCATGATGATGTGTTTATGAAATAAAAGAAAATATAAATGAGAATAGAACTAAATGAGAAGCTCTATTTAAATTGAAGTCCTATTAAAAACCCCACACACGGCTGAAATAAAATCATAGTAAACACGTCCCTCTAAATGTGAACGGTATTGCATGGGACAAATCGCACCGGTGTAAGAGTTGTTGCACTTCGTTTTTATTAACATCTGATTGCTTCTTTTGAGATGATTGAGATAGTGCTATGATGAAAATATTTTGGCTTCCAAAACTGATTGCCGCCTTTTATCTAGTAAATTTAAGCTAGGTATAACGTGTGCTTTTTACTTTGGTTATACTAGTAGTGAGTCGGGTGCCTTTTATGCACGGGGGTGGAACCCCATATGAATCTCAAAAATGAGCATCGGTAAAAATGATATGTGAATTTCCGCTGCACCAGATGTGAAGCATAACACCAGATGTGACTGGAAAAATAGGCCGATCGCAGGGTAAGTTTTCATCTTTTTAAACATTTATATAAAATTCAATCCTTTTTTTAAGAAAATCGAAATGTGATTCTACCCTCCTGACTCTCCTCTATATTACCCCTTGTTGTTTTGGATTTCTATGCAGTCTTCATCGAGATATTCTTTCCGTCGTGGGTTCTGGTGTGTCCAAAATTGCAATATGAATGAAGAAAATGTCACTAAACGGACTCGAAAAACATAGATTTTACGAAATCTCACTACAGGTCGATGCTAAACATTCAAACAAATCCTGGTTTAAATATTTATTGAGATTTGGCTTCATACAAGGGAATCGCTGCTCAAAATTGCATTTGAGCTCCAGATGTGCTGAAGAGATTCATATGTGCATAGCATGAAAAATTAGCAACAATCTAGAATTTATTCTATTGTGTATCATTCTGTAATAAATTCTATTATCCGAAATAGACACATTTTCACGAGACGAGCTTGAATAACATAGTATCCATATAGAAAGAGATATAAGACATTCTGCATATGAAAGGTTTTTAAAATACGTAGATATGTGGGAAGGCCTTGCTTATTTTCACTTATTGACGTCATGTGTACTGCAATCTTTCCCTATTATGCCACCATGCATTAATTAATTAGTTAATTAATTATTCACTCGACTGCACTGTCTGCTTAATAGGAGAGTAATGTGAAGCGTGTTTGAATTTGTTATGATGCTGTAAGAAAGTTAGTGATAAACTTTTTAAAAAAGATCAAAGAAGATTTTCATATTTATTTTCCACATTAAGAAACGTCCCTGCAGAATATTTACATGGTTCACTTCATGCCCACAGTCGCAATTATGGGTCATTGCCTATCTGAATTTTATGCCTGCTCTGTAATTCTTTGAATGGTTTTAAAGAAACTTTAACATATCTTAACAGTATTGAGCGGACATGCGTAGCTCATAATGCACATAGATTGTTTCCTGAAAATGTTCATATACGCAAAAAGATCACTGAACTTATTCTCCGCTTTATAACTGTTATTTCAGTGGGAACTGTAAATTATAAACACTTTCGTAATTCGTTTATTTTGTTATTTTTCAGGAAAATGGGTCGTTTTCTAGGCACAAAAAGGAAAGGTTTAAAACTTTCAAGAATAAAACGTCACGTGTATCGTGAAAAGAGGAAGTCATCAGCGCTTACATCTCCTTTTTCGCCTTTTAAATTGTCCCCATGTGTCTAAAGATTCCGCGTATCGCAGACTCCAAAGTCCAAAAATTCATCAGAAAGTGCACGTATTACTTTTTCCAATTCAAAGAAAAAAACGCTTAATATTCAATTAACAACTATTAAGTCCCATGAAATGTTCTTCACAGAAAGGATTTGCAAAGATAAATAAAATCAGTTACAATGAACAGATAGACATTAAGGATGACATGGGTTACATAAAAAGTAACCGAGGTTTCGGGTGGGAAATTTTATTTATGGAGAGAAGCCAATCATAAATTGAAATTTTATGTTTATTAAAATTCTCATTTCTGTTTATCATGCGATAAAACAGTTATAATATATCGAACTCGACTATTATGTAGAAATATCATGACCTGGGGCGGCATCTCGGGTTTTCCTTACAGACAATGTTCTCGGCCCATATCCTGTAAAGAAAAACCTTCGATGCCGCACCAGGCCATGATATTTACACATAACAGTCTGTCGCTATAACTATAACTTGTGGAATATTAAAGTGATAGATATTTTTATGAATGTAAACATTATTAAAGAAACATATTATATGACACGATAGCTTTACAAAGTTCAATACTCTCAGTTTGGTTTGTCCAAGTTACATATCATTTATTAGTGAATTGTTTATCATAAGAGTACTATCCGCTCTGCGTATACATTTTCATGTACTCGGGCCTTTTAGTATTTCTAATGCTATTATAAGCTAGTAAGCTCTGTCACTGTGGTAATCAAACACACTAATGTTACAATTAAACTTTCAGCCAAAGATGCAAAACCTATATTGTTTCTATACATTGGCTATTCAATGATTATATGGAAGTGGTCCGTAGTTTTGTAGATGGTTTTCTACATCACTTATGAATCTCTTCAGCACATCTGGAGCTCAAATGCAATTTTGAGCAGCGATTCCCTTGTATGTAGCCAAATCTCAATAAATATTTAAACCAGAATTTGTTTGAATGTTTAGCATCGACCTGTAGTGAAATTTCGTAAAATCTATGTTTTTTGAGTCCGTTTAGTGACATTTTCTTCATTCATATTGCATGTTTTGGACCAGAACCCACGACGGAAAGAATATCTCGATGAAGACTGCATAGAAATCCAAAACAACAAGGGGTAATATAGAGGAGAGTCAGGAGGGTAGAATCACATTTCGATTTTCTTAAAAAAAGGATTGAATTTTATATAAATGTTTAAAAAGATGAAAAATTACCCTGCGATCGGCCTATTTTTCCAGTCACATCTGATGTTATGCTTCACATCTGATGCAGCGGAATTCACATATCATTTTTACCGATGCTCATTTTTGAGATTCATATGGGGTTCCACCCCCGTGTTATGTCTTATCAACTATGTTTATGCTCAAATTACTTCGTTAAGACTTTATTGATGATCCTTTCCTTATTAAAGTGAAATTATGCTCATATTTTCATAGTCATGTTGAGCTGCAATGACTTTATATTTCAAAAGATTGACTGTCAAAATGGTGTTTGACCAACAGTTGATATTGAAAAATGTTTAGGATAAAATTATAAATCTGCCTAAATTTAAAAAGACTGCCCCACTCTTTTTATAAAATAAGCGTTAAAGGTAAATTCTAATGGATATTTACAGAAATTTTGTTTTGATCTGTGCGTTATTTATTGTTTATGCGAATTTATTTATTAAATTAAAAGGAATGATGGCAAAATGAAAACTTATTTTGATCTTGGATGGGCATAATGTCACTTTAAATGTTGATATATATCGTTTTATAATTGAGATATAATTAATTGATGTCAAAGGCATTACAATAAGCCATTACTGGCGTGTCAGCACTGAGAATAAGACATAAGCGGACCTGGCCTTATAAACGAGCACTAGTCTCGACGTAATGGAACTTCCGTGTCGTAACACTTCCCCATTAATTTAAATTTTCACAACTGCGCAGATCTAAACAGACATTTGTAAAGGTAGCATATTTTTAGGCTCTTCTCAATGTATACCATGCACAGCTGACCATTCATATTCTACATCATTTGCTGACCAATGAAATCGCTCCAATTTTCAACTAAACGACCACACAGGGTATAGCGGAACGATGCTTTTTTGAGCGCGATGAAATGGTGCTATACGGAATAATGGCGGAGGAAAGTGACAAATAATATAGGTAAGAACCAGTTTGTTCAAATTTTGTTGTATGTTGTAATTTTTGTTCAAATAATATTGTGCTCGTGGAGCGGAATATGTATTTGTATATGATGGTCCAAATAAAAGAATCTATTTCATTGTAAGGAGAAAGTTATTGAGGTACTTGCTACTTCGAATGCCGTCGGCAATCTGACATACATGTTCTTATAAAAAAGAATACAATAATAGATTTTATGGAACAGATATTTGATTAGTTATAGCAACAACATGTTTACTGTAAATAGCAAAGTACACGAAAAGTTTTAACTATCTATTTCGCACATATCTACAATATTTCTTACCGTACAGCACGATAACTGATTCGATAAACTAAATTAACTAACTGTACGCAAAAAGTTGGTTCTTTAAGATGCGTTTTCATGATCGCCTGATATCTGTTCTCCGCGCATTTGGCAATTAGTTACTGGTATAATGAAAATGAGTTTTCCTTTAGTGAACAGTTAACTATATCATACTAAAATTATGCGTATGGTCATAATAATTGACAATGGATTTAAGGAAGGACAGTTCTAATTCCTTGTGCTGATACAATGAAATTAAGAAGACTGTCTAAATCGCCATGTCTTTTATTTTCAGAAAAATAATTGTGGTGTACAAGTTTGCAAGTTTTAAGCCATTACCTATTGCCATAAGCCATAACCCGAGGCGAAATTTCTCCATGACAATAATTATTCTTGGACAAGGAAGGCAATTTTAGTGAACTTCCCGCTGAGATATTAGCACATTCAAATAAATATCAAATACAAAATACTACACATTATTAAAATAAACCCACCTTAAAGCTAGAGTTTTTGAACATAACGTTAATATTTTCTATTAGTTAATTGTTCAGGATAGTATATTTTTGTTCTTAAAAAAAAACGAAGTTTTTATATAGAATTTCCATTCATCCACAATTTCCGTCATTATCACATGTTTGTTCTTCTTTTTTCCCAAATTGTTCTGTTACAGTCTGAGCATGCTCAGTAGCATCTATCACAGCTGGTACAATCTTTTTCCAAAATTCCGTTGGTCTCGCATACAGATATTGACCAATGGAATCTTCTCTATCAAATTTGATATAAGACTGAGAACTGACGTCATACTTCGGCCAAACAACAGACAGGCCTGGATTTGGTTTGTTTGGATCGCTGAAATGAATAAGACACATTTGTTAAAAATATACAATTAAAAGCAATACTAATCTACAATACATTGCATGTATGTAACATTGCTTTTCATTGAATAATCGTGACGTATATAATATATATGACGTATATAATCTATATACACGGCTACCGTCAATTTATCAAATATTTTTCTTTTTCCAAAACAAATTAGTAAATTTTCTGTGCGATATATTTGTGATAAACATGCCTGACATGTTTTAAGGTCATATATAAACGACTGTTTATAATATAACACATTTTAATCGGTTAGGGTTAAATAAGGTTATATAACCGTTTAAAATGCGCCATATAACCTGCCAGGCATCTTTATACCTAATGGCTAGGGTTATATATATATAAACAACCATTTATATATCACCTTAAAATCTTTATATTTTCGTTTTGATATCGCCTTTTTCAAATCAAACCCGTTAATGTGCGACTTTGACAACTATTGCGGCTCAGTCACAGTGACTCGGCCCAGTGTTGGGATAATGTAAAAATAATTCTAGAAAAAAGTACTGTATATATAAAATAAAGACTATATATTATACATACATATTTTTTTTCTAGAATTACTTTTTACACTATTCCAACACTGCCGAGTCCCTGTGGCTCAGGTATGCACATAATTACATACATTTATGTTACATATACATGCATTTATAACTGAAAAACTTTAAAAAACATTTGTACTTAGAATATCATATGCATTAACTATTTACAATTGGATAAACAAGTATAAGACTATTTGACTAAAATGTGTTGCTATGCCATGGTGTAACTCACTTACCCGGTCTTAGCAAAGTTTGTCCAATATCTCATTACTCTGTTTGAAAGATCAAGTTCCCATTCTGGCGGCGTGTACTCAGATATGTTAAAAAGGTCTCGTAAATCAAAACTGTAGCCAAATACAGGTCCTAATTCATCTCCATGGCTCGCATGCTTCACCCATTTAGGTAATGGAATCAAAGGTTTATCCAATTTAGGTAGAAAATTATAAACATAACTATCTACATCCGATCCATTACAATGGACTCTGCTCATTTCTATAGCTGGGCTATTGTAGAAAAAGTCCCCAAAAAGATCCACTACTTGTTGACGGAGTCGTTTTGGATCATCTGGATTCACCCAGTCCGTGTATTCTGAAATCACGAGTTGTTGCACCACTTCCGGTACAGGTTTGTTTCCATACATAATAGCCACCGCACCAGGAATCTGCTGTGTGTTCATTTGTTCTCGAGTAACTTCGAATTCTTCTAATGTTTCGGCACTTCCACCCATCGTTAAGAACATCGCACCTTCGTCGCCACTAACGCCGTTAATTAGTTTAACGGACCGAAAGAAGTCAATTTCTTCAAAAGTCTCTGTCTCTGCTTTCTTAAGTAAATCCCCGAGGTTGTGTCTGATGAATTTGCCGTCAATAGTTGGAGTAGCGCCGACACTTGCAGCAGATTCAAAATCTCCAGAAGAAGTAGCATCAACAAATACTTTGATTATAGTTTCAGATGATGCTTCTTTAAGGCATTTGAGCACTTCATCTTTTGTTTCAAAGCTACAACCTAAACTTCTGGCATAAAATTTGGCAATATTAATGTTATTTTCATGGTACATACCAGGGATGCTAAGGGCTCCACTCTGAGTAATACCACCTCTAAACAATCCTTCATTTGACGGATACATCATTTGCATAGCAACACATGTTGAACCGGCTGACTGCCCAAATATCGTTACCCTGTCTTTGTCACCACCAAACGTCCCGATATTTTCATTAACCCATTGAAGCGCCAAATGTTGATCAAGTAACCCTACATTTCCGGGCGCCTTTTCATTGTCTATGTCGAGAAATCCGAGAAGCCCTAGTCTATAGTTTATTGTCACTACGATTACATTTTCTACAGACGACAATACTGACCCATCATAGAAAACCCCTGATCCAATCGATAATCCGCCGCCATGTATATATAACATAACCGCGTGACCGGAAGGTTCATCTGGTTTCTGGCGTGGAACGTATATATTCAGGAATAAACAATTTTCGTCTGTCTTATTCTCTTTCGGCATTGTCGGATAGCTTGGTTGTGGACACGAGGCTCCAAAGTCGACAGCATTATATGTCTCGGAAAATGAACCGAATGGCTGGGGAGGTTGAAATCTTAAATCTCCAGTCGGTGGTTTAGCGTATGGAATTCCGAGGTATCTATCAACTTGATACTTATTTCCTTGAAATGTTACACTTTTCGTTTCTCCAGTTATCGTTCCTAGTTTGGAAGATACGCTTGGAACTTCTGCTGATTGATACTGATTTATCAATATAAGAAATATAGATAATTCTCCTATAAAACGCACCATAATTTCCATTAGTTATTGTCTAAGTTCCGTCGTGTGAAAAAATTTATCTTGTGTGCAATGTGTTAGAATTACAGTGTTTAAATAGTATGATCTCCACAGGGAAGGAGCTAAAAATAGATGTGAGATCAAAATTTAGCACACGCGTAGGTATGGTTCAATAGTTACAACGAAAGAGCTAAATATATACATGTACATAACAGATCAAAATTTAGCACACGCGTATTTGTATGGTATCTTACGAGTACCATCTACATACTAGTAATCGGGAGTTATATTGCTTAATACATGAAACCATGATAACTCAACTTTGTAGGTTCAAACCAGCTCAATTATTCTGCAGTTACAGTTACCAGTATATTATTGAAAAAGATAAAAAATATATAAAAAAGATGAATGTTAACAGTGAGAAAAATCAATAAGATATTATATAATATCTAGCTCTAAGCAAAGATATCTTTGCAATTATAAGTTAAATTGGGATCTCGGTAAAAAGACAAAAGTTATATACATGTATATAATCTGATATATAATATGTTACGATTTATCTTTAAATTATAACCGTAGGGTCTTTTATTAAACAAAATAAGTTACTTGTGTATATAACAGCTTTTGATAATACTATAGATAACGTTGAACCATTTTATTTCACTATATATCATTTCATCATTTATTTGCCGATCCATTTTTTATCACCTTGTTTTATTTTCATCAATGTCTTGTGAAAGAACCAATTTCGAGTCTATTTGGTATTAAAACACTTTGGACAAATATGAACTAAATAGTGTATACTGATATTCCGTAGTTTTACGTATGAGAAAATCAACGATACGGAACACCTCGACCATTACTCATTATCTGATGAATGACATTGACACAATTGCCTTATAAGGTATGGTTGATGGCTTTATCACACGCCTACTAAACGGTGGCTTTTTCACATTTTTTTGATCTGTTTAAATGAGAGCCATCGACACTTCCGTTGCAGAGCCCTCGATGAAAACAAGGCTGAAAAAGGTAAGACATCTTAGTAAAAATATCAATTTAAAAAGATCATGCTTGTTTTTCAAAAATCGAAGAATGTCATGCCACGTAGAACATTTTTCTCAGCATGTTGGGTGCAGTTTCGATAAGAAATACCCTGAAATGACGTTGCTAGAACTTTTACCAAATATAACCTCGTGGGCTTTCTTTTACGAGGAGACACATTTTGAGTGATTTCCCTACCGTAAAGTAGATGCTGGCCCACTTAATCGTGCATATAGCATTGTCCCAACCTCCTCTTTGGACCAACACAAAAATAACTTGCAGAACTTCGTTGAAAACCAAATAATCACATTTTTATTATTGTGATAGAGCCATCGACAAGGTGCTGGCGCCATCGGCAATGTGAATGAGCCCTCGAAAATGTGATGGAGCCAATACTATCATTCATTTTGTGATAATATGATGGAGTGTAACAGTTATTATACCTAACTGATTAACATATACAATGTCATATACATCGTATCACTGGGTTGGCATATTGAAATCAAATACGCGATTTGATTATTCGAATTCATTCAAATTGAAGTAAAACCTCTTTGTATAAAATATTAACAGATTAGGCACACGAAAATAGTTTTTGACTTTTAGTCGGTAAAGTTTAAGTTTTTAATTTTGAAATTTATGTAAATTTCACGTGGAATATCGACATGAATAAGGGGATACAAATTTTTTTTTCATGTGATGTGTGTGGAAAGACGTACGCTAATATGGCCAGGGTTAAATTTCATATAAAAAACTATCATGAGCAGGCGGCGACCAGTACATTTTGTGGTTTATGTGATGGGCGATATGCAACACCATCTTCTCTTTAAAGGCACGTTGAACGTGTACATACACGGAAAGGGGAACTTGTGTGCACGATTGAAGAATGCTATAGTTTATTCTACACAGAGAAAGACAGGACGGACCACATACGGAAAAAAAGCCTTTGGACTACAGAACTGTTAGATAAATACTTGCATGTGTGGTTCTTTTTTATACTTTTCCGCATCTTTGGAGGTGTCGTTTTAAGTTGTGTTCATAAGCAAAAATTTTCTCACACTTCCCACAATTCAGCTTATTGACATTGTATTTTTCCGTATGTGGTCCGTCCTGTCTTTCTCTGTGTAGAATGAACTATTGCATTCTTCAAACGTGCACACAAAATCCCCTTTCCGTGTAAGTATACGTTCAACGTGCCTTTTAAGACAAGATAGTGTTGCATATCGCCCATCACATATACCACATAATGTACTGGTCGCCGCCCGCTCATGATAGTTTTTTTTATATGAAATTTAATCCTGGCCATATTAGCGTACGTCTTTCCACACACATCACATGCATTTTTTTTGGTATCCCCTTATTCATGTCGATATTCCACGTGAAATTTACACAAATTTCAAAATTAAAAACTGAAACTTTACCGACTTAAAGTCAAAAACTATTTTTGTGTGCCTAATCTGTAAATATTTTATACAAAGAGGTTTTACTTCAATTTGAATGAATTCGAATAATCAAATCGTGTATTTGATTTCAATATGTCAACCCAGTGATACGATGTATATGAAATTGTATATGTTAATCAGTTAGGTATAATAAATGCTACACTCCAGCATATTATCACAAAATGAATAATAGTGTTGGCTCCATCACATTTTCGAGGGCTCATTCACATTGCCGATGGCACTGGCTCGATCACAATAATAAAATGTAATTTTTTGGTTTTCAACTGAGTTCTGTAAGTTATTTTTTGTGTTGGTCCAAAGAGGAGGTTGAGACAATGCTATATGCACGATTAAGTGGGCCAGCATCTACTTTACGGTAGGGAAATCACTCAAAATGTGTCTCCTCGTAAAAGAAAGCCCACGATGTTATATTTGGTAAAAGTTCTAGCAACGTCATTTCAGTGTATTTCTTATCGAAACTGCACCCAACATGATGAGAAAAATGTTCTACGTGGCATGACATTCTTCGATTTTTGAAAAACAAGCATGATCTTTTTAAATTGATATATTTACTAAAATTTCTTACCTTTTTCAGCCTTGTTTTCATCGAGGGCTCTGCAACGGAAGTGTCGATGGCTCCCATTTAAACAGATCACCAAAATGTGAAAGAGCTACCGAATAGTAGGCGTGTATCAGGTAGGTCGCAAATTATGAATTAAATCATTTCAATTCAAAATAAGATTGTTAGTCTCCATAAGTAGAAAAAGATATTTTCAGTTAAATATATCAAAGTAACTGGTTTAATAACAAGAGCGATCAGTAATCACATCTGTCGCCTCATGATGGCCAATTTCATGTTGGGACAAATTTTGTGACAGACAGACAGACGAACAGTGCACAACTAGACTTGGTACTGATCATTCCTGTAAAGTTTGGATAAAATTGCACGAGTAGTTTATGAGGAGTAGTCCGGACAAGCTTTTGCGTATCTGGCAACACACAGAAAAAAAGACCTTTTTATCAAAGGGCCATAACTCGGCCAAAAATCATTCAACCGGAAAACCCGTGCAATATGCGCAAGGACTTGAGCTACAGATCAATCCTGTAAAGTTTCATTGAAATTGCATTAGTGGTATAAGAGAAGTAGTCCGGACAAACTTTAAAAATAAAAATTATTAAAGGGCCATAACTCTGACAAAAATCATTGAACCGGAAAATGCTGACAATATGCACAACTAGACTTGGTACTGATCATTCCTGTAAAGTTTGGATGAAATTGCACCAGTAGTTTATGAGGAGTAGTCCAGACAAGCTTTTGTGTATCTGGCAACACACAGAAAAAAACACCTTTTTGTCAAAGGGCCATAACTCGGCCAAAAATCATTCAACCGGAAAACCCGTGCAATATGCGCAAGGACTTGAGCTATAGATCAATCCTGTAAAGTTTCATTGAAATTGCATCAGTGGTATAAGAGAAGTAGTCCGGACAAACTTTAAAAATAAAAATTATTAAAGGGCCATAACTCTGACAAAAATCATTGAACCGGAAAATGCTGACAATATGCACAACTAGACTTGGTACTGATCATTCCTGTAAAGTTTGGATGAAATTGCACCAGTAGTTTATGAGGAGTAGTCCAGACAAGCTTTTGTGTATGTGGCAACACACAGAAAAAAACACCTTTTTGTCAAAGGGCCATAACTCGGCCAAAAATCATTCAACCGGAAAACCCGTGCAATATGCGCAAGGACTTGAGCTATAGATCAATCCTGTAAAGTTTCTTTGAAATTGCATCAGTGGTATAAGAGAAGTAGTCCGGACAAACTTTAAAAATAAAAATTATTAAAGGGCCATAACTCTGACAAAAATCATTGAACCGGAAAATGCTGACAATATGCACAACTAGACTTGGTACTGATCATTCCTGTAAAGTTTGGATGAAATTGCACCAGTAGTTTATGAGCAGTAGTCCGGACAAGTTTTGTGACGGTCGGACGGACAGACGGACAGACAGACAGACGGACAGACGGACGACGGAGAAGTGATCCCTATATGTCGCCACTACTCCGTAGAGGCGACACAAAAATGTTGTTTTTGTTTTAATTTTTTACGTTTCGTCTTGAAGTTTAAGTAAGACATATGCTTGGCATGTCATGAAAGATGCGGTTGTTACCTAGAAGAATGCTTAGTGTTACATATACGGTGGCACAAATATACGGTGGCACAAAACAAAGGTGACATGTGTGTGTTTTTATTTATCTCGTGCGCAGGAGATACTATGTCGTGGCCACGAGTTACTAAGTCGTGGCCACAAGATAGTTAAGTCGTTGGACGTGGGCACGTGTTACTAAGTCGTGGCCACGAGATAATTAAGTCGTGGGAACGAGATACTATGTCGTGGCCACGAAAAACTATGTCGTGGCCACGAGTTACTTAGTCTTGGGCTCGAAAGGGGACTAAGTAACTCGTGGACACGATATATTATCTTGTTCCCACGACTTAACTATCTCGTGGCCACGACTAAGTAACTCGTGGCCACGACATAGTATCTCGTGCGCACGAGATAAATAAAAACACACACATGTCACCTTTGTGCCACCGTATACATATCAACCCTTCAGTAAAATCTGTAAAAGTAATCAATATCGGTTTTATCTAATCGATACTAAATTAAAGTCCTTGATAATATTTACCATATATAAAATGTATAGAATTACGTCGGTACATTTTTATTTACTGTTCGTACAAATTCGCATCGCCAGATTTCTGAAAAAGTTACATATGTGTATATTGAATGTTTATAACATATTTCGACATCTATAATAATGATAAATTAGACGAGTACTTTAACACCGAACAAGACAGAGTTCTGATCTACTAAATAGACCTATTTAGCAGGTCTAGCGGCAACTAAAAGCCCTGTAAAAGCGTTAATGGGCACATTAACCAATGGTTTTTGTTTAACCATTCAACTGCCGATAAATTACAATTATTACAGTCTTTGCAAATGCTGTACCGCACACACGCACAAGACGCCTGGAGTACGCTCTAGCGGCCGGTCAGATATCGAGCACAGTGATATGGAGTTGCTGACCAATCTATTTACTTATCTCGAGAACATCAGACAAAAGTTTTTGAAAATATTTACAAACGATGAGTTTACAGACGATAAATTTTGAAACATGCAAATTATTATGTCAATAAAATTTGATCAAAGGATAAATGATAAAACTATTCGGAGCTTTTCTTTTAAATTTGTACGGCAGATGTAAATTGCAGGAGAAAGTATTTTCGTCTGCTACAGTTTCACTGTACAATATCTAGCGATATTGCTTTTTTTAAACAGATGCAGACAGGAATGTTAGTAGAGATATAATTTAATACTGTCATAATTAAAAAAAGAAAACATTATTTAATCGATAAATTAACAGGAAAATGAAAAGAAAATAGCAAATAAAAGTTACTTCATCAATAATATTAAACACAAAACAAAAAATAACTAAACATTTAAATTTATATCCTATTTCAGAGATGAAAGTTCACCAGGAAATACAATAACGTTCGTGATATTAACACGATATTGTATTCACATTCATTTTTGGTATATTTAATACAGAACGTTATTGAAAAAAGATACAACAAGACAGACACTTTTATTTCATGCTTTCCAGTGTTTTATTGTAATATATCAGACGATTACATTCTGATAAACCACTAGTGAAATTTATAAAATATAATTTTCACTGTAGCCGGACTATATCTGAATGCGGATGAAAAGAGAATCATAACTTAATGGAATAATAGGCAGAAAAAAATGCTGTCATGCGTAAATTTTGCTTCTTTAGGAAAAGAAAGTCGATGTCACCATACATCATGTTAAAATGTAACAAAATAAGAGAAATCTAACAGAACTATATTTCAAAATTGATGATGTGACGTCATGATGTGATGACGTCACAAAGGAGAATGCACAACGTTACGCGGCAAAATCAGTAAAAAATACTTAAAATCACTTTAAAAGCATGAAATAAAAAGAAAATTAATTTCTTTTACATATAAGATTGAAATATATTTCATTCGTGAACACCAGCTATTATATTTCACTCGTGGCTACGCCACTCGTGAAAATATTGCATCTGGTGTTCACTCAGTGAAATTATATTTCAATCTTACATGCCAAACAAACAAATATCCTCTATGTATTCAAAGAGGCATAACTCATACATGTATGTCACTAGAAACATCAAATTGTAATTCTTTCGTAATCCAATCTGTAGTAAGTCAGTATAAAAACTTTAACAAACGGCGAAAAAGACTTACAATATGTTCAGTTTTTCTTATATGTTTTAATCAAACAGACTCAAAATAAAACTAAAAAGTGCATTTAGGTTTAACCATTTTGAACATAATTTACATTTTCAGTAGATCTAGTTGTAAAAAGACAACGAATATTTGGTCATAGAATACACTAGTTTGTTCATAAAAAATATATAAACAGTTTTTTTTTCTAGTTTTTTTTCTGTTATCCACAATTTCCATCTTTATCACATGTTTGTTCATCTTTCTTTCCAAATTGTTCTGTTACAGTTTGCGCATGCTCTGTAGCATCTATAACAGCTGGTACAATTTTTGTCCAGAATTCCGTTGCTCTCGCATACAAATATTGACCAATGGAATCTTCTCTATCAAACACGAAATAGGATTGAGAGTTGACGTCATACTTTGGCCACGCTAACATTTCAGAATCTGGTTTGTTTGGATCGCTGAAACAATGAATTAAAGTTTTAAAAAGTCTTCATTATCTACATTTTACAATTCAATCATTTACATCTTGTCATGGTAAGTTATAGAAACATGTAAAACAGAGAATGAGTTAACTTTTGCATTGAAGGAAAAACATAGACAAGACTTGTTGTCAGCAATTTCACACATTTTTTTTAAAGAAACTTACCGGTCAATTGTTACCTTTGGTATGAAAAAGATATGAAAGAACACTTTTGAAGATACATGTATAGTTAAAGTCGAATTCAAAACGTACCGTTCATAATGTGCATTAGATAGATTTATACATAAACAAGACAAGATGACCAAGTATAAAAGACTTACCCAGTCTTAGCAAAATTTGTCCAATATTTCATCATTCTCCTTGAAAGGTCAAGCTCCCATGCTGGTGGTGTGTACTCAGATATGTTGAAAAGGACCTGGGGATCAAAGTTGTAGCCGAATACAGGTCCTACTTCATCTCCATGGTTCGCATACTTCACCCACTTAGGTAATGGAAGCAAGGGCTTTTCCACTTTAGGAAGAAAATGGTAAACATAACTATCGACATTAGATGCATTAGAATGAAACCGACTCATTTCAATACACGGAACGTTGCAATATATGTCGCCAAAAAGTTCAACTAGCTGTTCACGGAGTCGTTTGGGATCATCTGGATTTTCCCAATCAGTATATTCCGAAATAATAAGTTGTTTCAGTAATTCCGGTACAGGTTTGTTGCCATACATCATTGCCATGGTGCCAGGAACCACTTGTGTGTTCATTTGTTCTCGAGTTATTTCCAAGTCTTCTAACGTTTCAGAATTTCCAAGCATTATTAAAAACAATCCCCCTTCATTACCATTAACGCCGTTTATCAGTTTAATTGATCGGAAGAAGTCAATTTCCTCACAGCTGTCTGTGTCCGCTTTCTTAATCATATTAGCAGGGTTCTTTCTGATGAATTTGCCATCAATGGTTGGAGTGACACCGACAATGGCAGCAGATGACATGCCCCCAGATTGCATCGTATCTAGAATAACCTGGATTATATTTTCATGTGATGCTTCTTTGAGGCAATTAAACACTTCATCAACTGTTTCAATATTACAGCTCATATTTTCCGCAAAAAATTTAGCCGTATTAATATTATTTTCGAGGTATATACCCGGAAGGCCTAAAGCGCCACTCTGTGTTATACCATTTCTAAACAGTCCTTTATTGGACGGATACAACATCTGCATGGCAACACTCATTGAACCGGCTGACTCCCCAAATATCGTTACCCTGTCTTTGTCACCTCCAAACGCACCAATATTTGCATTAACCCATTGAAGCGCCAAGTGTTGATCAAGTAATCCGAAATTTCCTGACGCCTTTTCATTGTCTATGTCGAGAAATCCGAGAAGCCCTAATCTATAGTTTATTGTCACTACAATAACATTTCCCTCAGACGACAGTACTGCCCCATCAAAAATATTACTAGAACCTATTGAAAATCCACCGCCATGTATAAAGAACATTATCGCGTGACCGGAAGGTTCATCGGGTTTCTGGCGTGGAACATAAATATTCAGGAATAAACAATCTTCGTCTGTCTTTCTCTCCACCGGCAAAAAAGGATAGCTTGGTTGTGGACACGAGGCTCCAAAGTCGATAGCATTATATGTCTCGGAAAATGGACCGAATGGCTGGGGAGGTTGAAATCTTAAATCTCCAGTCGGTGGTTTAGCGTATGGAATTCCGAGGTATCTATCAACTTGATACTCATTCCCTTGAAATGTTACACTTTTCGTTTCTCCAGTTATCGATCCTAGTTTTGTAACAACGCTTGGAACGTCTGCTGAGTGATATTGATTTATCAGAATCAGGAGAATAGGTAATCCTCTAATAAAATATGACATTTTTCCCATCTAAGTATATAACCAAAACTTTTACACAAGTTTGTTCTGTACTCGTGATTGTTTACACTATTACAACCTAAGATAAAAGTTACGGTGTTCAATTGAGGTCATCATATCGCCGTTTGCTATACGACTAAGGTTCAAGAGTGCGATGCAAAGTGAGATATTGTCGTAAAAAGTAAATAGATATTGGCAGTATTAGTACGCTTGAATGATAAGTACTTACTTTACAACTACCACAACTTTGTTCAACACAGAAAAGAAGGGATTTCATCACTTTGACAAAGTTGAATATATTTATTACATTCGGAACACCTCAACAGCACCTCAACGGTAATTCATATTCTTCTCGCTATATTTCAGTGGAAACAAAAACAAAGACAGGCGGGGATAAAGTGGGGGATGGGTTTTGGGGTGGGGGTGTGGGTGGTCACAACGAATCTGATATTTCCCAATCAAACCCTCAATAATATTAATGTTAAAAGATTTTTTGTTATTTCTAATAAAATTTGAAAATTTTAGATAAATAATAAATTAGCTATACTGTAAACTAGATACTCGAGTATATCATAACTGCCGCACTAACGATTTGTGAAATACCGTAAACTCTTGTTTTGTTTTAGATTTTCATTATTACTTATAAAAATGGAACTAATTTGAGGGATGGGGACAACACTTACTCTGAATATGGTTCTCGTGCTTGATGTGAGATATTTCAGTTTAAAATGAAAATCACTTGACTGTGTGCATTCATGAAAACGCCCCAAAATGCATCTGAATGCACCACTTTACATCTTTATTTTTAGACTTAATCAGGACACCCGAATCCCATCTTGTTATAATTTCCCAAAAATTACACATTTTTATTTCTGTAGCATTTTTTGGCAATCATTACAGTAACAGTGATTCAGCATTTTGCATGGAAGTAAAAAAATACTCCCCTTTCTTTAATGACAAATAATTTGACATTCAGCGCCACTTTCTTTAGGTGATAAGCACCTAATATTCAAACGTTATAAAACTCCTGTTTGCCCTTTCTGAAAAAGGTAGAATTTATTAGTTATTATGCATAATGTGACTGAGTTATTGTGTTCCATAAGCAATCATGTCTTCGGTTCAGAACAATAGCTGCTATATAAAATGTTGTTGAAAATGATATTCATTATAATTATAATAGTCTGTTGTATTTAAATCTTAGATAAAATATCGTAATCAAATCTAAGAGTTTGAATGAACCGTCAGACCAAGATAATTTTTTTAAAAAGTTTTGTCAGGTCAAATGTTTAAATAGATAAAATATTCGCACATATAGTAAACTAAATATGTAATAAAATATAGAGATATAATTGTATAGATGGGTTTATTACTTTAGACAATAGTATTGATAATTATTCTTAAGTGTATACATGTACATCCTTTTATGAAATTAGTACGTGTCATTTTTATTATCAACAATATGACAGGATTTTTGTAAATGTGTCCAAACAAATCCTATAAAAAATAGTTTCCTGTTGCATCAACTGATATTGTTATACCAGATGAATTAATTATACATGAAAATATAACATGTGAAATTGCAAATAACTTAATAAACTTAATAAACAATACTTGTAAACATTGAAATTTAAAAGTTTAAGACTGTAGTATCTTTTTTTTTACAAAGACTGTGCGATTTTCTGTGTAATTTACGATTGTTACCGAGTTAAATATAATCTAACGATCAGAGGATATAATAAGAGCCCTGCATAACCCAATTGATAGAAATCTTTAGGGTGATATTAGTATTCCGTAGTTTGTTGTTGATCCATATTTACTAATGCATGTTACATTGGCAAAAATTTATTCAAATTTGTACGTAATTATGATGTGGTTTAAGATATATTTCAAAACTGATTTTATTTATGTTTTATCTCACCAGCTTATTAAGTGAATGTTGTTAGTTTGCCACTATACACGTGTGATTTAAATGATTTTTACAGCCATTAGATATTCTATTTAAATTCACATTACCTTATATCTAGACATTTTGGTATTCATGAAGGTAATTTGAAAGAACCTATACACATAAAGGATATAGATTTGTATATATTATTTCATATTATTTGTATGCTCTTTCGGGCGATGAGATGTTGTTTGAGTCTTCATTTTGGTAAACAATAAAAAGCAGCCATGGCCCATTTGTTAAATAGAACAAAAGTGGTAATGCTAATTAAGCTACACTGGGTCTGTACAAAAAATGTCCATCGGGTGATGGTCGAAAAAAAAAATTCCGGTAAACTACAGAATAACCAGTTTCCAACTTACTGATCATGATTTTAATTTTCAAAGCTACGTGTTGGATGACGTAACTGGGTACCCTCTATTAAACTGGTCCCTTGTGAACGGCCCCTTGTGAGTGTCAGCATATCAAACCATAGACATCAGACTTCGATAATTTGTAATACATGGAACAATAATTTTGAACCTCCTTATAGATGAACCTTTTACTTATATCTCCCAGTAGTATTCTATAATCATTTGCATTTTACTTTAGTCATTCCCAAACTGGAATGGTATAAATTTTGGTGATTCCAGTGTTAGGTGTCTTCCCTCCCCGTGCATAAACGGATAATTGTTAAAGATATATGTAAAAGGAGTGTTCAAAATGACGTATACTTTAATTATATAAGGCAAAGTAGTCAACATAGAGACATAAAACATATACTGTTACTCATCAAGATTATATCAATTTTTAATGAGGTTAATGAATACTTTCTGCTTTCTGCCCTACGCAGAATTCACATGCACGAAATGCTACTTCCGTTACTATTGTAATATCATATTGTGAAAAGGGCTATATTGTTTTTTAATTCGTATGTAATCACAGAATGTTTGTTTTGTACCAATTACATCGATACTTAGAAAACAAATCAATCCCTCTAAAACAGCACGTTCTCTACCCAAATGATCACAACGTTCTTGACGTCCTGTCAGTGTAAACCCTGTTGATGTGCTCCGAATTCACTCTCCTTGAATGCCTATTTCTTTACGCAAAGAAATTAGAACTAAACCCTACTCTATGATAAGAATACACCGACATGATCGCTATTTCCATATTAAAGAGTAGGTGTATTGTAATGTTATAGAGGAAATCTACCTAAATTTTAAAGTTTGAAAACCCTTCGTACAGTGGCGTTAAATAAGTCGCTTTCTCATACAGTTATATTTATCAATTAATTTCAAATTTCATATCACACAAAATTGTATTCATATTTGAGAAACTCTTAATTACTGTTTAGAACCCTTTTAATCCAATCCTCATACACGAAGATTGAAGAATAGAGTCACAAACACCCTCTTAACTTTTTACAAGATTCGAACAAGTGATTAACTTAATTTCAATAATGAACTACATGTTTGTATGTCGGACCAAATGTATGAAAGAAATAAAAACGTCAGACTAGTATGTGATTTCGTTCAGACATTTGACCATGGAATAAGTCAAAATAAACTTACAGATTCCACTTTACATTCAGCTTTATTTTTTTAACTTTCATCTTTAGGGAAAGATCTTTCTCATTTAAAATGAAAATAAAACTGCCAAATTTCATGAACACACCAGAAACAGTAAGATCATTTGTCATTTTCTTCTCAATGCAATTTAATTAACCCTTTTTCAGGTTATCATGTTGTATCTGTTTGAAAGTGGATTGGTCGACAATAGGCACATTTACCATAAGAATTTCAAATATGAGAAGAAAACAATATAAATGAACCATTTGGATATTCTTAAAAACAATTGCTTGAAGAAAAATGTTGATAAAAGTGTAAGTGATGAATATATTGTTCCAGAGCATTTTTTTTTTTTTTATGAAGTTGCTATATATAAATAATATTATAAATATAGTATGAAGTATAAATATTCGTTATTATTTGGATCATGTCTCACACCCTATAATAGCATACTAATTATCGACCAATTCACTTTTTTTAAAACAAAGTAAACTCAACAAATGCCATTAAAACACATGAAAAACATGTTGCAAGACAAACACAATTTACATAAAATTGGACGCAAATGGAAATGTCACGTGTTCACGTGTTTTATTGGAAAATAAATCAATTATCAAAAGTCTCATTATAAACACATTATATAAATATTTGTAAACTTGAAATAACAGTTGATATAAGCATTACAGTGAAGCATTGTATTACTAAGGCAGATGCGAATCAAAATAACAAGTATAAAAGTAGGATGCCATAACAATGAAATATAAATCTACATGTAAATATATATATAGTAATTGGGTACAAAATGATAAAATATTAGGCTGAGAAACCTTAAACCTTTATACTTCTCTCTATTAACCGTGCCCCTTATCTCCAACACAAATCAAACAGACAAACTGTTTGTTTCTATCCCCCAACCCCTTACGTTTCATTGTTCGTCACTAAAGGTAGGTCACGTGGCACCTTTGAAGTATTATGCATAGATCCCTGACCTAATACTAATTATCAGATAAGTGGACATAATAAGAATTTCACCACAACATATTTTTTAACAAAATACCTCATGTCAATGTTTGTAGTTAAATCAATTGTTATTCAAATGAAAGGTCAGAGTAGGGATCTATCAATTGGCGGAGGACCCTTTAGTTTCCCCCCTAACATTAGTTCCATCACGGACATACTGGAGTGGACTAGACTTAAAAAACTCACCCACGTAAAGTTTCTCACACATTAAAGTGAAAGCCATATACTCTAAATGTTAAAATGTCAGCTATATTACCAAGAGATTACCTTTCCTATAATAACAACCCAGCAAGCACACTATAACATGGCATGCAATTAAATTTAGGAGACAGACATAGTTTCAGATCATCCTGTTACATGTTTATTACTTTTACACTAAATTAAAATATTTAAGATAGTTAAGTCATACAAATAGTAACTTTGTGATTCCATAAACTGAATTACGATGTATATTTTGTATATTTATATATATGAGAACAAGTAACACACAAGAAGAAAGTCAATCACCATTTTATGAAAATGTTTGAAATTATAAAACCCTACACAAACATACAATTGTATTTACACTATACTAGTACAGCCATTATTTACAGTGGAATTCATTATAAGTTTCTTGCCAAAGCTCCCCAGATGATCTTAGCGACCTGAAAACAAACAAGATGGAATGAAATTGTATTTTTTACAGACTAAAATTGATATCTATATAATTTTATACTAGTATTTAATAATAAAAAAAATGTTATTTAAGAAATAATGAAACACCAAAAAATACCCTAACTATAAGTCATAATTGTACATAATTATCATTCAGGGATTTTTTCCAGGATTTTGGGAACATGACCCATACCCATGGAATTGGAAATTTCAACGATGTTTGTTAAAAATTGGGAAAAATGCATGACTGAAATTTTGCAGTGATTAAATGAATGCAAACAGTCACTGTCTATGATAGCATCTTCAAACATTTTAACACTTATTACAGTGAAGAAGCCCTTATTTTCAAAGATTTTAGGATTCTTTATTTAATATTTTCATTTTGTAACTTTCAATCGGGATTCTTTTCCTGTGAATTGGGAAAATAATATATTATTTTTATTTGGGAATATGACCCAATAACTGCTATAAAATAAGATAAAAAAAATCCCTGTCATTTAAATTTAGTAGGAAAAAGCTGTTTTTCCATAAAAAACCCTCGTGTGAATTTTGTAGGAAGTATTTCCGTTCATCTACCACATTTGCATTAATATTGCCGATTGTTTAAAAATTAATGTATTTCTAAAAAAGCCTTTTAAATGGATACAATGTAAAAAGTAAGTATTGATATGTCTATATGAGAATGAAAGAAAGAAAGAAAGAGTAATACGCGCATCACGTGCACTTACTTGACTATGTCAGCAAATGATTGCCACAGTGGCTTTACTATATACGGTACGTCATGTTTCTCACATAGGGATTTCACCAGTGGTGCTATCTTATATAAGTTATGCCGAGGCATTGTTGGGAATAGGCTGAAAACACGATAAAATTATCATTCATTAAATGATTAACAATTACCAACAATAATTTAATATTTCTGTTAACTTTGTGAATAATCATTTAACGATCTTTTCTTCTAATAATAATAATTACATGGTAAGCTGATAAATAGATAGATAAACACTACATCAATGATGTGTACTTCAAGTCACTGTCACCTCACTGTCACAGTGCTGCTGTCATCAGTGACGTCTGTGTCATTTCATTGTCACGGTGCTGTTACATTTTCATTGTCACGGTGCTGTTACATCAGTGATGTCTACGTCAAGTCACTGTCACGGTGTTGTAACATCAGTGATGTTTACATAAAGTCATTGTGACGGTGTCGTTACATCAGACATGTCTATGTTTAATCACAGTCATAGTTCTGTAACATCATAAAGTACATAAAGTCATTGTATCGGTGCTGTAACAGTTCTGTAAAATCAGTCCTGTCTACATAAAGTCATCGTCACGATGTTGTCTCGTCGCTGATGTCTACGTAAAGTAATAGTGAAGTTCTAACCATATAATCACAAATAAAATAAATTCTTTCAATGATGTTGTTAAATGATATGTCACTTACTGGTGTTCTATTTGGAAGTTTAGATGCCCTGTAAACCATTGAAGAAAGATTTTTCAATGTCACATGTTGCATTGAGTTGTAACTGTAGCCATGGACTCGCTTCATCCGTCTTTATTGTCATAGGTATATGGTTTGATTGTGACACCCATGTGAACCAATGACTCACCATGCATCTAAAATATAATGTTCATTCATTTAGTTTATATAAATACAAGTGACATATATCAAACTGTATTATCATAAATCTAGTTTCTTTTAAAAGGCAAAGATCCAGAGTGACATCACGTGATATCACATAATATTGCTTACTTTTTCATAATACTTGAACGATTTAGAAAGTTCAGAATAAAATTTTATACATGTAAATGTCAAATGGCAGACAAACTGACTTTTTTGTAAAATGGCTTTAATGGACGTTATTCAGTGTGTGTGAGTAAAGTGACCTTTAAATATAACTAAGTATATACAATACAGCAGTAAAAGTGAGTAATACAAAAAGAAATATACAGGAAATGATGTACAGAAAGTAAAATTTTATATATCACGACATAGCAATGAATGAGTAGAATACAACAAGGAAGATAATATATTAACATCGTAATAGCGCAAGGGAGATAATGATAAAATCACCTCATTGTAAAGTAATGTGCTATTGCTCCTCCAACGCCAAGTAACGGTATATGCAGGTAAAATATTTAGGTAATACATTAAACATATACTCAACTCCTGTAAGAAACAAAAACAACAACATTTTACTTAATTATTAACATATATTATATTCATTTAACTAATACATGCAGGTATCCTGATCTTACTATAGTTATCAGCCTCACGTACAGACAAACAGACAGACAGACAGCTGAGTTGGTCTATGTCACAAGTTCTGAAGATTTTGACTGGATAAATACATTGATGTTAATTACTCGGCTGGTCCATTTTTACCCGTGCAGGACGAATCTCGCCTGAAACGCCTAATTTTTTATAGCAAATATCTTAAATGTAGGTAAATAAGTTCTTTAAAGAAAATTGAAATCTAACTGCCATGGAACAAAATTAAACACGAGATTTTCTTGCATAAATGGATAACTTTATAAAATATTTTCAGTCAACGATTTAAAACTTGTATCAATTCAATGATTAATGTCCATGCTTACATGCAGTCATGATTCAACAAAGATAAAAGATTTATAAATTAAGGTTTAAACAAATGAATCATGGCTGGAAGAACGGTACAAGAAAATTGGAAAACAAAACTTGATGAACAGAGCTCTATAGGTGTATGGTGGAAGATAGGCGAATTCAAGTATTTCAACTGAAGACGATGACAGTACACTTTTTGTCATGTATATATGACTTCCCATGTTCTTAGGAGAGCAAATACATATATTTTGAAGAAGGCTTAAGCCATAAATTTTCAAAACCGGGTGACATACAGTAGTTAGAAAGTACATGTACTTGTTTAAATCAAACGGACGATTTTATTTTAAAACAGGGTATCAAGATTACTGTCGACCATCTCTCAGGCTATAAGATGGCGCTTTAAACATTCATAGGTACATGAATATTTTATAGTCAGAAAAGCTACAGATTAATTCAGGCAGATAATTAACTAGGCAATGCAAGTATGCATACATGTTTATGAACGTTAAGTAGTCAAATATTTCTGGAAAAAAAAGTGTTTCCTTAAATAATTAAGTTTATTCTGAATAAGAAAAGGCCGGACTACAAACGAAACTACACGGCGCAAGGAGGAACTGCAGAAGACGTCAACCTTCATCGATGTGGCCGGCCTGAGATTGTAGAGGAGAACGAGAAGAAGAAGAAGAAGAAGAAGAAGAAGAAGAAGAAGAAGTAGAAAACATTAAATACAGTCAGACTGGAGTCAATTACAAAAATCTGTATCAGACTGTGGCAATGTAAAATGCGGTTGTTTCAGGTGTAAAATCAATTCCTAATTCATCTCCATGGTTCGCATGCTTCACCCATTTAGGTAATGAAATCAAAGGTTTGTCCAATTAAGGTAAGACATTATAAATACAACTATCTACAACCGATGCATTACAATGGACTTTGCTCATTTCTATAGCTGGGGTATTGTAATAGACGTCCCCAAAAAGGTCAGCTACTTGTTGACTGAGTCGTTTTGGATCATCTGGATTCACCCAGTCCGTGTAGTCTGAAATCATAAGTTGTTGCACCACTTCCGGTACAGGCTAATTACCATTCATTATATCCACAGCACCAGGAATCTGCTGTGTGTTCATTTGTTCTAGAGTACTTCGAATTCTTCTAATGTTTCGGCACTTCCACCCATCGTTAAGAACATCGCACCTTCGTCGCCATTAACACCGTTAATTAGTTTAACGGACCGAAAGAAGTCAATTTCTTCAAAAGTCTCTGTCTCGGCTTTCTTAAGTAAATCCCCGAGGTTGTGTCTGATGAATTTGCCGTCAATAGATGGAGAAGCGCCGACACTTACAGCAGATTCAAAATCTCCAGATGAAGAAGCATCAACATATACTTTGATTAGAGTTTCAGATGATGCTTCTTTAAGTCATTTGAGCACTTCGTCTATTGTTTCCACGCTACGACGCAAACTTCTGGCATAAAATTTAGCAATATCAATGTTATTTTCATGGTACATACCAGGGATGCTAAGGGCACCACTCTGAGTAATACCACCTCTAAACAGTCCTTCATTGGACGGATACATCATTTGCATAACAACACATGTTGAACCAGCTGACTGCCCAAATATTGTTACCCTGTCTTTGTCACCACCAAACGCACCGATATCTTGATTAACCCATTGAAGCGCCAAATGCTGATCAAGTAACCCGAAATTCCCTTGACGCCTTTTCGTTGTCTATGCCCTAGTCTATAGTTGATTGTCACTACGATTACATTTTCTACAGTCGACAACACTGATCCATCATAGAAAACCCCTGATCAAATCGATAATCCGCCGCCATGTATATATAACATAACCGCGTGACCAGAAGGTTCATCTGGTTTCTGGCGTGGAACAATAAACAATCTTCGTCTGTCTTTTTCTCCTTCGGCATTGTCGGATAGCTTGGCTGCACATGTTGAAACGAGGCTCCAAAGTCGGCAGCATTATATGTCCTAAATGAAAATGAACCTAATGGCTGGGGAGGCTGAAATCTTAAATCTCCAGTCGGTGGTTTAGCGTATGGAATTCCGAGATATCTATCAACTTGATACTTATTTCCTTGAAATGTTACACTTTTCGTTTCTTCAGTTATCGTTCCTAGTTTGGAAGATACGCTTGGAATTTCTGCAGATGTATGGTTCAATAGTTACATCGAAAGAGCTAAATATATACATGAACCTTTGATAAAAGCGGTCTAGTTAATCACTTACCGACGCTTAACAGGTCTGCAAATATATTCCTACCTGTTTTTGTTCTTTTGTTCTCTATACAATAGAAAATATGTGAAGTCGAGAAACTCGTGCATTACACAATATTCAACGTATACACAGAAATTTTGAAAAACGCAATTTAAATGGAAGGGGGGAAAGGTAATTACCACTTCGAATAGGAAAAAGTGTCGATGTATATTTTAAAGTACATTTCTTCACATTAATAGAAATAAAACAGCGCGTACGGCTGTAAGGACCCTCATAACATATATTCTAGATTATTTGTAAAAAAAACGAACTGGCGTTGAAGTTTATGTTGTGCCGATATTAATGAGTACCATAACGCACATTAAGTTTTTCTTTATAGTTTGCTTTTTGTTATATCTAACACATTTGCCGGACTATATAGCTTACTAGTTTTCGTCATTTATTTCCACAACTATGTTTGATTTTGCACAATCCAGCATTATTGTAACAATTCTGCATTATGTGATATATACGACGATTATATTATTGGTGCATATCGAATCAAAGTCAACTTCTGCATCTTTCTTTCCCAAAATATTACTGTCAGTGAAAGTATAGTTCATCTTAATTATAAGACCGTTTTTTTTCTCTCATCCCCCCTCCCCGTTTTTTACATTACGATTTGGATTTTGTATCGCCTATACGAGTTGCGCTTCCATTCTAGACCGCGTGCTTACATGCGGTCTTATCAAACACATGAATGACGGATGATGCTAATTAAGAAAACACCGAAAGAAAATTCTTCCCAACATGAATGAAATTCAAATAATATTTAAAATCAGCCAACATAAAAAATCCAACAAAAACCAAACTAACAGTATAACTACATGTATTACTAATCTTTATTCATAGAACCCTGTCTTTTTACTTTAGTTTAAAAAAAATCGTATGTTTTAATTATATTAGGAATAGCCTGATCATCTATTTACCAAGATATAGTGTTCCTTTTTTATGATTAGAAAACTTTTTTATCTTCCTCAATATTTGTATATATTATTATTATGTTATGTATTCATATACATGAATCAAAATAATGATCTTACTTTTGTCTACTCGAAAAGTTCTGTAAAATCAACAAGTACATTACCTGACCTTATTTAATATTTCACGCGTTTCGATAGTAATAGCGTGAAATTATTGTCTATCGCGTTACGCATTCAAAAGGGTGAATACTGGTCAGTCGTGTTTAATGAATCGTGACTTAACTCAATATGTATATTGTAATGTGTAAAGAGGGTCATTCTACCAGACGATTTCACAGAGACACGTTGTATAGATTTTTTACCATTTCAAATTAGCACGTGGCAGCCGTTGCGACTTGGGATGGAAGAAAGCAGTATTTTATCGAGTTTAGAGTCTTTGTTAGATTTTAGACTGCAGACATTTGAGAAGAAAATATACGAAATATCACAACATCAAATTTCGGCGTGTACTAGTGGTACTTACGTTTGGCCACGAGCAACAGTTTATGGTGAGCGCTAAAGTTATGGAAAAAATGAGACAAGCAGACGGTTATATTGCCCCCATTATTGAGGAAGATTCGAATTCGTCTGCAAGCAGTGCCAGGGAAAAAAATTCAGAAGGTATGGACATTTTGTCACATCGTCAAAAATGTTTAAAATTAGCCGACAGTTCAGAGCATGCTTGGCGTGTCGTACAAGAGTACGAGTCTCATCCATTGGCGGAAAACTCCGACGATGAGAAGAAAATCTACAAGACACAAATTCAAGCAGATAGGAAGGTTCGTCAGGAACGTTGAGTACGAGCTAGAAGTTGTTTTCCCCTACCCTGCTACTAAAGCGTCACCAGCGTCAGATGGTCGTCCTCCGAATCAACAAACATCAAACAGGAAACCAGGGCTATGCTTCAAGTGTGGGAAACCCGGGCATTGGCGGGCAGAGTGCCGCATGGACTTGCAGGCTGATAAGAATGGCAATACACAGATAAGTATAAATTATGGTTCATTTTTGTTCAATGAAGCAATGAAGTTGAGGAGTCTGATAACTTTAGTATTATGAAAATGAAGTTAAGCTATAAATGCTCTAATGTTTTGATAAAGAATGTTTCACATACGTATGACAACGATAACATTTTAGATTTTAGATAAAGTAGTGTCTCCGGTTGGGAGATTGCATAATTGCATTAAGCACTGGCAAGAGGCGGAGCCAGGTGAATGTATTTTAAGTGTAGTTTCAGGATATAAGTTGCCTTTTAAAACGTTACCAAAATCTGTTGAACTTACAAATAATAGGTCTGCCAGAGAAAATGCTGTATTTGT